AGATATACCTGCCCCCACATACCTGGACAGGTAGGATCGCATGGCAGGTGAGAGGATGAGTTCTACTTGAGTGCATCGGTGTGCTGGTGGTGCGAGTTACGTGGCGATTGACGGCAGGTGACACTATACTACGTATTAAATGGAAGGATCTGATTGGTTGATAAGACACGTGACCAGCGAGTCAGTAATGGTTATGTGTGCCACACCAAAGATAATAAAAACAAGATGTCGGAATTCCCTGACATGCCACCCACGTGATTTGCTAAAACATGAAAACTACATGCAGACACATGTCTTAAACACAAAAACTACACCCAGACACATGTCTTAAACACAACAATTACATGCAGACGCATGTCTTAAACACAACAATTACACCCAGACACATGTCTTAAACACCACAATTACATGCAGATTAATGTCTTCAACACGAAAACTACATGCAGACTATTGTCTTAACCACAACAATTACATGCAGATTAATGTCTTAAACATGAAATCTACATGCAGACACATGTCTTCGGAAGAATGTTTTTAAATGTTTGAACCAAATCGAAATGTTGCTAGTTTTAATAATAGTAGGCCGCTATCTCCTTCAAATAATTTCAAGCAGCTTTTATGCAATGTCAAAAATACTTAGTTGTAACAATAATTATTATTGACAGTGGATTTTTCAATCAAGTATTTTTTAATCAATAAAAAGTTTATCTACTTACACGAAAGTTATCTTACTGCTATTGTAGTTGTTTTTTTTTTTGTCAAAAGATTTTTAATTAAAAAAAAAATATCTGTGTGTTCCAAAACTATTTGAAAATACAGTGATATTAAAGTGTGCATGTGTATTACGAAAGTATTCAATACTTCATTAAAAACTAATGAATGAGGATATTTACAAGTGATGTGTACAAGAAGAGAAACAATAGACCCGACTGTACCGTTACAATAGCCTAGTCTGGCTAAAATACACGACTGTACCGATACAATAGCCTAGTCTGGCTAACAGACCCGACTGTATCACTACAATAGCCTAGTCTGTCTAAAATACACGACTGTACCGATACAATAGCTTTGTCTTTGCGACTGTTTCCGGAGTTTTGACAGTTTGCTTCCAGAAAAGTTTATCGCTAAGTAGGAACTACTTGTCTTTATGATGTATGATCATCGTCTCCCCCCCCCCCCCCCTACAGACTCACCTCCCCATCCCCATCTGCCTTCATCTTAAAACCAATTTACTTTTTTTTTTTAAATATATGCATTTGAACATGTGCAACAACTCGAATCATATTTCCCTGCGCAAACTTCAGCCGGAAGTGGAAGCCATTACGACCTCGATAGGCTGATAGACCAATGAATAATGTTGTCAGTTTAAAGAGGTTCCAGACCCAGTGGTAGTGCTGGGGGAGGGGGGGGGGGGGCGAGGGACGGGAAGGCATAACTAGTGACTGCCTGGATCAGCCCGGGGGTGGGATGGGATGGTTGTGCAAGTGTTGGGTGAGCACGCTGTTAATCCATGCGTGATGGAGTGAGTCGGAGCGTACAGGGGAACACGTGGTCACGCCGGGATTTATGGGCCAACTTGTGGGGATGCGCCAGGAGCGTCGCCCGTGGAGGGGTGCTTCAAGCTGAGTAGGTTTTTGTTTTTATTCGGGGGGGGGGGAAAGATGCGCCTGTTTTTTTTTTTTTTTTTTTTTTTTTTTTTTTGAGTGCTCGCGATAGTAGACAATGGGGGATACCGGAAGTTGGAAGCAATCCATTAAAGTATTGTCATGCGCAGGTGGAAGTGTAAGGCTCTTAGCTCAATTAAAGGGCGATTATCGTAGAGGGGGAATGATAGACCATCATTTTTATTAGACCAATGTTACTTTAAGGTTTTTATGACTATAGCACTAATGTTATGATATATATATATATATATATATATATATATATATATATATATATACATATATATATATATATATATATATATATATATATATATATATATATATATATATATATATACATGTGTATGTGTGTGTATGTATCTCTATCTCTCACCCATCCAGTCACTTCAAACAACTTATCTACACCTATGTAACTTTCGCGAACAGTTACACAAGCCGCGCATTACCTTAACGGCCGGGGAGAATTATGGGATACGTCAACCTTTATGTCTGGGAGTTACAGGGAGCCTGGACTAGATTTATTCCCTTCACTTACACTCGCAGCTCTCGAAATGGTGGACGGTGCGCCGTAAAGGCATCAAACTCACCCCCCCCCCCCCCCCCTTGATACTGTCAAACTTACCTCTACCCCCAGATACTGTCAATCTCAGCCCTCCCCACCAGATATTGTTAAACTCACTCCTCCCCACCAGATACTGTCAATATTACCCCCACCCCCAGATACTGTCAATATTAACCCCATCCCCCCATACTGTCAAAACGTCTCATACGCAGTTTGCCTACATCAAAATTATATAACATACTAAAGTTACAATACACTAAGTTAAAAAAACAACGGCGAAGTTTAAATACAGTGCGTGATGTGTTTCTTTTTAACTTTAGAAACATCGTTGTATTACTAATTTTTATTTACTTTAAAACATTCATATTTCTAGCATTACCTACTTTGTTCGTATCATTCCTAAAGGTACATTTTGGCGTCTAGTTATGTGGTGACGTCATTCGCCAACTCACCCTCATATGACGTCATATGTTTTCGTCATGAATTCATCTACGCGGGCGGCTGTTTTGTATATATATATATATATATATATATATATATATATATATATATATATATATATATATATATATATATATATATATATATATATATATATATATATATATATATATATATATATATATATATATAAACGGTGACTGGTAAAATGAAATTGTGACTCAATATTGAAATGGTGAATAATAGTATGAAGTCACTTCTATTATAAAATGTCGACGCCTTTGATGAAATGTGACGGATATAATAAAATGTCGACTCCTATCAATGTGACATATAAAGTAAAATGGCGAATCAATGAAACTAACCTGCAGGTACAAGCACACTAAAATTATGATCCGAATATTTAAGCACCGACCAATCTACTAAAACATCCCCATATAAAGTGATGCTACAACCGTATATAACAGACCTCTGATTGCAGTCTAATCATTTATAAACTTTAATTGATCTATAGCTTTCAATGAGAAGATGTGTTCGTACTAACTCCATTAATTATGCAGTAATTAGGTTAAGTACAATTCCATTTGAAACTGTTATTCAATTAACTTCTACGACAACATAATTTGTCGTCAATTATCCGTTTCCTTTTTAACCTCACAGCTGGGTATTTTAAAAAAATTGTCGAGAAATCTTGAAAACAAATTACAGCATTAAAGAATTAAAGATGATATAAAAAAACGACGAATTAGAAATTTGGGGCAAGTGTTTGAGCTGAGGGAAGCCTTTCACCCTAATCTCTGTCCGCCATCTTGAAATGGCGGTCCGTCGCACGTCTAAGCCGGGCGGCTTCAAGACGTTTGCGGGATCGTAATTAAATCAAATCTCCGATTACCCGCGCGCCATTGTATCCTGTTGCCAAACTGAACATCTCAATTAGTTTCTGATTTCTCCAAGTCGGGATGGAAGTATTGCTTTCAACGCTGGCTGAAGCTAGAAGTTCGAAAATGGCTGGAGCTAAATTACTTTTTTGTGTGCACGTTCTGAAATTGGAGGCGGGATATTTAGGTGCAGTAGATCTAGATGTGTGGGGGGATCGAATATCATGGTAGATGTGTGGGGGATCGAATCTCATGTGTGTGTGTGTGGAATCGAATCTCATGTGTGTGTGTTTGGAGGGTTTAAATCTCATTGTAGCTGCGTGGGGGATCGAATCTCATGTGTGTGTGTGGAATCGAATCTAATTTGTGTGTGTGTGTGTGTGTTTGGAGGGTTCAAATCTCATGGTAGCTGTGAGGGGGATCGAATCTCATTTACTTGCATGCGTAATCGAATCTCATTTACGCGTGTAAATGCTTTTAATAAACTTATTGAACGACATTTAACCCTAGATATAACAGTTTAAGCTTTAAAAAGTTTTTAAATTTTTTTTTGCCAGATACAAAATTATATATACATTTCTTAATTTTAGTTATTGGCTTTTATAAGTATGATTATAACAAAGCAGATTTAATTTGATGTTTAGAGCTTTAAATCTTATTGTGGTCTGTTGTGGGTGTCGCTTAAAAATGTTGATTGTGAGTTGAATTAAGTGTGACGTCAAGTCTAAGACCAGCATTTAGCGATGGCACTCGCTTGGCACCGCGCATGCGTGAGTGAAAGCGGCGCTCTTCTTCTGCCATCTTGTCACTAGTGACGACTCAATCCCACCCCCACCCCACTTACCCCCTCCCAGGAGATGTAGGTGGGGATCTCAGACTGTGAGGGGGGCGCCAGGGAGGTCTGCCAGTCAACGATGGCATGTCGGGAAATAAGAACTACACAGGGTAACGGATCCTAGCAAATTGTTCCGTAGATTCCCCCCCCCCCCCCGCCTGCCTTTTTACCGGCTGTGGAAGATAGTAGGGTGGGGTGAGGTGGGGGTGAGAGAAATTATACAAAAGAAATGACCATCGTTACTAGATAATTGTCGCAAATTATCGACGTGGTCACGTTAAATTCACAGAAATCTTCAAATGTTTCCAGCACGAGTTTAAGGTCGAGGAAAGGATGCAACAGTGTACAACTGCTTCTTGTTTTCATTGTAAAAGATGTTTATTTGGTACATTTATAGACACACAAGTCAAACTATGAGGTCCCACACTGTGTCTGTCTTTAAGTCCGTCACTAAAAAAACAAATTCAATTTGTTGTTTTTTAATTGAAATTTCAATGTTGATGAATCGTGTGTTCTTTAATTAATAACTCATTAAAAGATGAACTAAGAACAGTAACTCTCCCCTTTAATTAATTACTCATTAAAAGATGAACTAAGAACAGTAACTCTCCCCTCAGGTCTGGTTCCAGAACCGCCGAGCTAAGTGGCGGAAACGTGAGCGGTTCGGCCAGCTGCATACCATGCGGGCCATGGCGTCAGCTGCCAACCAGGGCTACGACATGTCACTGGCGCCCCGACATGACGCCTACTCTCAGATGCAGGTACATCAGTCATCACACATCATCTCAGTCATCACACATCATCACACATCATCACACATAATCTCAGTCATCACACATCATACCACATCATCTCACATCATCTCACATCACCTGAGTCATCACACATTATCTTACATCATCACACATCATCTCACATCATCATACATCATCACACATCATCTCACATCATCTGACATTACATCAATCATCTCACATCATCTCACATCATCTCACATCATCTCAGTCATCACACATCATCTCAGTCATCTCACATCATCTCACATCATCTCACATCATCTCACATCATCTCACATCATCTTACATCATCATACATCATCACACATCATCTCACATCATCACACATCATCTCACATCATCTCAGTCATCACACATCATCTCAGTCATCACACATCATCACACATCATCACACATAATCTCAGTCATCACACATCATACCACATCATCTCACATCATCTCACATCATCTCACATCATGTCACATCACATCAATCATCTCACATCACCTGAGTCATCACACATTATCTTACATCATCACACATCATCACACATCATTACACATCATCATACATCATCTCACATCATCTCACATCACATCAATCATCTCACATCACCTGAGTCATCACACATCATCATACATCATCTTACATCATCATACATCATCACACATCATCTCGCAACATCTCACATCACTTCATCACGCATCATATCAGTCAACACACATCATCTCACATCATCTGACATTACATCAATCATCACACATCACCTCAACCTTCACACATCATCTTACATCATCACACACCATCTCACATCATTACACATCATCTGACAATGATTTATTTTCCTCCCAGAATCCAGACTCCTCCATGATGTGGATGGAGATGTACAATCACTATGGCAACAACATGTGGAACCCTATGTCCGCCATCAAGGGCTATCACCTCTCTATGGGTGAGTACACCTCAGTCCATTCATGTACACATACCCTATAGCAAGTCTAAACCTCAGTCCATTCATGTACACATACCTTATAGCAAATCTAAACCTCAGTCCATTCATGTACACATACCCTATAGCAAGTCTAAACCTCAGTCCATTCATGTACACATACCTTATAGCAAGTCTAAACCTCAGTCCATTCGTGTACACATACCTTATAGCAAGTCTAAACCTCAGTTCATTCATGTACACATACCTTATAGCAAGTCTAAACCTCAGTCCATTAATGTACACATACAAACCTCAGTCCATTAATGTACACATACCCTATAGCAAGTCTAAACCTCAGTCCATTCATGTACACATACCCTATAGCAAGTCTAAACCTCAGTCCATTTATGTACACATACCTTATAGCAAGTCTAAACCTCCGTCAATTCATCTACCCAAACGGGATATAAAGTCTAAACCTAGTCAATTAGGAATTCTAGTTTCCAATCAATACTTAGTTGAGATGATTGAGTATCTATCTATGAGGGTTCCGATACTGATTTAAAATGTTTTTTCCTACCACAGACGCCGCCCAATCCCTGGGCACCAAGTGGCCCCCCGCGGTGCCGCCCATGTACCCGTCATGGAACGACTCCCAGCTGCTCTATACGCCGCCCCAACATCAACACCCCTCACCGGAAACTCTACACGGAGCATGCGCACCGCCACAGCGGCATGACGTCAGTTCCGTCTACTCGCAGTCTACAAACTTCCAGCAATGCTCGGCAGCCGGCTCTGGCGGTCCATGAAAACTTTCCCGCCAAGTCGTCACGTGATTGCCTAGCTGTCACGTGATTTACAAGTCGTCATGCGATTGGCTGGCTGTAACGGGGCTGTTCTACACGCCAACTGTTGTACATACAAGAGAAAGAGTTCTCACGTAAATGGAAGATACGCCTGCACGCACTGGATTCAGTGTAGAAATCATTTTCAAAAGATGGTCACATGACAAACTATTCTAGAAGAATCTTCTCAATAACTGAACACAAATGTTTATACTACAAGTCTTTTGATTGTTTATGAACATACAAAATACGCAACTATTGCAGGATTTATTTACAAAAGTATATTCAATTATTGATGCCGTGTGAAGTGATTGTAGTTGGTTAAATTACATTTTGGTAGATAAATGTAAGCACAGATATAAGAAATTACATTTTGGTAGATACATGTAAGCACAGCGATAAGAAATTACATTTTGGTAGATACATGTAAGCACAGTTATAAGAAATTACATTATGGTAGATACATGTAAGCACAGCTATAAGAAATTACATTTTTGTAGAAACATGTAAGCACATCCATAAACGTATGTAACCATGGCTGTACTTATTTCTGATCTCGCGAGAATCCATTTCAAACGAGATTTCAGGTTTACAACGAGATAGTTTTCATCACATGTATTAAAGCGCTTGCTTGTACGTCTGAGGTTGTAGGTATGATAAACGTGGTTGGCAACAGGGCAACCGCCATGGATCGACAACCATTAGGGTTGGCAGCATGTCTACGATGTATTGGTCAACCAAATGGGTTGACATTAGGCTCGCGATAGTAAAAAAAAAACCCACATATCTGAAGATCGAGCTAGTTCTACCAAATAATGACTGAATGGTCATGTATGAACCAAACTTTTAAAACATATCGTCTCAAGAAGTAACCTGCCCCGTAAAAAAACGTCACACCCTCAGCCCTCCCCCTCCTCAAATTTGCGATTTTTATTTTGTTAAAACAGAATTGTTTTCTTAAATATGTAACACAAAACCTACTCCCCCTCTCTCCTAGTATATTACCATCGTTTATGGAAAACATCTCATACAATTACATGTCAAGTTTCGGTCTTAGGTCAGGTAAAGCCAATATAACACAATCTTGACCTGACACAGTTCTTCTGATGTCCACGTGACTTGGTCATTACACGCTGAATGACCCCCCGAGTAGATGAGTCTATTGTGCTCACACGGTCATACAACAATAAGCATCCACATACCCCAACAAACATCCTGCAGTTACAACAACAACATAGCAACCTCTACAATCACCAAACAGTTACAACAATTAACATACAACCATCCAACAACCACCCAACAACCAACATACAACTATCCAACAACAAACATACATCCCCCCCCCAACAACCACCCAACAACCAGATAATCTTTGACTGCACGAGTTAAGGTACCCCTATCAAAAAGCCACCGATGCAATTGTTTTCAAACCTTTTAAAATACTAGCACTTTGCTCCGTCTATGCCAGCGGCTGTTGTTATATTCACTCAGTATTTTTCTAAAACAATTTTAACTGCCTTATTTGATACAAAGATGTAAATATACTTCACTTGTTATAAAACGAGTTTTATAAAGTGAAAACTTAATTTTTATTTTAAAGTGCCTGTATTGCTACTAAGTTTCAGTGCCTTGTATAAACATGTACTCCATAATTATATTCTCTTTATTAAATTTATATTTATTGTAATATAAGCTTGCAACACAAATTTAATTTTTTTAAATTTTAGTTTTAGGTTGAAAGAGAAATGGTGCTAAATTTGTGTGTAAATATTGAATTAAAATGTTGACTGTAAAGTTTAATGGTGCTAACAATGTTAACTGTAAACATTAAAATGGGCTGATAATGTTTCTGTAAAATACGTTGATTCTTATGTATGTTGATTATGTAGCCCCACATATACACACACATAAAATCACGTGATTAAAATTTTCCTTTTGCAAAGAGGCACGTTGATTAAAATGTGTTTTTTAAAGTGTGAATTTAAATACCCGTTGCAATAATGTACATAAGAAATGATAATTCAAAACTAAATACTTGCCGTTTGAACCTGTCTAATTTGTATTGAGAATATTTACTGACACATTGTTATAATAGTAAATCATGCTTGTAACTGTCCTGTACTTGTGTACATGTCACATTATGTCTCACTTTTGTACACGTTGTCACATTAAGTCTCACGTGTGTATATGTCACATGAAGTCTCACGTGTGTACATCCTGTCACATTAAGTCTCACTTGTGTACATGTCACATTAAGTCTCACTTGTGTACATGTCACATCAAGTCTCACTTGAGTACATGTCACATTAAGTCTCACTTGTGTACATGTCACATTAAGTCTCACTTGTGTACATGTCACATTAAAGTCTCACTTGTATACAACATGTCACATTAAATCTCACGTGTGTACACACTGTCACATTAGGTCTCACGTGTGTACATGTCACATTAAGTCTCACTTGTGTACATGTCACATTACGTCTCACTTGTGTACATGTCACATTAAGTCTCACTTGTTTACAACATATCACATTAAATCTCACGTGTGTACACACTGTCACATTAGGTCTCACTTATGTACATGTCACATTAGGTCTCACTTGTGTTCGAGGTGTAAAATATGTGTACACAACTTTTTTTCTACTTCAGATGTTAGATGGTAGTCATTGATAACATGAATTGATTGTACACCAATTTATTTATATTTTATTAAACGCGTCTCATTGAACAACTTCTTGTTTTATTTATGTTCGCCTGGTCTAAGGCGTAGCCTGTTGCTAGACCTACTTTTTTTTTACCGTCGTCATGGTAATGATGGCTGCCGAAAACGACGATACCGTGATTCCGTTTTTTAGCAATGTTTTGTGGTCATTTCAGAAATATATTTTCGAAATCGTTATTTTTCAACGATACCGGTCTAGCTTTAACAATGGACGATCAGTGTTTGATGCTAACTTGCCATTTTTACATTTTTTGTCTAATTGCTGAGAATATTGAGCAGAACATAATAAAAGTAAGCAAAACGTGAATTGCTTTATTTAATATTGTTCTAAACATACTGAAAATATATTCTAAGCTATAGAAAATTATAACTTGCTTTCTATTAAAATAATGTCATTAATGTTTTAAAAATCATGCAGGGTAAAAACAAAACCTATAAAAAAAAACTTGATCGAAACAATAGCTAACTAAGCCCGCCCATTTTGCCCGCCGTGTATTTGAATGGGGAGAAATCTAACCGAAGACACATTTCTACTGAACTGAGTTTCACCGTGAGTCATACTATCTTAGCCATTTAAAAACAGACTCGTTTTTTCACAAATCATTTTCTAGGATACCGATTACATTTGATAAATAAAATTGTTATCAATTTGAAGGTAAATAAATGTAGTTTTTAATTGTTTAAGTCGTCTTGAACAATAGTGAAGTTTAAAATCTTAGGCGACTCCCTAGTCTAAGGGACATCAAGGCTATAAAGGTCTACACATGGAGATATTATTGTACGTTGCCCTCTATAAGCTGCCACATGTGTGTGCTACAAACATCAAATTAACAAATCAATAAACACTCAATAAACACTCAATTAACACTCAATAAACACTCAATAAAAACTCAATAAACAATAATCTCTCAACATAATTCAAACGATATGAATAATACATTTAACTAACATGCACCAAATATTCAACTTACATTCAACCAACATTCAACAAATATCTAGCAAACATCCATCAAATATTCATCAAACAATCCGATAAGTTACCCGAAGACAGCTAATTACTGTTGATGTAAAAGGTAAACGATTTCATCAACTCGACCAATTACGTAACATCTCATTAGCTGTTATCTAGCACCTCAACGGATCTGCTGACCGTCTGCTAGGATGTAAACAAACCTGACCAATCAGCGGTCAGGTGTCACGTGCCGTCAGTGCGGCCGTTAATTTGATTGGCTGCCGCCCAGAACTTACAGCTGGATGGGGAAAACAAGAGGCTACAACTGTATGACTTAGTGGCTACATGACTGAATGGCTACGTTACAGTGTGGCTACATGACTGAGTGGCTACATGACTGGCTACTTGACTGAATGGCTACATGACTGAGTGGCTACATGACTGGCTACATGACTGAGTGGCTACATGACTGAATGGCTACATGACTGAGTGGCTACGTTACAGTGTGGCTACATGACTGAGTGGCTACATGACTGAGTGGCTACATGACTGAGTGGCTACATGACTGAGTGGCTACATGACTGGCTACATGACTGAGTGGCTACATGACTGAATGGCTACATGACTGAGTGGCTACATGACTGAATGGCTACATGACTGAATGGCTACATGACTGAATGGCTACATGACTGAGTGGCTACATGACTGGCTACATGACTGAGTGGCTACATGACTGAATGGCTACATGACTGGCTACATGACTGAGTGGCTACATGACTGAATGGCTACATGACTGAATGGCTACATGACTGAGTGGCTACATGACTGAGTGGCTACATGACTGAGTGGCTACATGACTGGCTACATGACTGAGTGGCTACATGACTGAATGGCTACATGACTGAGTGGCTACATGACTGAGTGGCTACATGACTGAATGGCTACATGACTGAGTGGCTACTTGACTGAATGGCTACATGACTGAGTGGCTACATGACTGAATGGCTACATGACTGAGTGGCTACGTTACAGTGTGGCTACATGACTGAATGGCTACGTTACAGTGTGGCTACATGACTGGCTACATGACTGAATGGCTACATGATTGAATGGTTACATGACTGAATGGCTACATGATTGAATGGCTACATGACTGGCTACATGACTGAGTGGCTACATGACTTGGCCCACCAACATGTCCCACCAACTTGTCCCACCAACATGTCCCACCAACTTGGCCCACCAACCTGGCCCCCTAACCCCGCCCACCATGAACTACTGTAACAAGCACCTTTGTATCAAATTGGTGTAAATGCCCTCTGTGTTTTCTTAGCTCGAGCCCGTTGTGTGCGACACGGCCTGGGCGAGGGTCCCTAACGTAAACACTCACCTCATAAGGGCCCATTTAGGGCCGCGTTCTGTGTGAGCAGCGCACGTGAGCGGCATTAATTTCTGGGTGGCAACTCGGCAGTGAGTACGGGCAAATGTTAACCACCGTCTTGACCCGGTCCGTTAGGTTTACTAACAGTTGCGTGCATGAAAATAGCTGGCTAAACTAAGGGAAACAGTTAGTTCAAACACCTAGATTGTTTGTTTTGCTATTTTTTGTGTTCGGCGATGTGGAGTTTTTGACAAGCCTCCCACTCGGTGTAGCCACTCGGTGTAGAGAGTATACATGTAGCCACTCGGTGTAGAGAGTACACATGTAGCCACTCGGTGTAGAGAGTATACATGTAGCCACTCGGTGTATACATGTAGCCACTCGGTGTAGAGAGTATACATGTAGCCACTCGGTGTAGAGAGTACACATGTAGCCACTCGGTGTAGAGAGTATACATGTCGCCACTCGGTGTAGAGAGTATACATGTAGCCAGCCATGTTGACTTGTCGCCTGCTGTACGACCGTGAACAGAGTTCAGTGATGACCTCCTACGTGAACATGCTTCAGATACCAAATTATCCACATCCAGTTGCTGCCTAAGTTATTAAATTTAAATCCAATAAATCAAGGTTTCAGATTTTGCTGAGTTGTTGAGAGGGGGGGGGGGGGGAGAGAATTATAAGCATTGTTAAAGTAAATATTCTTTTAGTTAAATTTCAGATTTGGTAACTTTCGTTCAAGTGGGGGGGGGGGGGGGGGGGGGGCAGAGACGTAACGTCCCCTACCCCACCCTTGATGAGAGGGAGGAAAAGAGTTGTTTTGGAAATTGTAAAAAAAAGTGTTTTCAAAATTAAAAAGCAACACTGCATTTGAATATTTTGTTATACAATATTACGTGTCAGGAATATGTGTAATCTTATTCAATACTAATACATCGACCGGGAATCGAACCCGATTCAACAGCGTGGTAGGCGAGTTATCTACTACTAAACTACCGTTGCTTGTCGCATCTTTTAAAACACCACATGTAAATTTTCGATTGATTAAATCACCAAGGTACGGAGGGTAAAGTCGACTTAAAAAATTCGCGCTGAGCAAGCTTAGCACAAATTAAAACTTCACCACTTAAGTGGACTCAGGGGGGGGGGGGAGGGGGGCGAGAAATAGGTTGACAACAACTTGTGAAAACTAAACTTTAAAAACTTTTTTTTCGTCATATGCCTGTTACTGTCGTGGTCAGCAATTGCTACAGGGTGACGTCATACTGTCATGGTCAACAGTTTCTATAGGATGACGTCATGCTGTAATCTTTAGCAATAGCTGCAGATGACGTAATACAGTCATGGTCAGTAATTGCCACGTGCTGGTCGCGAGAGATAAAGGATTTTACAAGACTGCCATCGTCCATCACGGTTAAAGATCCTTGAGACACATTGGCTTGGTTGGATGGGTGTATAGCGTTAGGTGTACGTGTTACAATCTAGGCCTGGCCTAATGACATAAGGGGTAGCCTCGTGCTACAGTCAATGTGTAGCCTTTTTGAGTCTAGCCGTAGTCCCACCGCTACAGCCAATGTGTAACCTTGTTTGAGTCTAGCCGTAGTCCCACCAAAGGTGGACAGGGTTATGAATTGGTTACGTGAGCGTCACACTTGAGTGATGAAGTTCCTGGCAGAAGTCTGGGTGCAAGTCAGTCAACCGTGACCAAATTATCGATTCTGTCATCTCGGAGCTTCACCACCTGCTTAATAGGCACTTGAAGGGGGGGGGGGGGTGTGGGATCAGGGGAGTGTGGGAGCAGCAGTAGGAGCAGGGGTAGCAGTGGGAGCAGTGGGAGCAGGGGTAGCAGTGCAGCAGTGGGGGCAGGGCAGCAGTGGGAGCAGGGCAGCAGTGGGAGCAGTGGGGGCAGGGCAGCAGTAGGAGCAGGGCAGCAGTGTGGGCAGGGCAGCAGTGGGAGCAGAGCAGCAGTGGGAGCAGGGCAGCAGTGGGAGCAGTGGGGGCAGGGCAGCAGTGGGGGCAGGGCAGCAGTGGGAGCAGGGCAGCAGTGGGAGCAGTGGGGGCAGGGCAGCAGTGGGAGCAGGGCAGCAGTGGGAGCAGGGCAGCAGTGGGAGCATTGGGGGCAGGGCAGCAGTGGGGGCGGGGCAGCAGTGGGAGCAGGGCAGCAGTGGGAGCGGGCAGCAGTGGGAGCAGTGTGGGCAGGGCAGCAGTGGGGAGCAGTGGGGACAGGGCAGCAACGGGAGCAGGGCAGCAGTGGGAGCAGGGCAGCAGTGGGAGCAGTGTGGGCAGGGCAGCAGTGGGGAGCAGTGGGGACAGGGCAGCAACGGGAGCAGGGCAGCACTGGGAGCAGGGCAGCAGTGGGGGCAGGGGTATCAGTGGGGGCGGGGCATAAGTGGGAGCAGTGGGGCAGGGCAGCAGTGGGAGCAGGGCAGCAGTGTGGGCAGGGCAGCAGTGGGGAGCAGTGGGGACAGGGCAGCAACGGGAGCAGGGTAGCACTGGGAGCAGGGCAGCAGAGGCAGCAGTTGGAGCAGGGCAGCAGTGGGAGCAAGGCAGCAGTGAGAGCAGGGCAGCATGATGAACTGAGATGTTGACTTTTGTGTATGCCCTATCCCACGTGGCGACATCAATCGATACACGATCGCTGATCGTTGATTGATTTTTTAGTGAACTGCACAATGACGTCAGATGTTTATGCCACTAAACTGGCCCGTTGATCAAACGATCATCCTAAACCGTCTGATTTATCAACCTACATCAAACGATCATCCTAAACCGTCTGATTTATCAACCTACATCAAACGATCATCCTAAACCGTCTGATTTATCAACCTACATCAAACGATGATCCTAAACCGTCTGATTTATCAACCTGCAGCGACTGGTTAAAACAAAAAAACTTGGGGTGCGAATTTTTCTCCAGAAAGTTGTTTGATCTACCTAAGAAAAACGTCAATGAAGGTGTCGGTCATCCCCATCATTTTGTTGTAGATCCAGGTATTATTGGATGAAATGGTGGGTGTCATTTGTACTTGCCACACACACATTGACCTCTAATTATCACAGTCATATACTTAACTGCAACCTGGTGACATGAACGCAACCAGTTTACTTAACCCAACCAGTTTACCTAATCTACCCAACCAGTTCACCTAACCCAATTAGTTAACTTTTGATTATCAGCTGTTACCTCTACGTCACATGCCTTGGTCTAAAGTCTGTCTGCACTGTTTGTCTGTCTGCGCTGTTTGTCTGTATGACAGCTATCGCCACATGCGAGCAAACACACACACAAACACACACAAACACACACAAACACACACAAACGATCGGCGAGCTATTGACACTTTCTATTCACACCAGTTCAATCAAATGTTTATCGTCCGCAGATATGTGTCTGTGTGTGTGTATGTGTCTGTGTGTATGTGTGTGTTTGTGTTTTGCCGATATGGTCGTGCTGATAGAGATCCTTACAGATTGTTGTCAATTTCTCATCTCAATTAAGTCATTTTTATTAAGTCATTTTTATTAAGTCATTTTATTAAGTCATTTTATTAAGTCATTTTTTGTACACTTGATTGCAGTTTTTATGATAATAAACTAATTTCCGGTTCTATCCGGAACAAGATATGCTGGTTAAAGCAATAAAATATTAGCATAGCATTAGACTAATTAATTGGTCGAGGCACGTGAGATATTTAATTACATTTTTAGTTTACACAAATAAAGCTATAAAGTGTACCGAGATCGGCCATTTGATACTGTGTACAATAAATCTGATTAAATACATCGGCCATTTGATACTGTGTACAATAAATTTGATTAAATACATCGGCCATTTGATACTGTGTACAATAAATCTGATTAAATACATCGGCCATTTGATACTGTGTACAATAAATTTGATTAAATACATCGGCCATTTGATACTGTGTACAATAAATCTGATTAAATACAAGAGCACTTCACACTGCCAGTGGTTTTACTTTTCTGTTTATTTTACGCCAAATCTAAGCGGGGTAATTAAAATTATGAATGACACAGGGTTCTCTCCTTTACTACTTGTCTCCCCTTTTAATTCGCATTTCTAAAGGCTTTTGCGATTAACGAATGCAAACCAAGTTCTTTGTTCAAAAGTTCTTGAGACCAACGGTTCTTTTATACGTTTTCTATACGTTGATTTTGTCGACCAAACGGCGGAGCTGACCCAGCACTTCAAGACTGCACTAATCGTCTGCACACCTCGCCCCAACAGATTCACTATTCAAGGGAAATCACTCGCAAGTGACGAATCAATAACGCCGATATTTCTATTGACTGATCGGCCCTTGTTGACTGTGTATCCTGGGTTAAATGAAGACATTTATGTGTGGGGTTTTGTGGGAAATGTGTGTGGATTGTGTGTGTGGATGTGTGAACACAGAGGGAGAAATTTATTGCCACAAATAATTTAGTAAACATTTCGTGTGGATGTAGCGGATATTTACAGCTATGTAATGTAAGTGTAAGCAGTGTTAATATAATAGCTAGATTACACAGCTATATTATGTAAGTATAAGAAGTGTTAATATATTAGCTAGATTACACAGCTATGTTATGTAAATGTAAGAAGTGTTAATATATTAGCTAGATTACACAGCTATGTAATGTAAGTGTAAGAAGTTTTAGTATATTACCTAGATCACACAGCCATGTAATGTAAGTGTATGCAGTGTTAATATAATAACTAGATTACACAGCTATGTAATGTAACTGTAAGCAGTGTTAATATATTAGCTAGATTACACAGCTATGTAATGTAAGTGTAGGCAGTGTTAATATATTAGCTAGATTACACAGCTATGTAATGTAAGTGTAGGCAGTGTTAATATATTAGCTATTATACATAGCTGTGATGTAGTATTGAAATAGATCAATAATTGATTGATTCCTTATTGGCTGAACAAGTCAGTCGATATTTGGTTATTTGTTTCTTTGAATGATCTAAGTCGGATAGTGTATTGCTGCTCAGTCTCCACCCCTACCTACCACCCAGTGGCGTAGCGAGGTCGGGTGTCACCCGGTGCGACACTTAATGGTGTCATCCCCCAGATGCTTAGCGACCCTTCCCGGCGCCCGGGGACAAACTTTCAATTTTCGATTTGCACCCCTCCCCCCTCAAACTTTTGATTTGCACCCACTCCCTCAAACTTTCGATTTGCACCCCTCCCCCCTCCACCCTTGTCGGGACTTGTCAAATTTGCTCTTAAAAGACTTTTTAACACTCGAATTAATCACTTGGTTAAGTGGAATTATCATTTTTCTCTATATATTTTGCTATTTTTTTTGCCTTGGTGTCACCCCTCGCTACGCCACTGTTCTTACCCACCCCTGTCTTTCTGTTTTTCTTTCTCGCGTTAGGTCCCCTTCCCTTCCACCCCCTCCCACTCTGGACGTGTTAAGTCACGTGATGTTCAATTAAGAATCCTTTAAAGGGTTAGTTAATATCATTAACAAAATATCTATTAGGGGGCTAGTCAATATCAATTACCAATAAATACTTTAGAGGGTTAGTTTTAATATCATTAACAAACTACCAATAGATACTTTAAAGGGTTAGTTATAGTTATAGTGACCTTGTTAAAATGATTCTAGATCTCTCTATAAAAAATACACTGCAAATAAAGATCTAGATGTCTGCATAGGGGGCCTACATCTGTAGCCCTTGTTGTGAAGCTACTTGACGTACGACTTTTCCTAGCTGTTTCATGACATCTACTTTATTAAGATAAACCCTTAAAACACTTCAATCTTAACCCAAAATGAAATCCAAACACTAAACATAAACATCGAAGCTTAATTAAGGCTAGCCATTAACTGAACGCTAACACAAACTAAACTAGGACGGCGTGGTCAGAGGGTAGATCACATGACTACTACTCTGAAAGTCTCGAGTTCGACTGGGAATCTAAAAATAGACACCCTGTACCTAGACCCTGCCCTTAATTAATAAATCTAGACCCAAGTGAAAAAACTTTGTTAGCTGTATATTATCCATATTTATGTTTTAATAGCTACAAGCGTACGCTGTAAATATTTGTACGTTTATTTCAGATGACGTTTTCACATTTTAAACAATTATCTGACGTCACATGTTTATTTTTAAACTGACCAACAGTGAACTGCGCTGACCATTTGGTTGACGGACAAGGGAGAGAATAATTAAGGGAGGTAACAATGTCCCTTTTTAAAATGGAAATGTTAAAACTAGTTTAAAAATGAGTTTATGATAAATTAAAATTTATAATCTAGGATATCTACAAGCTAGGAACAAGAAATACAGCTTTAGAACCAACAAACTCAAAAATTAATTATCATTGAAATCTACACGAATTGATTTTATCAAACTATTTTTGATATTTTTTCCAGCACAAGATCACCATGTTGCCATCTAGCAGACCCTCCAGCAGATCACAGCCCACCCTACCCCCACTGTCTGTGGTCCCACCCCACGGGATCCTCCGGTCACCCAACAAACTGGAGCACGCGGGCCACGAGAAGCACAGCATCACCTTCCAGATGGCACCAGACCTCAGCAGCACGCAGCGACACCACAATACGGGGGGTCAAGGACGCAACCTTCAGAAAACATCCGGGTCATCTAACTGGACAGAGGTCAGCTTCAGTGACGCGAACAACAGAAGTGGCCAAAGTTCCAGAAAAGTCTCCATCAGTTCCGGGCTGTCCAAGAGTGGCTCCGAGTTCAGCCAGTACGAGTTCTACGAGCGCGCGCTGACCCACCGGATGTTGATCTCTGACGAGCGGAAGAAGAGACTCTCCAGGCACAAGTCGGGTGTGGCCTACAAAGGTCATGACCTTCAACTTCGGCCGGCTTTTTTCTCAACCTCCAGGACCAAAGAAAAGATAAATGTACGAGAGTCCAACCTAAATGTTAAAGTAAATCATTGTAGCGTTACAGCAAATGTTACAGTAAATCATAGTACTATTACAGCAAATGTTACAGTAAATCATAGTAGTGTTACATCAAATGTTACAGTGAATCATAGTAGTGTTACCTCAAATGTTACTGTAAATCATAGTAGTGTTACAGCCAATGTTACAGTAAATCATAGTAGTGTTACAGCAAATGTTACAGCAAATGTTACAGCAAATGTCACAATGAATCTACATTTGTTTGAATAACCTTAACTTACATCATATTGTTAGCAAGTTGTTTTTTTAACACCCGCCATCTTTGATCCAACTAGGACTGGATCCAGGGCGTCTACAAGGCCAAACTCCTGCAGACAGCTCTCCGGTACCCGGAACTGATGGACAGACTTCTGTCTTCCGGCATGTCCGGAACTATCAGCCGGAAGTCGTCAAGCGTTGACCCTTTACCAGACATAACTATGTCAAGGTCAGTGGTTTCTACTGTAAAACTTCTAGAAATCATTTTGGTTTAAATGTCTAAAAATATGGATGTCAGTATCTAAAGATCTGGATGGTAATATCTAAATCCATCGCTTATGATAAATGTATCTATGTACATATGTATGTACATATACTTGAATGTACACAAATCAACGTGTACACACAAATATGTATGAGGAGTACAAGGTATCGTGTTTCATTTTTTAAATGGTTGTCATATGTATGTGTATGTCATGGCAGAAGTTTGTTCTAATTCCCCAAACCTTTGTACATTTAGCGCCTCCACGTTGACAACCAAATCAACACACTTTGTTTCTATCTTGTGTATATACATTTATACATATGTTAATTTTAAGTACTCACTAAATGTAATCAAATACATACACCTGTATCTTTACTCAATACCTGTATTTTAACACAACACAAGTATTCAACACAACACAGGTAAATTTAGCACAACACCTTATATCAACACAGCACCTGTAAATTTTGTCAATTAGCTGTACATAACCTGTAACTTACCACACACCTGTAACTCACCACCTGTAATTGCCCTCACACCTGTATATCACCTGTAACTTACCAACCACCTGTATGTCACCTGTATATCATCTTATATCACCTGTATATCACAAGTATATCACCTGTATATCACCTGTATATCACCTGTATATCACCTGTATATCACCTGTATCTCACCTGTATCTCACCTGTATATCACCTGTATATCACCTGTATCTCACCTGTATATCACCTGTATATCACCCGTATATCACCTGTATATCACCTGTATATCACCTGTATCTCACCTGTATATCACCTGTATATCACCTGTATATCACCTGTATATCACCTGTATATCACCTGTATATCACCTGTATATCACCTGTATATCACCCGTATATCACCTGTATATCACCTGTATATCACCTGTATCTCACCTGTATCTCACCTGTATATCACCTGTATATCACCTGTATCTCACCTGTATATCACCTGTATATCACCCGTATATCACCTGTATATCACCCGTATATCACCTGTATATCACCTGTATATCACCTGTATATCACCCGTATATCACCTGTATATCACCTGTATATCACCCGTATATCACCTGTATATCACCTGTATATCACCTGTATATCACCTGTATATCACCTGTATATCACCTGTATATCACCTGTATATCACCTTATATCACCCGTATATCACCTGTATATCACCTGTATATCACCTGTATCTCACCTGTATATCACCTGTATATCACCTGTATATCACCTGTATATCACCTGTATATCACCTGTATATCACCTGTATATCACCTGTATATCACCCGTATATCACCTGTATATCACCTGTATATCACCTGTATCTCACCTGTATCTCACCTGTATATCACCTGTATATCACCTGTATCTCACCTGTATATCACCTGTATATCACCCGTATATCACCTGTATATCACCCGTATATCACCTGTATATCACCTGTATATCACCTGTATATCACCCGTATATCACCTGTATATCACCTGTATATCACCCGTATATCACCTGTATATCACCTGTATATCACCTGTATATCACCTGTATATCACCTGTATATCACCTGTATATTACCTGTATATCACCTGTATATCACCTGTATATCACCTGTACATCACCTGTACCTGCCCCAGGAAAAGTTCTCTGGTCACCAGACCTACAAGACGCGGGTCAGTGTTCTGGGAACCTCCGTCATACGATGGTCTAACAGAGGAGGAGGTTAGTGGTGGTTTAGTCGTGGTTTAGTCGTGGTTTAGTCGTGGTTTAGTCGTGGTTTAGTCGTGGTTTAGTCTTGGTTTAGTTGTGGTTTAGTCGTGGTTTAGTCGTGGTTTAGTCGTGGTTTAGTCGTGGTTTAGTCGTGGTTTAGTCGTGGTTTAGTCGTGGTTTAGTCGTGGTTTAGCCGTAGTGTAATCGTGGTTTAGTCGTGGTTTAGTCGTGGTTTAGTCGTGGTTTAGTCGTGGTTTTGTCATGGTTTAGTCGTGGTTTAGTCGTGGTTTAGTCGTGGTTTAGTCGTGGTTTAGTCGTGGTTTAGTCGTGGTTTAGTCGTGGTTTAGTCGTGGTTTAGTCGTGGTTTTGTCGTGGTTTAGTCGTGGTTTTGTCGTGGTTTAGTCGTGGTTTAGTCTTGGTTTAGTTGTGGTTTAGTCGTGGTTTAGTCTTGGTTTAGTCTTGGTTTAGTCTTGGTTTAGTTGTGGTTTAGTCGTGGTTTAGTCTTGGTTTAGTCTTGGTTTAGTCTTGGTTTAGTCTTGGTTTAGTCTTGGTTTAGTTGTGGTTTAGTCGTGGTTTAGTCTTGGTTTAGTCTTGGTTTAGTCTTGGTTTAGTTGTGGTTTAGTCGTGGTTTAGTCTTGGTTTAGTCTTGGTTTAGTCTTGGTTTAGTTGTGGTTTAGTCGTGGTTTAGTCTTGGTTTAGTCTTGGTTTAGTCTTGGTTTAGTTGTGGTTTAGTCGTGGTTTAGTCGTGGTTTTGTCGTGGTTTAGTCTTGGTTTAGTCTTGGTTTAGTCTTGGTTTAGTCTTGGTTTAGTTGTGGTTTAGTCGTGGTTTAGTCTTGGTTTAGTCTTGGTTTAGTCTTGGTTTAGTTGTGGTTTAGTCGTGGTTTAGTCTTGGTTTAGTCTTGGTTTAGTCTTGGTTTAGTTGTGGTTTAGTCGTGGTTTAGTCGTGGTTTAGTCGTGGTTTAGTCGTGGTTTAGTCGTGGTTTAGTCGTGGTTTAGTTGTGGTTTAGTCGTGGTTTAGTCGTTGTTTAGTCGTGGTTTAGTCGTGGTTTAGTCGTGGTTTAGTCGTGGTTTAGTCGTGGTTTAGTCATGGTTTAGTCGTGGTTTAGTCGTGGTTTAGTTGTGGTTTAGTCGTGGTTTAGTCGTGGTTTAGTCGTGGTTTAGTCGTGGTTTAGTCGTGGTTTAGTCGTGGTTTAGTCGTGGTTTAGTTGTGGTTTAGTCGTGGTTTAGTCGTGGTTTAGTCGTGGTTTAGTCGTGGTTTAGTCGTGGTTTAGTCGTGGTTTAGTCGTGGTTTAGTCGTGGTTTAGTCGTGGTTTTGTCGTGGTTTAGTCGTGGTTTAGTCGTGGTTTAGTCGTGGTTTAGTCGTGGTTTAGTCGTGGTTTAGTCGTGGTTTAGTCGTGGTTTAGTCGTGGTTTAGTCGTGGTTTAGTCGTGGTTTAGTCGTGGTTTAATCGTGGTTTAGTCGTGGTTTAGTCGTGGTTTAGTCGTGGTTTAGTCGTGGTTTAGTCGTGGTTTAGTCATGGTTTAGCCGTGGTTTAGTGTGGTTTAGTCGTGGTTTAGTCGTGGTTTAGTCGTGGTTTAATCGTGGTTTAGTCGTGGTTTAGTCGTGGTTTAGTCGTGATTTAGTCGTGATTTAGACGTAATTTAGACGTGGTTTAGACGTGATTTAGTGGTTAGCTAATGGTTGGTTTGTGGTTTACTAATTTGTGGGTTTAGTGGTTAATTGTTGGTATATAGGTTAGTTTAGTCATTGATTGAGAAGTAAGTTTCCAAATTGATCTAAATCATCTGGCACTAGCTGCAAGATTAAAACCTTGGTTATCTCTTTGCTGCAATAACAGAGACAGAGGAAAAGGGAAGTGCGGACGTTCCGCTGGTACGGTCGCATGATCAGGGCACTGTGCGGTCTCCTGATGGACATGAAGAAGATGAGCATCAGCAAGACCCAGCAGTCGGCGTACTCCGAGTTCCTGTACATCATGGCCGGACCCAAGACGCACGCCGGTCAGGAGGGGCACGGGGAGGAGTCGCAGTACGTCTTGTTTGACAAGTCCTGGTTCAACCGGAACAGAGCGGTGAGTCATGCGATGGACTGGGGGTGGGGACGGAGTGGGGATACAATTTCATTGTTAATTTTACTTAGACAAAATAGTAATACAGTTTTAAGCCGTTTTCGGTAGCTGTTGCGGAAAACCAGCGGAAATTCAAACTGTTCATCAACTACAAACGTCAAATGTTTTTTTGTTTTTTTTGGGTACGCCAAATACTGGTGAAGAGTGTTTTGAACCAACAAATAAAAAATGTTTAAGACACTTTAATTGAGCAATTAAAAAACACATTTAAAGATTGTACAACAAGAAAAACAAGTTTAAATGATTATATTATTGTTCTAAAAAAAGTATTTTTTTTTTAAAAATGTGGTCAAAGGGAGCTAACCAAATTTATTTTATTTAAATTTAGCCCAATAGGAGTTAATTTTCCATAAAAGCTTAAAATCATAACCAAATGAACAACGAAACAAAGTAACAGTCAAAGGGAATTAACAATGTTAATTAGTTTTAATAAGTACGAATTGAATTGTTTCCCTTGAAATGTAAATGTTACATTTTTAAATCCTGGTCAAAGAGAGATAACCAAATATTTCAAAAGTTACTTCCGCTGTATGAACAATTTTCTGTCAAAGTTGAATTTTGAAGATACTTTTAAAAAAACTCTACATGAAAAGAAATATATTCAAATAGAAAGGTTAAAAACACAATTTAAGAAGTATATAATTACTTATTTTCCTTTAAAAAAAATTGGTTTAAACTTAAATAATTATAGTCAAATCGGGTCTATCTTAGACTATATATATTCATTTAATTGACCCAACTCGAGTAAACTCTCGATAGATTTGTGTTTATTCTAATTTAATTTATGGTTTTTGTTTTCATTTTACTTTAGTTAAAATTTTGCCGTTTTAGATAACAAGGGAAGTAACCTTTGCTGGACTAAAAGTAGAAACAAATATTTGGTCATCTCCCTTTGACCACAAAGTGGAAGCATTTTTTTGGAACATTTTATATCAGGGGAAATAAATCAAACATTACTTAATTAAAAGTACGATTAATATTATTAACTCCCTTGGTCCGTTAATTTTACCTCACCGATTTTGAAAGGTATTTATAAAAAATAATCCAGTTTTCCCCTGTTAATTAATAAAAGCAGAAACTGCATTAAAATGATTGTCTCAAAGAAAACTAAATACTTTATTTGAATATTTTAATGCAGCAGTACTTTTTAGCGCAATTTCCATTCTGGAGAATTGCGTTTATTAACTCGTCATTTCTGGGAATGGATGGATGAATGAATTAATGAATGTATGGATGAATGTGTGTCCGGGCTTTAAGTCGTATCTCCTCCTCAACGAAGCAATATCGATGACTAGTTCCAAAAGCAATTATGTTAAGCAAGTTACGAGAATGAGCATAGGCCATAAAAATTCCGGGTTTCTTTCATGTATTTCCCGGAAAAGCCAAAAAACCTCGAAAAAAAATCAGTTTTTGTCCCATATCTCGGCAACCAGACCACTTAGCGACTTGAAACATGTACCAATCGATTCCTGCCATAATTTAGAACAATATTGCCGAAGAAAGTTTTCAAAAATATACTCTCGTTCGGTCACAAATTTTAAAATTACATAAACACCTACAAACCGATCGTTCTTCTAGCTTGAACGCACCCAAGCATTATACGTCAGAGCTATTTTTAGATAACATAAGGAAATTGCGCATAAATGTCACTAGACTTTTTTAATTAACTTGTTTTCTAATTGCCAAATATATTTTAAAACTTATTTTTAAATGATAATATTCAAATGAACGAAGCACTGTAACACGTAGGGAATTTATTTTGTTCTCATCTCAGAAATATAAAACAGTATACGTTTAAATTCCCAAAAAATGTATACAAAAACATTTTTTTTTTCTCCTTATAAACATTTTGTCAATATGGGAGAAAGCAGCTTTTCCTTTTGAATTAAACGGATTAGCTGTAAACTAGAATTGATAAATTATAAATTTTAATGTTCCATTCATAAAAAATGTTTTATCTCATCTACTAACATACAAACCATATGGAATATGTTTTTATTTTTCAGTGGTCAAGGATGCCTGAATGGGCGCAGGCTGTGATGCAATTACCACCAGACGAAAGGACAAGAGATCAAATCCACCATTTGAAGCAACTGCTGATGACAATGAGAGGTTTCCGGGACAACTTGACGGATGAAATGCGAGACAAAATGTGTCAAGTTGTCAGATATACCAAGTATAAATGTCTTGTTTTCTAATGTGGTGTAGCTGGTTGTTATTTAACTGTGTTGGGTTCACTTTGATGGTACATGACGTAGCTAATGGCTGACCGACCACTTTGATGGTCCATGACGTAGCTAATGGCTGACCGACCACTTTGATGGTCCATGACGTAGCTAATGGCTGACCGATCACTTTGAGGCGTACATGACGTAGCTAATGGCTGACCGACCACTTTGATGGTCCATGACGTAGCTAATGGCTGACCGATCACTTTGAGGCGTACATGACGTAGCTAACGGCTGACCGATCACTTTGAGGCGTACATGACGTAGCTAATGGCTGACCGATCACTTTGATGGTCGATGACGTAGCTAATGGCTGACCGATCACTTTGATGGTCGATGACGTAGCTAATGGCTGACCGATCACTTTGATGGTCGATGACGTAGCTAATGGCTGACCGATCACTTTGATGGTCGATGACGTAGCTAATGGCTGACCGATCACTTTGATGGTCGATGACGTAGCTAATGGCTGACCGATCACTTTTAGGCGTACATGACGTAGCTAACGGCTGACCGATCCTCCCCAGGTGCGACAAGGGGCGGGTCGTGTTGAGACAAGGACACCTGGGCTTCGACTTCTACTACATCTTCTCCGGCTCCGTCTTTGTACAGATCGACCTTTACGACGAGAAGTCCGACACGACCTACTCAAATGTGGAAAACGTGCTCAGAAGTGGGGAAGGGTTTGGGGTAAGTTCAATGGTAAAGTTTTGGGTAAGTTCAATGGTAAAGTTTTAGGTAAGAGGTGAGGTAGTTTGGGGTGAGAGTTTGGGTAAACTCTAAAGTTTATATTTCAGTGGTAAGGTACTCCAGTGTAGTTCGATATCCAAATATCGAAGAAATCAAAAGTAGTTTTTAATAAAGTTTCTGATAAATGGTCAGATTTTAACAGGGGTTGGATTTTAAGATTTGTCAAATTTTAGCATGAACACTGCAATTTTGGCCTTCGTTATTTTTAGTCCTTTTATAACAAGCATTGAGTCCCAGTATAGGAACATTGCCTTAATTTACTCATCAAATGAGAACACATACACCTACCAAAAAGGTAATCTTCAGGTAATTGCCGTCCAGGTTACCTGAATCCATCATAAAATACGTCATCACAAGGTGTTTGTAACAAAAAAGTGTCCATTTTTAATCGTATGCCAAAAACAACTTGACATAGAATTTATCTTAGCACTCGCCGAGCCTCGTCCAACTAGGACATTCCTGCCTCTCAGCTATCTAAGCCGTTAGTGCCATACTATCTCAATTAATTATTGCATGGTCATTCTTTTCCATGAATTATTACTCTTTAATCGTTGTCCATTCATTATAACCCATTAATTATAACTAGGGTTTATTCAAGGCATCTCTTCGGGAAGGGTGGGGGGGGTTCAGAGCCCCGAAGAACGTCTACCCCGCCCTTCGAACGAAATTTAATTTATATAGAAAATATATACTTTATCCAGTGTCTGCCCCACCCCTCCCCGGAAATTTTAGTCCACCCCCCCCCCCCCGAAAATTCCATGATGACTACTACATTTTTATCAGCTCACAAGCTGTGCGTGCAGGAAACATTTTATTTTCGATCCCCCCCCCCCCCCCCCCCCCACACCTCTCTATCTTCCACCCACGCAAACAACTTCTCTCTTGTAACAGTAGAAAAATAAATCAGCAAATCTTGCGAATGACGTCATTTTCACGATCGCCGTCCCGCCATTTATCAGCGGTGCCTGCAGTTTTCCATTTCCTGTTTTCGGAATGTGCCGTCTGCCAGCCCGCCCCTGTCGTCTGCTCTCGTTATCTTCAAGTCGCAAAACATACCCGGATGTTGAATAAATTATGTTAATCTTTCCATACATTCATGTCAAATAAACAAAACAAAATATCTCCATTTAGGGATCGTCCAAATCACGATTTCTTCTTTGGTGATTTTTAAAATTTTTCCTCCCCCACACATCGTCACAGTGTGTTACCCCCACCCCCACCTATTAATATACACTTTATGAACAATCACTCCACTTGTCACACAGAGCCCTCCACTTCTCACTTGGAGAGTGACGTCATTTATGCCCCCTCCCCCTTACCACTTTTAGAAATGACCAAAAGTCTACCGGAGAAAACATGATCGGCTGCAGAATTTCTCACCAGCTTCTAGCTCACACATCGCTTTAAGTTATAGCATTCCAATACAGCGTCTGCTTTTGGACGGATAAAAATAGAACGATTCGTGTCTGACAACCCAGGCTTGACATAAAATCTGGCTATGCGATACACTAAGAATACATTTTGCTTGACTGTTTGGGATGCATGACGTCATCATACCGATGAGATGAATTAATTAGTTCTAAAAATTCTGCTAGATTTGCTGAATTTCTATTTGTGAATAAAATCGTTGCTAAGTAAACAATGCAATAACCACGCGAAGCTAGAAAAACAGAAAGATATTGATTACAATTTTTCAAATTAGAATTAATTTAGTTTTGACATCCCAAGGACGGCAAGTAAGAAGATCAATATCTCAATCTTGACATCAAACTTGTGTCTACAGGAAATCTTGATATCAAACTTGTGTCTGCAGGAAATCTTGATATCAAATTTGTGTCTACAGGAAATCTTGATATCAAACTTGTGTCTTTAAAAAATCTTGATATCAAACTTATGTCTACAGGAAATCTTGATATCAAACTTGTCTATAAAAAATCTTGATATCAAACTTGTGTCTACAGGAAATCTTGATATTTAACTTTTGTCTGCAGGAAATCCTGATATAAAACTTGTGTCTTTAAAAAATCTTGATATCAAACTTGTGTCTACAGGAAATCTTGATATTAAACTTGTGTCTACAGGAAATCTTGATATCAAACTTGTGTCTTTAAAAAATCTTGATACCAAACTTGTGTCTACAGGAAATCTTGATATCAAACTTGTGTCTTTAAAAAACCTTGATATCAAACTTGTGTCTTTAAAAAACCTTGATATCAAACTTGTGTCTTTAAAAAATCTTGATATCAAACTTGTGTCTACATGAAATCTTGATATCAAACTTCTGTCTTTAAAAAAATCTTGATATCAAACTTGTGTCTTTAAAAAATCTTGATACCAAACTTGTGTCTACAGGAAATCTTGATACCAAACTTGTGTCTTTAAAAAACCTTGATATCAAACTTGTGTCTTTAAAAAATCATGATATCAAACTTGTGTCTACAGGAAATCTTGATATCAAACTTGTGTCTGTAAAAAAACTTGATATCAAACTTGTGTCTTTAAAAAATCTTGATATCAAACTTGTGTCTGTAAAAAAACTTGATATCAAACTTGTGTCTTTAAAAAATTTTGATATCAAACTTGTGTCTGTAAAAAAACTTGATATCAAACTTGTGTCTTTAAAAAATCTTGATATCAAACTTGTGTCTGTAAAAAAACTTGATATCAAACTTGTGTCTTTAAAAAAATCTTGATATCAAACTTGTGTCTGTAAAAAAACTTGATATCAAACTTGTGTCTTTAAAAAAATCTTGATATCAAACTTGTGTCTTAAAAAAATCTTTATATCAAACTTGTGTCTTTAAAAATCTTGATATCAAACCTGTGTCTGCAGGAAATCGCCCTGCTGGGGGACGGCCGCCGGACGGCGTCTGTTATCTGCAAGGAACCGACGGAGCTGTGCCAGATCGACAAGGTGACCTTCCTGGAGATCTGCCCGGTCATGTTCAACCAGCAGCTCCAGGACAAGATCAGCTTCGCCAGGTGACTATCACGTGACTAGGCTTTGCCAGGTGACTATCACGTGACCTTCGCCAGGTGACTATCACGTGACTAGGCTTTGCCAGGTAACTAGCACGTGACTAGGCTTTGCCAGGTGACTATCACGTGACTAGGCTTTGCCAGGTGACTATCACGTGACCTGAGGCGGGTGACTATCACGTGACCTGTGCCATGTCACTATTACGTGACCTTTGCCGGGGGCTATCACATTTCCTTAGGCGGGTGACTATCACGTGACTTTTGCCAGGTGACTTTTACGTGACTATGCTTTGCCGGGGGGGGGAGGGGGAGTGACTATCACGTGATCGGGTTATACAAAATGACTATCACGTGACCCAACTTTGCCGGGTGACTATCACGTGACTAAAAGAGGATAATCATATAGATGAGTTGATTAAGTCTTATTATATACCGTCCCTATGACCTTATATATCGTCCGTATGACCTTATATAACGTCCCTGTGACCGTATATAGCGCCCCTATCACCTTATATAGCGTCCCTATGACCTTTAATAACGTCCCTATGACCTTATATAGCGTCCCTATGACTTTATATAGCGTCCATATGATCTTATATAACGTCCCTATGACCTTATATAACGTCCCTATGATCTTATATAGCGTCCATATGATCTTATATAGCGTCCCTATGACGTTATATAGCGTTCCTATCACCTTATATAACGTCCTTGTGACCTTATATAAACGGATGTGCGCTTATACAAATGGTTGTGTTTTTGTAGTGTAAAGTGCCCCTAAGTGTGTCACACAATGACTTAGTTACCTTGTCCGTGTTTTGTGGCTGGTTTATGTCATTTCACTTCCTTCTTTAGTGCAACTAGCATTGAAGTAAATGACGTTAATTAATGGGTTGTGCTAATAAGTTGTTTTTTTATCAGACCGATAAATCTACCTTAAATTAATCATAACCTTAACCCTATACCCTAACGTGTATATTGACAAACCTAAGGACATTATTTGGGCCCAGCTCAGAGGTCCCCACTCCCCCATCCCCCCCCCCCCACAACCGCCCATCCCCCCCCCCCCCCCCCCATCAGAAAAGAGCCTGTAGCCACAACTTGTGTATTATCTGCAGCAAATTCCCGCTGTTTGAGACCTGGGACCCTGAGCACCTGAAGAGACTCTGTTTCCTGTCGCAGGTTTTGGACGTCCCACACTCGACTGTCGTCGAATCTGATTGGTCAAAAGCGAACTATGCGTACTTCGTCATGAAAGTAAGTGAAACCTCCATACATTTTACTGCACAAAATTACAAGGCATTTCGCTCGAGAAATATGATTTTACTTTTTTAATTGGACATGAAATGAATAGTTGTAATATAAAGAGGAGCAAGTAGAATAGCTTAGAAACAGGAGCAAGTAGAATAGCTTAGTTTACTGGTGACGTCATCACTCCCCAGGGGCGGCTATCCATGCTGAAAGAGTTTGATGTCTCAGATCTCGTGACGAGTGAGACAAGGGGCAGAACTCACCGGGTGAAGAAAGAAAACAGCAAGTCGCTAGCCAGGTGCTCACAGTTCGCTCATGTTGGCATGCTGCATCACGGGGACTGCACGGTTAGTCCTGTAGGACAGTAGGACATTAGGACAGTAGGGCATTAGAACATTAGGATATAAGGACATTACGACGGTAGGACATTAGAACATTAGGATATAAGGACATTACGACGGTAGGACATTAGAACATTAGGATATAAAGACATTACGATTGTAGGACATTAGAACATTAGGACGTTAGGACATTAGGACAGTAGGACATTAGGACATAAAGACATAAGGACAGTAGGACGGTATGACATTAGGACATAAAAACATAAGGACAGTAGGACGGTAGGACATTTGGAATTTAGGACTTTAGGAAATTAGGATATAAAGACAGTAGAACATTAGGACATTAGGACGGTAGGACATTACAACATGAAGTCACAATGGTTGAGTGAGGGTAGTTTAGCCTGTATGTTCGTTTTTTGTGAGGTTATTTGTGTGAGGTGGGGGGTACGGCAACGGTCGAGTTACGCCCTTTGTATACTTAAGAAAATAGAAATTAACAGTGACACGTCCTATACATTATTAAAACTATGAAGACTTCCAATAACTGTTTTTATCAGCGCTACAGATATACATGTATGTTAAATACTAGCAGAGTTTAATTAAAGTTATAATTGAACATTGGCTGAACTGTGACCTTTGAACTGCTGACGTCATCCGTACAGAACCTCTCCGTGCTGTCGATGAAGCCGCCAAAAGACATGACACGGATCACGCTGGTGAGTGACGGTGTCCGTCTCTTCAGGGTCGCTGTCCGAACCTTCCTCAGGATCTCGCCCAGAAAGTCTTCTGAGGAGTACCTCAAGAAGGTCTACAAGCCCAGAGAGTGAGTTGGTCGTTGTGTGGGCTGTTGTGTGGGCTGGTGTGTGGGTTGTTGTGTGGGTCGTTTTGTGGGCTGTTGTGTGGGCTGTTGTGTGGTTTGTTGTGTGGGGTGTTGTGTGGGTTGCTGTGTGGGTCGTTGTGTGGGTTGTTGTGTGGGCTGTTGTGTGGGCTGGTGTGTGGGTCGTTCTGTGGGGTGTTGTGTGGGTTGCTGTGTGGGCTGTTGTCTGGGCTGGTGTGTGGGCTGTTGTGTGGTTTGTTGTGTGGTTTGTTGTGTGGACTGTTATGTGTGCCGCGCCCTGCTCAGTTCCCTATGGGGATTCTTTGGCTTTTTTTCCCATCTACACTAAAATAACGCTTTTAAAATAACCCATGAATTTTGTATATTAAAATGACAGATTGGGTAGGTAATATGATGCCTGCATTGTCGAGGGTCAATGGTGTGTAGTGGGTGGTCAAGTTTATATCACACAGTTCCCCACTCATTAGGACTTAGCTGAATTACCAAATAATTAATTAATTAAAGCATATCTAAACATTAATTGCTGAAACTATGAAGTTTGTAGCCATATTGTAATCCCAGAACACCTCATTCCCTTTTCTTCAGGTTTCCGACAGAAGAGGAGCTAAGAGCTCATTACCTTGAAGATTTAAGCTGGTCGGAGTTTAAAAAGAATATTATCAATATACATCGTCTTCAACGGCTAGGGCAGGTCATCGCGTCCATACCGGCAACTCTCAAAGGCTCAAGTGGCTGGGCACGATGGCCAGGATACATCGTCGTGCCTAAAGCCAAAAAAGTATTTGGTTTAGTTTGTAAAATAGCCAACATTTTTCTTTTGTGTGGAATTTGTATTTGACAGAGTGACATTAGTGCACTAATGTCAAAATTAACATAAATTTATTTATGTTCTTCTAATCCACAGCCTACAGAAGAGGACGAACTTACCTCGGATGGCGAGGACGGCGATGATGTTGATGATGACAATGTGAATCTCCCAGAGAACGACGACACTACCCTGATGACCACTCGCACGTCATCACCTGGTCCATTCGTTGATACAGAAACCCACCTGGCAGTGGTCAACGACCGGACACTCAACATGCGGCCATTCAACACCAACTCCCTGACCAGCTGGAGGAAAAACCTGGACCCTTCGACCAGTTATTTCGTTGGGGACCACATTTTTACGTCATAGTTCTGGGATTTCGTTGGGACCACATTTTTACGTCATAGTTCTGGGATTTCGTTGGGACCACATTTTTACGTCATAGTTCTGGGATTTCGTTGGGACCACAATTTTACGTCATAGTTCTGGGATTTCGTTGGGACCACATTTTTACGTCATAGTTCTGGGATTTCGTTGGGGACCACATTTTTACGTCATAGTTCTGGGATTTTGTTGGGGACCACATTTTTACGTCATAGTTCTGGGATTTTGTTGGGGTTGCAGTTCTGGACTATTTGGTTCCATATTTGTTTTGTTTCTAGAATCTCTCCAACAATTCCTGTTTTAACTATGAAAGAGCTTTGTTGCCGAAGACTTTAAGTGAGTTTGGAACAAAGGTCAATTAAATTCTCTGTTTAAGCAGATGTGGATAGACAATTGTGAAAGTCTAATGTTTGATTTGATACTAAGACACGAATTTACTGTGATACTAAGACACGAATTTATTGTTATACTAAGACACGAATTTACTGTGATACTAAGACAAGAATTTACTGCGATACTAAGACATGAGTTTACTGTGATACTAATGTAAGCCCTGCTAGGGGGGGATACCTAATATCTACCCTTCTAGGCTTATCTAACTAACTACTGTCCGGTCAGTGCAAGCCCGGATAAACCCAGACTGGTTAATAACCTAACCTTAGTCTAAAATAAAAAAAAACTACTAAAATAAAACAAAAAAACTTAAACAATATAATAAAATTTATTTAACAAAATAATAAATATGGAACCAAAAGTTATTATAAAAAAACCAGAATCTAGATCTAGACAAAATAAAACACTCAAGACATACAAAACAAACAGAACTCAACGAAACAAAACACCCAATTTCGGACCACCGTCCTAGAAAGAGGAAAAATAAGACAAATCAATTTAAATGTAAAAAAAGTTATACACAAAGCAGTAAGCTGATACAATTGTCAGCCTAAACAAGAGGCTCTCATAAATGAAAGTAAAATCTACAATAATCCATGACTAAACCCAGGCCATCGTGCTACCACGTGGTCTGGATAAAACAAACATTGAAACTTCTCAAAGTCAAGACTAAATAGATCTAGTATATAGATCTAGTCACTTTGTATACAAAATAAACAAACAAAAATATGGAAAACATAATAAAACCGTATAAAAATAGCTCTACGTTACCATACACCATATAAATGTGTTACAGAAACACTTAACACACAGGCCTCGACATTCCCGCTGAATGTCCCTCCCTGTCGACACACCACATTCACGAACAAAGAAACCAATACTACGAACAAAGAAACCAATACTACGCACAAGAAAATAGTCCCTAATACAATAATAAGTAACATTCAGGACTTAAAGCAAAGTGGAGCCACACTCCAAAACAAAGTTTGCATAAATAATAACATTAAAATATAAACAAGACACAATAACCAGGCTACAAACCATTGTAAAATCAAAATCATATCAGCGCCATAATAGCGGACTACTTAACTAAAAACCACAACAATCCTCAAAGGAACATAAAAAGCGACATTCGCCTTCTTAGTTACAAATAATTATAATAACAGATAAACACACTCCAGCCGCTCACACTAAGACAAGAATTTATTGTGATACTAAAACAAGGATTTGATACTAAGACACGAATTTACTGTGATATTAAGACATGAATTTACTGTGATACTAAGACATGTATTTACTTTAATACTAAGACAAACGTCTAATATAATACGTTTTTAATTTGATACTTAGACATATGTCTCATTTGCTACAAAGAAAGATATTTACTGCGAAACTTAGACAAATGTCTAATATAATACTAAGACAAATGTTAGATTGGCTAGGAACGTCTTCCCTTTTATTATTAAATGTACGAGGACTTTACTTCAGTCCTTTTGCTTAGTTGAAATGTTGAACGAGTTTGTCGTATATAGCAAATGTTGAATTTTTTACATTAAATATTCATCTTTTTACGTGAGTGTGTTGTTATTTAATCATTTAAAAAAAAATTAAAAAAAACAAAAACAAATAGCAATGGTTACAATCAAATAGTTTCAACTATTTTCATCATCTTTTCCGTTCATGCCCAAGTCACATGACTACATACGAAAATGTGGTCAGCTGGTCAGGACTATATTCAGCCGCCTTTGTTTTCTCTAACTGCCTACTCTTCAGAGATTCGTGAAGTCAGGAACATTCTACTGACTTGAACCCGAATTCGAAACTGTCGGGTTAGCAGTCTTGCTCTCTACCGCTAGGCCACACGGAATTTATCTTTATCATCAGTGGCAGAAATGGGGAAAAACAACTTACGTTTTTCCTACGTTTCGTTTTTTACTAAAGTAATCATAACAAAGTGTGTGGTGCAACCTACGCGATCACCGTAGACTGCAAGAAACACACACACACACACATATATATATATATATATATATATATATATATATATATATATATATATATATATAATGAAAATATGTCTATGTGTCTGTCAGTCTGTTAGTCTGTGGGTTTGTCTTTTATGTATTACTACATCTTTTATATGATCGCCATGAAACTTTGGAAAATTGTTGAAAAATAACACTGAGGAGGTTTCTGCGATTAAAAAAAATCCGGAGAGGGGCGCTCCAGCAGGGTGCGATTCGGCGCCCAAATTCGCCAGCAGCTATCTAGCACCTGGGATCTTTTTATTGGGCGTCCTGCGGGGATGCCACTTGATTTAACGAACAAACTGTATCAGCAGCGTCCGACGGCCCATTTACTTTGTACAAATATACTAACAGCTCATATAGATTTTATATGGTATGAAAATATAATTAATTATTTAATTTACAAGACATGGTCATAAGGAAAAATTTACCATTTTGAAATTACACCAGCAAAAGAATAGAAGTTTAGTTTGTTCAATGTGCACTAGAATAGAATAGAACTCATGTTTCCTTATCATATCAGTCTAGTTACTCTAGTATTATTGCTACAGCTGAATGTTTTCTGATAACACATGAACAATAAAGTCCCGCGTCCAGATATTGGAGGTCAACCAAAATTTGAGAGTAATTCAAGAATAAAATCATTTATATGAAATTTCGTCTACTCAACTGAAATTCTATTGAAGTTATCGATTTCCCAAAGATATTAGAGTTGAGTGCCACTTCTTGTTACTAAAAATCGTTGCAAAATTGATAAAAAGCCTTCGCATACCTATATTAATAGCTATATTTTAAAGTTGGTCGATCTAACTAAAAAAGTACTCAAATTATAGGCTTTTGAGAAACCGGAAGTGGAATAAGTACCACTTCCTGTTACCGGAAATCGCCCAAACGTTAAAAGAAAATTACAAATTATGTATGAAATATGGTCTACATTACCAAAACGGTACACAAGTTATCATGTTTACAGACACACACACGCACTTAGAGAGAAAGAGAGAGAGAGAGAGAGAGAGAGGATTGAAAAAGAAAGTTTTTTTTCCAGCTCCGGAAGGTTATAAAATGTCAAAATGTGTCAAAATCTTGATTTAGATTTTTGCACGATTACAATGCATAGTTTTTACTCAGCATACGATAAAGCGGGGAAGCGTAAAACGATGAAAACTGTCAAAATCTCATTTAATGTGTGTGCACGATTACAATACTTTCTCTACACTCCGTAAGTAAAAATTACACATGAGAGGAAATGTATTCTCTCCTTCACTGTATGTAGCAAGTATTCACGATGAATTAAACTTTCTTGTGATGTGGTGTATATAGTTTATAAACATGTGACACTGCTAGCAGTTCAAGCTTTTGTCCATTTGTGTCTACATAATTATCTCAGCTAGCGAGCATTTTCTGCATCTGTTAATTGAAAGATATATAAATAACACGAGCTGACCCGCGACATTGTATACGCCGCCATCTAGTTGTTTTATTTTTCTGCTTATCAGCAATTCATAATTTGTGAATTCAACATTGACATTTCAAGGGTTACTTTGAAGTAATTAATTTAATAATTACATAACTGTTTTTCTTTGTTTTGTTAATTAACCTTAGAACAATTCGGCATTCTAGGATATTGAAGTCGCGGGTCACTTGGCTTTTATAAAAATGGGTCGCCAGATAAATAAGTTGGAACTAATAGATAAACAGTGTTTCATTATAAAGAGAATAATTTTTAGTACGTATATAAAAACTTGTTATTGTGAACTTTTATAAATATTTGCATATTTTTTGGGTGATGATGACCTAATTAAAATGTGTCCCATAACTATTTATATATTTAGCACAAACAACCTGCGACCGATCATTCAAGTAGACAACTGAAATAAGTATTGAGGTCATTGATCCAACAAACATTTCATTCATCGAAAACAAACATCAATAAAAATCTATTTTCTACAAACCCTCTGTCTAAACTAATTATTTTTAAACTACACGCAAAGTTATTTGTTTAAACTAATTACTTTTAATCAGAGGCGTATCCAGGTTTTCGTTGTAGGGGGAGCGAAATGAGCAAAAAAAGGCGCCGAATTTTTAGCACGTTCTATATACATGTATTATATGTATATATATATATATATATATATATATATATATATATATATATATATATATATATATATATATATATATATATATATATATATATATATAAGTTTCCAAAAAGGCGCCACTTGGCTGAAAATGGCCAGAGGGGGAGCGGCCGCTCCCCCTGCTCCCCCCCCCCCTGCGTACGCTACTGCTTTTAATCTAAATGTATCGTCCCCAGTTTGGCTACATCAATGACGCCATAGGCCGAGTAAAAATGTTAGGATTAATCTACCTGAAGTATTAAATGACTTGAGTCTATTCCTGTAATTAATGATGGGATTATACTATACTCACCAGATCAGGTGACTTTACAACCATTAAAATCTTGTTTGAAGGGGGCTTTGTAAAAAAAATATACTGAAAGCAAATCGACAGAAGATATTCGATATTATTTTAATTGTGTGATGACGTTTTTAAATTGCGTGAATGCAGAGGCGTAGCGAAAAGGGGGGGGGTACATATGTCTCCGGGCGCCGACCTTAGTGGGCGCCAAAATGGGTTGGAAAAACAAATTAATATCTCATTTTAGGTGCAGTTTTGCATTATAAATATAAAAAATAAAATATATGGGGGGGGGGGGGGAGGGTTCAAATTGAAAATCGAAAGGTTGTTCCCGAGGGGGCGCCAAATTGAAAGTTTATCCCCGGGCGCCGGGAAGGGTCACTACGCCTCTGCGTGAATGGCAGCGTAAGCTATCGCTAATAGGGATCTAAAGTTAGAGATCTAATGATAGCGATCTAATGTTAGAAATCTAACTTGAATGAATCTCTCCGTTTCTTTGAGTACATATTTGCGTTCGTATAACAAAACAGCCGAACTTTTATTTTCAGCCATTTTAAATATGGAATGTAACAATCGTCATAACAGCCTAGATTGCTGTGAAGACATTAGCTGAAGAGCCTAAATCCACCACCGCGTCTCCCGAGGATTATCAGATTTGATGCCAATAAAATGTCTCCTCCACATCCGGTAGATAATTTTGCTTGTCACGCTCAGAGATTGTCAAGTCGCCATATTTGGTCAAACAAGTTTTCAGTCGGTTTATTTTTATTTTCTATTTGTATAGCAATTAGTGTCAGCTAATTAGATATTTTTAGCGTGGCGAAAACCAGAGGCGTAGAATGAATGTTTGTCAAGTCTGAAAACATTTGTGGGGCTGAGGTTAACTAGGCATGCAGTGTTAGAATTTAGCCCGCTATTTATAAAGGACAAGAAATAGGAATGTCATTGTAGTTGTAATACTACTTGTTTTATTCAGCGCCCTGTTTAACCCACCTCCCACCTTGGGTGCCAACAGCCCCATAGTTCACCACAGCCCAATATCACACAGCCCCCCCCCCCTAGTACAGAGTCCCTCCCCTAGCACCCAGCCCCTCCCCCTAGCACACAACCCCTCCCCCTAGCACACAGCCCCTCCCCCTAGCTCAGAACCCCTCCCCTAGCACAGAACCCCTCCCCCTAGCATACAGCCCCTCCCCCTAGCACACAGCCCCTCCCCCTAGCACACAGCCCCTCCCCCTAGCACAGAACCCCTCCCCCTAGCACAGAACCCCTCCCCCTAGCACAGAACCCCTCCCCCTAGCACACAGCCCCTCCCCCTAGCACACAGCCCCTCCCCCTAGCACACAACCCCTCCCCCTAGCACACAGCCCCTCCCCCTAGCACACAGCCCCTCCCCCAAGCACACAGCCCCTCCCCTTAGCACACAGCCCCACCCCCAAGCACACAGCCCCTCCCCTTAGCACACAGCCCCTCCCCTTAGCACACAGCCCCTCCCCCTAGCACACAACTTTCTCTCCAACCCATAGCTTCCTAGCCTACAGAGGCGCTCAGAACCATTAGCCTACCTCCTACTTTAGGTGACCACATAATATTTTGACGGTCCCATTTGTGTGACCTGCAATTTTTTTTGGGTGTACTTTATTCTTTATTAATTATGACGATTACTTTTTTATTCTAATTTACAACTTTTGGCATTAATCAACATGCCGAGGACGCCCATATTTCCCACTGCACCATTAAAAATTCACCCAAGCTCCCCAAAGCCCTCCTTTCGGTGCCTCGTACTTTTCACAAATAAACACGTGTTTACAGATGTACGCCCATGATCTATGTTAAAACATTTTTTTTACATAAGAAGAAAAAAAAATCACTGTTCGCTAACGCCCACGCACTCAACAAGGGTGGATGGGGGGGTGGACGAGGGGGTGGACGAGGGGGTGGGAGTCTGCTGCTAGTGAGATTACCACGTCACCGTGTTAGTATATTACAGGGCGTGCGGAGCGCGTGCGTCTGACCACAGGTCGGGCGGCCCACAATTCTCACCTTACTGTCGTCAGACGTCACATCGACAGTGTCTCGTCAGGTCCGTGGTGACGTGGGTAGAAGCTTCACTGCTGGTCGTGTGGGGTATGGATCAAACACTGGACTAAATGTACTGGTAAGATTCGAACTGGTTTACACCGTGTCATGTTATTTTAATTTGTATACAACAGTATTCAATTCATGGCATATTGTCTTTTAAAAGTTAGGATTCGAATTCTCAATCAACGAAATAATGACTGGCTAGCAGACAGCTGTAATAAAATGTCTGACTGGACTTGCCGCTCTAACTTTTTGCTTTAAAAAAAAGAAAGAATTTTTTTTTACTATACTTCAACTGTCTCAGCACTTAAATATTTCTCGATCACATAATAGAGTTGGTTGTCAATCAAATAATACGGGTTGTCAATAAAATAGAATGGGTTGTCAATAAAAACAGCTGGAGTTGTCAGTCAAGTAGAATGTTGTTTTTAAATTAAAATAGAAATGTTTGTCAATTTTATAAATGGGTTGTTAATAAAATAGAGTGGGTAATAAATGAAATGATTCGGGTTGTCCATGAAATGAACCGGGTTGCCATGTAACAATGCCGGCTTACAAAAGTGCTTTAAAGACGGCAACGGGCTAAGCAGAGATGAAATGTGTACGAATAGCCACCCCAGGCTAAATGGTTTTTGTCAAAAGGTAAATTTATCTTTATGTGTATCTGGCACGGGCTAGCCATGACCTTGACACGAAGGGTCAGCGCTTCTAGCACCAGGGATGACCAGTGGCCGCTTATCGCTGAGACGTACAGCAGGAGCGGTCTGGCACTGATGCCAGGAAGCTTTGGTCGAGTAAAACACTAATCATCGGTCATCGTGGTCAGTCCGCTAATTAGAGGGTAAACAACTAATCATCGGTCATAGTGGTCAGTCCGCTAATTAGAGGGTAAAACACTAATCATCGGTCATAGTGGTCAGTCCGCTAATTAGAGGGTAAAACACTAATCATCGGTCATCGTGGTCAGTCCGCTAATTAGAGGGTAAAACACTAATCATCGGTCATAGTGGTCAGTCCGCTAATTAGAGGGTAAAACACTAATCATCGGTCATTGTGGTCAGTCCGCTAATTAGAGGGTAAAACACTAATCATCGGTCATCGTGGTCAGTCCGCTAATTAGAGGGTAAAACACTAATCATCGGTCATAGTGGTCAGTCCGCTAATTAGAGGGTAAAACACTAATCATCGGTCATCGTGGTCAGTCCGCTAATTAGAGGGTAAAACACTAATCATCGGTCATAGTGGTCAGTCCGCTAATTAGAGGGTAAAACACTAATCATCGGTCATTGTGGTCAGTCCGCTAATTAGAGGGTAAACAACTAATCATCGGTCATCGTGGTCAGTCCGCTAATTAGAGGGTAAAACACTAATCATCGGTCATAGTGGTCAGTCCGCTAATTAGAGGGTAAAACACTAATCATCGGTCATAGTGGTCAGTCCGCTAATTAACGTAAAAAAAACAGTAAAACGTGGTCAGTCCACTAATTAAAGGGTAAAAATCAAATTATCGGTGGTTGTGGTCAGTCCACTAATTTAAGTGTAAAAATCTAATCATCAGTTGTCGTAATCTGTCTACTAATTACAGAATAAAAACGGGTCAAATAATTGATAACCTTTTGTCCACGTGACCCAACTGGTTACATCTTTGATAACTTTTTGTACACGTCTAGTCTAACAGTAACAATGGACACATTTTTCTCGAACACCACAGATTATTGTAATTAAAGATGTGTATTAATTATAATTAATGTCCACTAGCTTCCATCAACTCAAACCTTTTAAGTCTAACTGACAAACCGAAGTAGACTTTGGGGCATGGTGTTAAAATATCCAGGTAATTAATAAGAAAAGTGCATACACATTAGAGATAGCAGCTTAATAATACGCTTAACCACTAGCTAAAGAATGCAAGATAAATTATTATCGCTGTCTGTATTGCCCCCTTCATCGTATTAAGTTCTGTTGGAGAGCTTTTTTTTACCTCTTGTCGCCATAACAGGAGCCGTTATTGTTTTAAATGGTGGAGCTTTTTTTTAGGTCTACACCGGAAGTGCTTAATAACAAGGAAGGGGAGATAAAACCTGCAAGATGTGACATATGTACGACATTTTAATTAATTAAAGGAACGCAACTCGTACCAAAAAGAAAGCTATTTTGTTCCATGGGAGATAACTGAACTTATAAATATGTGTAGCTTTTTGCAAAGTTAATTTTATCGGAGAATTTAGATTTAGATAAGTTTAGGACGTAATTATGTAATATATATATATATATATATATATATATATATATATATATATATATATATATATATATATATATATAAACAAAATATAAACAGGCGGATCTAGGGGAGCTAACATACTAATTTGGGTGCGTTCAATGCTTTGTGATGAACGTTCAGAAACGTTGTGAAAAATGTATTTAACATTTGAAAGGAATCAGTCTACCATGAGTGCATGCTTTATTTTTGTCTTGTATTTATGTTTAGTCATGCGTGTTCACTCAATTCTATTTATGCCTCAGAGGGTCGAGTTGTTTTTTTTTAATAATTATATACCATTTTTTAGGCTATGCAGGATACCCAAAGATTAATTTTTGTTATTGATAAGCATGATGGCTTTGTGTGTTACCGATGGATGTTTACAGAAACACAAACCCACTCACTCCACCACCCCCACCCCGATTTTTGTTGCCCTCTAACACACACAAACATACACACTAACACACCTTTACAAGATTGGGTGGACCCTGGATTTGCTAAGCTTAAAGTGTCGTCTCAGTTTACAGTGATTTCATCTCATGTTTACAATGTGATTTCATTTCACGCTTTACGAACTGACTTCCTCTCACGTCTATGACACCACATCAAACTACACAGACTCGCAAGATTTCGGTTTGTATGTAACAATTATAATTAGATCTATCCATCAACTATAACTAACTGGTCTAAATTGTGTCAAAGATCAAATTTGGCTTGCTGCACTTGGCGTGTGCACTGAAATTGTGTGCCGCTGCCCTGGGCATGCGCACTAAAAGAACCGACTTGCGCGGACATTCCTAAAGAAGTAGTCACGATTGGCGTTTAATGGTGCAGAAAATGTTGTCTTGAAGTGGTCACGATTAAATTGGCGTTTATCTTGGGAGCGTAGATAACCAGCCTGCCACTGAGACAGATATTAATGGCCAGTTGACCAGCACAAGTTGGCCGGTCAGGTGACTTATAAATACCCGGCGCCTCTAGTACCAACGGTCTAGAAGCTGGTTCAGCTGGAGTACACGGCTACAGCTGGGGAAATATTTTCTGCTGTGCAAGTTCATAAGGTTAGTTCATGCATGACTTTTTAAAGTATATGTTAATACTGCATCGAGGTGCGCGTCACTACTACGGCACCGAGGTGACGTCACTACTACGGCACAGAGGTGCACGTCACTACTACGGCACCGAGGTGCGCGTCACTACTACGTCACCGAGGTGCGCGTCACTACTACGTCACCGAGGTGCGCGTCACTACTACGGCACCGAGGTGCGCGTCACTACTACGGCACCGAGGTGCGCGTCACTACTACGTCACCGAGGTGCGCGTCACTACTACGGCACCGAGGTGCGCGTCACTACTACGGCACCGAGGTGCGCGTCACTACTACGTCACCGAGGTGCGCGTCACTACTACGGCACCGAGGTGCACGTCACTACTACGGCACCGAGGTGCGCGTCACTACTACGGCACCGAGGTGCACGTCACTACGGCTCTAAAAAGTACACGTAGGAGTAGAGGCATGAAGTAACACCAAAATATGTAATTAAAAAGCTTTAGTTAGCGTGTTCTGATATTGATTTAAATTTCCATGAAATCAATTTAGTATTGTCACGTCTGCTACCAAACGTGACAATCTCCTTCTAAAACTTCCATTGTGTTGAGGATTTAAAGACGCTAGCAAAAACTGTCAAGTCATTGCTTTTAAGCAATTTTTTCTTTGCTAAAGTACATGACCAGGAAAATGGTGGTAGAAAAAATAAATCGCATACTAAAAACAATTCAACTTTCAAGGTCATTAAGCTTTTCCGAATTCCGCGTGTGGTTAATTAAAGGGCCTATATATATATATATATATATATATATATATATATATATATATATATATATATATATATATATATATATATGTATGTATATACTACATTATATATGTTACTTACAAAGTAGTGCTAGATAACATGCTACAACTGTTCTGAATTTAAATTGAAGATAACTTGGTGTTTATGATAGACTAGCGACAGTCGAGTTACCTAGTGCATGACAGCAGTTTAAATCCTATCTCACACGGAAAATTCCTTGGCCAAACAATATTATTAGGGGATTCCCCTCACGTTGGAAATGATAATTATATAGTTCTATTTACCTCACGTGATCCGTGTTTACGATTGACGAATGTGATGGCTCTATCATGTGACTAACAATCATAAACCTTGGAAAACAAGAGCTACGTTTGTCATAAAAAAATGTTTCTGTAATGTATTTAATGAGATGTATGTAATTTTAAACTAGTACCGTTAAATACCTTAATGGAAACTAAGAAGTTAACGTTACAGTATAAGATGAAGCGATACATTGTATCATACAAATCTTTCATGCAAATGTTGGCATGACCTGAAAAGCAAAAGCCTTGACCTACATAACCGCCGTAAGGGACTAAAATATATTTAATCCGTCTAAATTTACCCTGTCCCCACCTCACCCCGCTCTGCTAATTTTTCTCTAGTCAAGGTTTTTGATAAATTATCTTGGTGTATAAAGACACGGCGGTTCTTACTTTGTTTTACTGTATCTCAGTGGCGTAGCGAGGTCGGGTGTCACCCGGTGCGGCACTAAATGGTGTCACCCCCCAGAGGCGTAGCGACCCTTCCCGGGGACAAACTTTCAATTTTCGATGTGCACCCCCCTCAAACTTTCGATTTGCACCCCCCCCCCCCTCAAAAATTCGATTTGCACCCCCCCCCACCCACCCACCCCCCCTCGCTACGCCTCTGTTGTGTCTTACTGTGTCTTACTTTGTTTTATTGTTGATTCAAATAGGGGTCGTCCATAAATGACGTACCACTCGTAGGGGGAGGGGAGTCCGTAGTTTTGTGACGATGTGTGATGAGGGGGAGAGGGGGGGGGGGGGGGTGTTCAGATGGTGTGACGTCACACTTTTGCATTTTTAAAAAAAAGCAATGTTAGAAAACGAATTTTAGCCGTAATTTCGCGTTTTAGAAAACTACTTTAATAAATTGTAAGAGGAAATTATTAAAATACTCTATGACAGATTTCAAACAAGATTTTGAAAAACTATCGTATTTTAAGAAAATTCAACTGCATTTTTGTGGGGGTGGTTGTAGGCTAAGGTGTGATTGACTTATTGGGACCCTCTTTATTGAGACTCTCTGTGTGACTTATTGGGACCCACTGCGTGACTTATTGGGACCCACTGTGTGACTTATTGAGAACCACTGTGTGACTTATTGAGAACCACTGTGTGACTTATTGAGAACTACTGCGTGACTTATTGGGACCCTCTGTGTGACTTATTGAGACCTACTTTGTGAAATATTTGGACCCACTGTGTGACTTATTGGCACCCACTGTGTGACTTATTGGGACCCACTGTGTTACTTATTGGGACCCACTGTGTGACTTATTGGGACCCACTGTGTGACTTATTGAGACCCACTGTATGACTTATTGAGACCCACTGTATGACTTATTGAGACCCACTGTGTGACTTATTGAGACCCACTGTATGACTTATTGAGACCCACTGTATGACTTTTTGAGACCCACTGTGTGACTTTTTGAGACCCACTGTGTGACTTATTGAGACCCACTGTGTGACTTATTGAGACCCACTGTGTGACTTATTGAGACCCACTGTGTGACTTATTGAGACCCACTGTGTGACTTATTGAGACCCACTGTGTGACTTATTGAGACCCACTGTGTGACTTATTGAGACCCACTGTTTTACTTGATACATTGAGACCCGTCTTCTCTATGTGTGGCACGCACGCACAAGCAGTGTGACTACGTTAATCCACGTCTACGTTAATCCACGCCTATGTATCCTGTTTATTACGACGACATCACCTTTAAATAGTTAATTAATTTCATTTTCTTTTATTCGCCAGCTACGCCGGGGGCATAAGGAAAGAAAACTAAAAGCTTTATTTCCTGTTGTAAATAGCAGAATATAAAAAACCTATCCCGGAAACCATGAATGGATCTAACCAAGTATAAAAGAGGAAGATTTGAAACATCCGACGTTTTGTGGTTAACTGGCGAACATTAAGTTTGGATTTCATTCGTGGCTCAAGACATTTTATTTAGAGGTTAATAATTTTACAATTAACAGAATTCAAAGCTCCTTGGCGTCACAGCAATACAGGGTGTTCGGCGTCACAGGAGTCGCGAGTGGAGTCTGGTCTTTCCATTTGTGATAGATTGGTGTGTCATGACTTAAGTCATGTTGACTTTCTGTCTAGCACTTTTTCTTCTGGTGTGTTTTGACCTCAACACAAACATGGTTCTCTCCGCCTTCACCGGCACGAGGTCCAAACATTTCGTCATTCATCTAGAATCTTCTTCCCTGGACTCTAGGCTCGGCTCTCCTCTGGACTACAAGGTCAGCTCGCCCTCAAGACAAAAGCTGGACCTTGGCCAGTCACCTACCAACACGGTGTTGTACAGATCTCACAACAGAAGAAACACTACCAACTTCCTGTCTCAGAACATTTCTCGTCGCCTCCCCATCATGCGGGGCCGGCATTCTTGGACAAGGAAAACCGGAAGACGGTCTTTTACTTGGAGAACCGGCAAACGGTTAGCCGGCATAACACGTGATACGGGTGCTGCCAGCACTGAGCAGATCTCAGACAATCACGGTCCAGCTCTGTTAAGACATTTAGTCAAGAGGCAGACAGAGAGTATTACAGTAAGTGTCTTTAGTTCGTTTGTTAGTGATGAAAGTTGTTCTGTCAAAATCTTTGTTACTGTTACTGATTGTAAGCTTATTTAGTATGTCGGACCTTTAGTTAGTTTGTAACTGATAGGGTGTTGTTTAGGTATTGAAGTAAATGCTGTAGTCGTGAAAGGGATTTGTGGTGACGTGACGAGCTGTGTGGTGAAGTGACGTGACGAGCTGGGTTGTGACGTGACGAGCTGGGTGGTGACGTGACGTGACGAGCTGTGTGGTGACGTGACGTGACGAGCTGTGTGGTGACGTGACGTGACGAGCTGTGTGGTGATGTGACGTGACGAGCTGTGTGGTGGCGTGACGTGACGAGCTGTGTGGTGACGTGACGTGACGAACTGTGTGGTGACGTGACGTGACGAGCTGTGTGGTGACGTGACGTGACGAGCTGTGTGGTGACGTGACGTGACGAGCTGTGTGGTGACGTGACGAGCTGTGTGGTGACGTGACGAGCTGTGTGGTGACGTGACGAGCTGTGTGGTGACGTGACGTGACGAGCTGTGTGGTGATGTGACGAGCTGTGTGGTGACGTGACGTGACGAACTGTGTGGTGACGTGACGTGACGAGCTGTGTGGTGACGTGACGTGACGAGCTGTGTGGTGACGTGGCGTGACGAGCTGTGTGGTGACGTGACGTGACGAACTGTGTGATGGCGTGACGTGACGAGCTGTGTGGTGACGTGACGTGACGAGCTGTGTGGTGGCGTGACGTGACGAGCTGTGTGGTGGCGTGACGTGACGAGCTGTGTGGTGACGTGACGTGACGAGCTGTGTGGTGACGTGACGTGACGAACTGTGTGGTGACGTGACGTGACGAGCTGTGTGGTGACGTGACGTGACGAGCTGTGTGGTGACGTGACGTGACGAGCTGTGTGGTGACGTGACGTGACGAGCTGTGTGGTGATGTATACTTGATGTTGTTGCTGCTTGTAGTATAGTTTTACACGCTTTGCTTAGGAACTGTTTATTTTTTAAAAGCTACATCAACTCAATAGAAAATAATCTCTATTGAGAGATCTAGTTATGTAATATTTTGTATTAAATGTGGGTCTCTGATCTTCCGTCTAGTCCGGTTGCTGAAGATAGATCCTACAAATTAATTTTTGCTGACGTCATTATCGTACTATGTCTGCAACAAAAATACTAGAATAAATAAACCGGGAGTGATCTCCCCTAAACTTTCTCGAATATTCTTATATAAAATAACAGGGGATGGGAACTCGGGCTATAGACATGATTTTTAATCCATTTTAAATACTTAAAGTTTTAAAAATAGAATAAAATCTCGTAGACAAATTAATTGCACACCAAGTGAACGCCCAATAAAAAAGCGCATAATAGTGCGCAATATTATTAGTACTTTTAAAATTTACATTAGTTTTTTGAGAAATCGGAAGTAGCGTAAATTACTACTTCCAGTCAACGGAAATTACTCAAAATTTAACAGAAGGTAGAGGATTAGATCTTTTACTTACATGTGAAATTTCATTTATCTATCTGAAATAGTACTCAAGTTATAGGCTTTTAAAAAATTCAAAGTAGGAAAAGTACCACTTCCGGTTATCGGAAATCGCTCAAAAGTTGATACGGATCTACGATTTTGATAAAATACTTATATATGAAATTTCATCAACCTAGCTGTAACGGTACTCAAGTTATCGTGTTTACACACGGACAGACACACACACAGACAGACACACACACACACAGACATACGGACAAGATTGCAAAATTATGTTTTTCCGTATCAGTGAGGTGTAAAACGTCGAGATCTGTAAAAATCTCGATTTTTTTTTTTTTTGCACGATTACAATACTTTCTCTATACTACGTATATACGAGAAAGTAAAAAAAGTAAAGGTAAATTTGAGTGTCGGCTAACCATTATGGTTTAATGATTACAGTATCTATTTTCTGAATAGTCATTGAAAGCATTAAAATAACTCAACGTAGGAGGGGACCCGAACGAGTTAAGTCTCAAAGGTATTCGAGAGGCTCGTTATAGATGTTTAAAAATCATGCATGGCGTAGAATCTAGTTAGAACTAATATGGTTTGAAAATCCTGTCTGTTTTGTTTTTTCGGACTTTACTAAAGATTTTCACTTTCACGTGTAAAAGAGACATAAACAAAGGCATCCTGCTATTCGTTAGGCTAGCGTAAATTTTATTGTATAAACTGTAAACCAAACAAAAATTGTAGAGCTAGGTCATTTTGTTTATCTGCAAAAAACTATGATGTGGGGCTTTCATAAATCGATCACGGAGTTCATGTACAGCTTGTTTGTCTGACGAAAGTGAAAATTTCATGTGCCCTTCCCCCCACCCCAGTAGAAAAAAGTCTGGAAGAAACAGTGTTTCAGTCCCGCCCTTGAGTGATCTATCCCCCCTCCCTTTCCACTTTAGCTGTTTACACGTGGCCAGATCAATTTCTAAGTAAAACGTTCTCCCCCTCAACCCCCCCCCCCCCCCCACCCACCCCAGTCAGCTCGGATGAGTTTTGACTTGCTTGAGTGGCGCCATAAATACAAACATGGGATCGGATTCGGTTGACTTCCTTCATCTGATGCAAGACTCGCCTCGTGATTGCAACACGTGGGTGGGTGGAGTTTCCAATCAACAGATGTAAACAGTTGACTCATATCTAACGCACACTTACACACACACGCGAATCTAAAATTAAAGGGATGGAATGGTTTAATGACGTCAGCAGATTAGCGCCGTGAAATCCTCCGGCCATGTTTTTTTTGTTACACCGGATAACCCGGTGTGTCAAAAGTGGGTCGCGAGGCCGTCATACCTCACAGATTCATTCATCTACTTCCCTCTGTCGGAAGTCAGGCTTTCAACTGTCAAGTAAAAATTGTCCGTTGAAACTGTCCGGTTGAAAATGTTGTTGCTGCGCCACTGGAGTCGGATACAGCCCGGTTAATTAATTAGATTAGCCATGTGTTAGCCGGTAATATGAGATTAACCTTTAAAGAATCAGCATTTGTATAACAACATAGTTGATCAATGTTAAATAAAAACTTAAAGCCATTTCCAACAGGACGAAATGTGGCAACGTCAATATAAACGTCTGTGGTTTATTTTCAAATCAAGTAATACCTGTCAAAATTATACAACTCTGGTATTTTCTTATCACCCCCCCCCCCCTCACCACACACACACACACACACAACCAATCCAGAAAGTAAAGCAGGCTGGAATCAACGGCTTATATGGCGCATATCAGGTAGACACGCAATCAGTTTCTTCCAGGCATCTCTTCGAGAAGAAAGTCCACCGCACCCCCCCCCCAAATATCTAGGTGTCGTCGTCGTCTTCCCCCCCCTCACCCCCCCCCCCCCCCCCGAGAAAAAATTCTGGAAGAAACACTGCACGCAATTCTTAAGTGGGTTGGGGGAAATCAGGTCCAATAGTATAAGAACGAAGTATAAGAAAAAGTCTGACAATGTCCGACAACCCATTGAAATAATCCCTGTATCCGTCAAACATTCCCTCCCCTCTCAAACTTAACCACACAATGCCGTTATTTGTCAGTTATTTTCTAATTTTATTTTTTTTTCTTCTCCAGCCGGACTGTGGCTCATTGGGCAACAGATGCGCGGGCATATCTCTACGCCACTGCGTGCGCATGTGTATCAACAACGTCATGAACGTTAGGGTGTGTAAGGTGGATCGCCAAGGCACCATTGGATGTGTCGTGTTCTCTCATCACCGCTAACATAGGCTACAGATTATTTTATTTTTATTGATTGCAATCATGGGATGGCGAACATTGGTGATCAGCTGTCGCGTCAACCACTTCTCCAACCACGATGAATGCCAGTATTCACAAACAGTAGAGCAATCAAGTTCATAATTTGATTACATCTCACTTCAAGAGCCGAATGATCTCTACAAAACACACGATCTCCGTCATACTTCTTGTTTTTATCACCTATTTTATTTTACCTGTTTTAACTCATTTAAAATTAAATTTTGACTTAGCTTAAGTAACTAGCTTGTATAATGAACTTTGAGAAATCTTATGCTCAGAATTTTCGATTACAAGATGTGTATTAGGCTGACGAAGACTGTGTATATATTGACCTTAATTGTGTTTCTGTAAGTGATGTTGACACTGGCAATGGAAGCGGCATTAAATCGGGAGAGCTATTGAGACAAAAAACATTAAAATGTATAGAAATTGTGTCTAAGTAACTCAATGAAAAAATTGTTTTATTACTTTCTCGTATATACGTAGTATAGAGAAAGTATTGTAATCGTGCAAAAAAAAAAAAAAATCGAGATTTTTACAAATCTCGACGTTTTACACCTCACTGATACGGAAAAACATAATTTTGCAATCTTGTCCGTATGTCTGTGTGTGTGTGTGTCTGTCTGTCTGTCTGTCTGTCCGTGTGTAAACACGATAACTTGAGTACCGTTACAGCTAGGTTGATGAAATTTCATATATAAGTATTTTATCAAAATCGTAGATCCGTATCAACTTTTGAGCGATTTCCGATAACCGGAAGTGGTACTTTTCCTACTTTGAATTTTTTAAAAGCCTATAACTTGAGTACTATTTCAGATAGATAAATGAAATTTCACAAGTAAGTAAAAGATCTAATTCTCTACCTTCTGTTAAATTTTGAGTAATTTCCGTTGACAGGAAGTAGTAATTTACGCTACTTCCGATTTCTCAAAAAACTAATGTAAATTTTAAAAGTACTAATAATATTGCGCACTATTATACACACCTTTATTAGGCGTTCGCTTGGTGCGCAATTGTTTTTTACTGAGATTCTATTCTATTTTTAAAAGTTTTAGTATTTAAAATGGATTAAAAATCATAACTATATCCCCAGTTACCATCCCCTTGTTGTTTTATATAAGAATATTCGAGAAAGTTTAGGGGAGATCACTACCGGTTTATTTTTAATTAGAACCCTGTTTTCGGGTATATTGACAGTACTGTTTACGATTAATAATTAATATACTTTTTTACTTTCTCGTATATACGAAGTATAGAGAAAGTCTTGTAATCATGCAAAAAAAAAATCGAGATTTTTATAAATCTCGACGTTTTACACCTCACTGATACGGAAAAACATAATTTTGCAATCTTGTCCGTATGTCTGTGTGTCTGTGTGTGTGTGTCTGTCTGTCTGTCTGTCTGTCCGTGTGTAAACACGATAACTTGAGTACCGTTACAGCTAGGTTGATGTAATTTCATATATAAGTATTTTATCAAAATCGTAGATCCGTATCAACTTTTGAGCGATTTCCGATAACCGGAAGTGGTACTTTTCCTACTTTGAATTTTTTAAAAGCCTATAACTTGAGTACTATTTCAGATAGATAAATGAAATTTCACATGTAAGTAAAAGATCTAATTCTCTACCTTCTGTGAAATTTTGAGTAATTTCCGTTGACTGGAAATAGTAATTTACGCTACTTCCGATTTCTCAAAAAACTAATGTAAATTTTAATAATATTGCGCACTATTATGCGCTTTTTTTTATTTGCGTTCACTTGGTGTGCAATTAATTTGTCTAGGAGATTTTATTCTATTTTTAAAACTTTAAGTATTTAAAATGGATTAAAAATCATGTCTATAGCCCGAGTTTCCATCCCCTGTTATTTTATATAAGAATATTCGAGAAAGTTTAGGGGAGATCACTCCCGGTTTATTTTTAAATTGTCAATCATTTCAGATTTATTTTAAACTATATTGAAAAATGTTTTAAGTCAAAAAGGTTTTATTCGTATATGCCGTGTCTAATCTTAAGTTTTTAGCAGAGTTGTGTTTGGTAGTCCTAATCAAGTGTAACCAAGTTATATCTCACATTTGATTAGCTATAGTGGGCTGCTCGTGAATTTTGCCTGTTATGCTCGTGAATTTTGCTGACAAAGACGTATTTTATTTTGTGCCCCAACAGTTACACAGACATGAACTGCAGTAAGAGAGGGAGATAACTCCTATTATAGCTATCAAATTGTAACGTTCTAAGGAGACTAAATACTTTAAACACATTGTAATTTATGTGTGCCCGTGTGCCCGTTTGCGTGCCTGCCTGCGTGTTTGACTAGTTGTTTTTTTTAAATTGTGTTTTCGATATATTTATGAGTTTCAACTGTCGTTTCATATGTCTTGTCCGTGTATATATTTCTGGGTATACCAAAACTGACATTGTCTCATATTTTCCCACGTTTTCTTTAACTTGCTTTCTCTGTTTGTCTTTCCAATCAAATCTTGCGATCGAAATTTCTGGCACTTCCCAGTTAGCTAGCGCGCTGAAATTTTCAGGGAAGCTTTCTTTTGGATGACCATTGAATATTCAATTGTTATTATTACTAAATTGATCAATGGAAACATTTTATTGAGCATTTTAGACCGCTATATAATCTATATATATAATTATCCTCTGCTAGCCATTAGAAAAAAAACCAGCGACGCGTACCTCGCGCGCAGTGAAGCGAACGATCACATGTCGCCACAGGCTTAGGGGCAGAGAATTTAGCTTGAACCAAGTTTAAACTTACAGGAGGTAGGCCAGTTTGGGGGAGACGATATGGTCGAGTGGTTGGGCACACGATTGCTATCCCACTCGACACGGGTTCAAATCTATGTGTTCTAGTCAGTAACGTATTCAAACAACGTGTTTTTTACGAGTTGTCTTTTTACGAGTTGTCTTTTTACGAGTTGTCTTTTTACGAGTTGTCTTCGTTTACCCAAAAAAAGTGAAAAGATAAAATCGATAGCAAGATTTTAATGCAAACAAACAGACAAAGACTAAAAAGTAGAAAATAATAATCATTAAAAAAGTTTTAAAAAACCCACGTTTTCTGATTGAACTAAAAAGTAGAAAATAAATGCTATAGGCCCTACATCACAATAATGCAAGCGATCACTCTACTATAAGCGAGCAAAAACGTGGGGCGCCGTGATTTTCTTACAGTTTCTAATACTGTTGACTCTCTACAAGCTCCCTAATAAAAGTCAATAGTATTATCTAATCAATAGTAATATAACTTTTACTTCGGCGACCCACGTTTTTGATCGCTTATAGTAGAGTGATCGCTTGCATTATTGTGATGTAGGGCCTATAGCATTTATTTTCTACTTTTTAGTTCAATCAGAAAACGTGGGTTTTTTAAAACTTTTTTAATGATTATTATGTATTATTGTGGGAGGTTAGCCTTTAATGCCCGGAAAGAAGCATCTTCTATTTATGTAATAGTTCTAACAGTCACAAATTTATTTTAAAATCAGTCTTTCAAGGGTTTTGCCCCTTACTAGACATATTACCGTGGCTTATGCTTCTTAATAGTCATGAAAACACTGTCAAATGAAACAATTTTTTAAATTTTAATTTATAAAAATATAATAAATTTTAATAGTTTGTTGGACTGGAGCCGTTTTTTTTTTAAATTCCATTTTTTAAACTTTAATAATTTGACAATAAAATGACACTAGTGTTTTAAAATGTACCCATGTTCTGATTCCTTTGATGTAAATGTATTAGTGTATCTTGTGAGGTGTTCACCAAATGAAATAAAACTTAATGGTACAAACTTATTTTTATTGCACATATTGAATACAATGTTAAAACATCTTTTGTTTTATCTACTATAATAATTATGGATTTTGGGTTTAACTTAATAAGCTTCTGTGCTGGTATCTTTAAAGCAAGTTCAATTAAATAGTTGTGTTTAAGCAAGCGGAGTTCATTTGTTCCAGTTAGAACATGTTTGTTTGAATGATCTTCATTGATCAGGTCAGCTGTTGCCCATCTATCCGTGCCACGCAAGTTGGCGTGTCGGCTAGAATGTGCCTTACCCTCATCATAGACCAATCTTGTGGACCAGTCTAGTAGACCAGTCCAGTATCCAGTCCACTAGACCACTCCACTAGACCAATGTAGTACTAATTACTAATCATCAATGATGATTACATCATGCTTTGAACTGGAACAGGTATTTGCCCGAATTCTTGAAGCCCTACAGAACAAAGAACGACAGTTTATTTAGTTCTGATATTAGTTTTAAGATAAACCAAGATTTTCTTAAAAATGCAAGCACACTGCTGAAGCAAATGCCAGTTTGTAACAGTGGAGTAACATTGCTTACAATGGTTACAACACAAAGTACAGACAGTGGTCGAAACAACTCAAATTAAATATGGGATGAAATGATTGTTTGGGTTTAGGCTGACTCTTACAGAACAGTAGTAAATTGTCATTAAAGTAGTACAAACTTTGAGGAATGTACGACTGTAAAATAGTGAATAGATCTATGTATATCCTAACACCTAGAATATCTGAATATACTTCCTAAGTTTTTTTACCATAAAAGTATCTAAATAAAGATTTCACTATCTTAATAATTGTCCCAAGTTCTAGTGATAATTAGACCTTGTTTAAAACTGTAAAATCATGACGTACGTCCTCAAATTTTCATACTCAAAGTTTAAAGCCAGGTCTAACAACATACCATGAAGTGACGTCATCCAACATGGAAGGAATGAGGAAGACATTGGAAGAATGTGATCTGTTTTCTATTAACTTGACGTCATCTGTCAAGGCAATGCGCTTTGTACAGAGGGGGATTTAAAACTCCGTAAGCCGAACAGATAAATAAAGGTACATTAGGTAGGGGAAGTGGCGCTATATTCGCGTTAAACATAGGAAACTAAAGTCCATTAATATCACAAATAGGGGCGGGTGGTGGCGACCCCTACGGGTGAAACCATTCAGGGGGTGACACAAAAAAAAAATGTTAATTTAAATGAGAAGTCCTATTTCCAGCAACTTTAATTAATATTTTAAAGTTATAAATCTAAAACATCATTAGGCACAGTGTGACAGCATCAGGGTGGGGATTATACCAAGATGACTAGTTTTAATATAGAATACGTATAGAAGTTGTAGGGGGGGGGGGGGGGGGTCAGCACCTTGTATCACTCGACATAATGACGCCATTGTTTAACATTCCGATGTGATGTAGAGTTACAGTTTCTGACATTAGGGCTCCAGATAAAATAGTGTAAACCAATATTCCAGACAAACAGTGAAACAGGTCATACAATAAGGGTCTTCAAACATCGATGAGGCTCCTGTCTTATTGAATTGGTACCATGAAAGTTTGACACTATTACTTGTAGTATTAATGTATAAAGTATTATTAATTTTTAATCTAAACTTAAGTCGGTGCTTATTATACAGTAAATAGTAATAAAACAGGTAGTATTAGTTACCTCACAAGTTAAAGACAGTCAAAAAATGTGTTACTGTTTGTCTTTATTTGTCTAATCTGTAATCACACTGTTGTGTGCTGACGAAGACCTTGGGTCGAAACGTCCATAGTACTTGTAACTGTCTTTAACTTGTGAGGTAACTAATACTACCTGTTTTATTACTAATTACATTAACCTCACTGCAGCTACCATTTGTTTTTTTTATACAGTAAATGAAATCTATTCTGCCTCATTATTTTTTTACACCTTAGCACTATCTTTATGCAGCGAATGTCCAGGTGCAGGTACAGTATATAATAATAGGCTATGTTACGATTGTTGTAACAACAAGAACACTGGTATATATTAATTAGTAGGCCAAAACTAGCGATTGATGTTGCGGCCGATTAGACTGCAAACTGTCACTTTTAGTTAAGGCATTGTAGGATTAGACGCTTCAAGTATCGGCTGCTAATGAAAGCGGGTGGTACCAGCCTCTGATAAGAAAAACAGGCGCATATATATATATATATATATATATATATATATATATATATATATATATATATATATATATATATATATATGTAGAAAGATATTAGAGCATACTTTAAACTGAATTCAGTACAAGGCTGTAAAAGCCTTCACCTCTGCCTAGCATATAAATTAGTGTATCCTTGACTTTGCGAATTCCTTTTTGCCGTTTCCTTATCTCCTACCGTACACAGATGTTTCATGGAATTAACAGCAGTAAAACGCGTGTATTTGCTAGACGCTTTTAACACAAATGTTTTGCTCGTTCTGAAGTTCGCATAATTTACAAAACCTTATATGACAGAAAAGAATTTCGAAAAAAAAAAGTCAACTCCATGTGAAATACGTTTTTATTTTCACGTCCATTTTAAAACTTTATATTAACGGTATTTTAATAAATGTTTTAATAGTTTAATGTTTGTATATTAATTAGTATTATTTAAATCTATAAACACTTCACCTTTTGTATGTATTGATTTTGTCAAAACTCATGTTGCTGAAAACCCGCCTTAGTCCTCTTTACTCCATGTGGAGCAAATGGCCTCAACCATTATCTTCCACTTTGTCCGCTCCCCGGCTGTGTGTTTTGCAGTTTCCTATGATATCCTCCCCCTTCATGTATGATTTAGGCGCCCTATCTTGTGCCTCCCCAGCGGCTTCCACTCACATGTCGCATTTGTCTCAGTGTAACACAGCGGGTGCCCGACCCAGCGCCACTTCCCCCTTGTGGTCAGCGCTGCCATAGACTCCTGCTTTGTCTAGCTCCACAGATCTGTGCACGGGTATTTGTTTTTATTTTGTCCGACAATCTCGATCCCAGGATCTTTCGGGGAGTTTTCAAACCTATTAGCGGTAGTGTTAATTTTTTTTTTGCTATGGTAAAATTTGGTGACTTAAGTTGGCACAAGGGGGTGGGGTTCGATCAATGGATAGAGACAGACAGACAGACAGACAGACAGACAGACAGACAGACAGACAGACAGACAGACAGACAGACAGACAGACAGACAGACAGACAGACAGACAGACAGACAGACAGACAGACAGACAGACAGACAGACAGACAGGCAGGCAGGCAGGCAGGCAGACAGACAGACAGACAGACAGACAGACAGACAGACAGATAAATGCCTATATTAAGCCTATACAGGAGGTGGGGGAAGGTTAATGGAAAGTTTGCTTCCCCCCTCCCCTTCGTCATACGTCGTCACAAAAAGCCAGACCCCCCCCCCTAAAATGACGGCACACCTCAACCTACAACCCCCCTCAAAATTGCAGATGAATTTTTTTTAAACATCGATATTTTTCTAAAATCTTGTCTAAACTATTACAATTTATTAAAACAGTTATCTAAAACGCGAAATAACGTCTAAAATTCGTTTTCTAACATTGCTTCTTTATAATGCATAAGTGCGACGTCGCAACATCTGACCCCCCCTCCCCTCATCACACATCGTCACAAAATTACGGACCCCCTCCCCCCTACGAGTGTGACGTTATTTATGGATGACCCCATAGGCCTATAACGGAATTACCTACGCACTTCATACAAAATATTTTTTAATAAATATTACTATGCGTATACACACATTACATTTAATTAATCGTAAGTTGATTTGCACTTTCTGAATATTTAATACATAAAAGTATTAACACATTTCATACAAATATATTTTGTGTCTTTTTTTCCTGTGACTTTTTTCCTGTGACTTTTTTCTGTGTTTTTTTCCTGTGTTTTTTTTTCGTGTGACTTTTTTTCCTACAATCATTAAAAATTAAGGACCAAGAAGAAGGAAAAATATCTCTTTGTCAAGCGAACATTATAAGAACCTAGCAACGCCGACCTTCCGTGCGCTGTAGTTTTATGAAGAACGTTTAGAATAATTAGACTATATTTAACGAACGAAAAATGCACGCGTGTAGTGTAATATAGCTTAATTAACCGTCATTTATATGTAGTATCAGTGCATATTCCATACAGGCAAGTTAATTATGATAATGAGCTTTGTCTGTGTTAGTACTTCCATTTAAAATACACTAATATATGAGGAGCATAACGACTTGTATAAAAATATTTACATGAGAACATTTTTCTCAAATATTTGTCCAGTTTTTTAAATTCATTTTTTATTTGTGTGAAGTGATGTGTGGGCGCTGAGATATATCTTAAACCACATACCCCGCCCCTTAGATCGAACTTAGATTTGTTTATTATATTGTATTATTTATTTATTTATTAGTCTGGGTGTACACACTGGTAAATAGGAAGTTAGGGGGAAAACAACCTTGGTTTGCTAAAGTTTCAGTTGCATGTGAGTCAGTGTGTTAAATTGTGAGTGCATGTTGAAACAGACCCCGAGGGCGATGAAAATTTAAAAGTCGAATGTATTCTAATACTGTATATTTAGTCCGAAGCTTATCTTGACAACCCAACAGCGTCACGCGTTAAAGCGAAACAACTCACGCATTTGTAAATCGAAAGGAGCATTCGCGATTTTGTTTTATATCTACGCAGGAGTTGATTCAAATCTAACTTTGCTTTAGTAAAAATGATTAAGCAATATTTTGGTAGCTCGTCTGAGATATTTGGACTTATTGGAGCCTTAACTATAGGCTTCTTAGCTTTCAAAGTAGCAGTTGGGCTGTTTCGATTTTTAAGTGTTCACTTTTTATCTCGAGTGTTTCCACTATCTGGAGATCTAAAGAAAGCCGGATCATGGGCAGGTAACAATCGCTGTAATGAAAAATTAATGAATGCAATGAAAGCTCGATATTTCGAGTCGACTCTTTGTTACTAGCAGAATGAACCCCGTTCAAGCCCAAAAACATGGAGAATGGAGAGATGATCATGAAGTAGATCTAGTAGAGTAGGAGTAATCTAGATCTAGTCTAGTCTACTCTAGCTAGAAAGGTCTAGAATCTAGTACACTAGTAGTTTATCTTCGTAATCTTCTTAGATTACTCAGCGTTTAACGATAAATCTTTCTTTATCTAATATCTATAGTTGTAGGCGGTAAACCTCCATTTTAGCGTATTTTATTCCCGCTTCACGTTCACCTCCAGTTGAGCGTATTTTATTATAAACACAACAGAAACACTCAAAAATGTTAAGAAAACACTAGATCTACTTTTTTTTTATGAACATGATTTTTAATTAGAAAAGGTAAAAAAAACAACATTAAAAAGCATTAGAACTGTTCCAATTAAATATTGTGTGATCATCAGCGGGAGAAAAATCCTTACACGGTCGCGGGTTCACAATGAGTTTACATTTACTTTAGTTACCAGCATACATCATAGCTCGGGCAATAGCTGTTTGAAATTGTGTTGGCCTCAGTTTTGGGGTCATTGTAAGTTCATAAATGTTTATTTATTTTATAGTATCATGCCTGGGAGACACTTGTAACAATACAAACTTAACCCCCTTGCAATTGTGAGTTATGTTTGAAACGTACTTCACCCATTGCCATGAAAATTCTAACTGACACACGAACATAGCACATTCAATATTCTAAATTTGGATTTTTCTCAAGTTTTGACAAAAGTAAATTTAAAATTATCAAGATCTAAAACAAAGTCAGTCTCTTTTTTTTTAAATATTCATTTGTTAAAATTAAAACAAAAATACAATACAAATAAATAAATCGTGTTTTCCTAATGTTTTGGTGTGTTTTGGTTATTATAATAAAATACGCTCAACTGGAGGTAAACAAGAAGCAGAGAATAAAATACGCTAAAATGGAGTTTTACCATTGAGGCAGCCTACATAAAATCGGCAGAGTGAGAGACTAGTAATGATAAGAACAGTCGATTCCTTAAATTTTAATAATTAGGCCTATTTCACATTTTTAGGAGGAGTTATGTTTTGAAATTTACAAAAATGTTTCAAAGTTTCAATAATGTAGATCTACCTGTTTTTAAACAATGGGATTAAAACTTCTCAGTAAAAAATAAAGATTAGCGAAGTTTTCATCAGATGCAACCTGTCTCATTTACTATAGCAGCCATCTTGTTTAAGTTTTTTTTTCGTAAACTTATAGCGCAGATTCAGGGGAAGCCACTCTATTTTACAAATATCTGCTGTTTATATAGCAAATTTTGCTCGCAAACACTGCTTTTTAAAGTTCATCTCTGGCTTATATTGATATATTTAGCCATTGATTTTGGTTTATTATTCACTTATCTATAATATTTGACACAAATATATCACAATATACTTCTATTAAAGCCTTAACAATGAGGCAACCTTTTCGCACATTACTAGCCTCTGCCGATTTTACACACCTAGAGCGATAGATTACCGTTATCTGTTTCAATTACCTCGGCATAAATTTTTAAAGACCACTAAAAAGGGCAAACTGAGCAAAGGGGGATGGTACTTAGCCCAACACCTGTATTTCCCTAATCAATGTGAGTCAGGTACTCATCAGAGCTGGGTGAACTCAGGAATGCTCTACAGACTTGAGCCCATGATCCGAACTCAAGACTTTCAGTTAAGCCGACAAGCTGTCTACCACTGTATTTAGATTTAGTGGAAATTTTTAGTTAGGCCTAATGCTTTATTTGAATCTCATAGAGTGGACTAGTGAAATTTTAATGATTCAGCCTATACGTTGTTTTTTTTTCTCAATTTTTCTTTTAATTAGTAATTACTGGCAGTACAGATGGCATTGGCAAAGCTTACGCAGAACAAGTAGGTGTTGAATTTGATTTGATTGTGCATTTAATAAGTATAAAATAGGTCTAGAAAGCATGTTTAAAACATAAATAACAAGCCTCATTTGTAATTATCTGCTGATGCATTACTTTTTAAAATTTATTTATGCTTGTAAAACGTGTTTTTTTATATTGTAACTTAAAAAAATATTTTATTTTACGATAATTTTCTTCACAGCTTGCTGCAAAGGGCCTTAATGTTGTGTTGATTAGCAGGACTATATCTAAGTTGACAGAAGTGGCAAAGGAAATAGGTCAGAACTTGTACATTTTTCATTCAAGCTATCTGCTTTTAATATCTCCAGTGCTTGGTGATAATTCAACTCACTGACTTTTTCTGACAAACATTTAAGATAGTTCTAAAACTAAAACTATTGTTGGATTAAGATGCATTAAAAATGCTGACCAAACATGCGTAATAATCAGTTTATTAATTTTTGCATATATACAAGCAGCATGTTATTATTGTTACATCTTGTGACACATTATGAGAACAATCACTTGATACCATTCTACGATTAAAGGTGACCCTCTGCAACAGTTTGGGTCACTCATCTCCTATGGTATTAATTGGTATTTATAATAAGGTCTGACTTAAACTTAAAGTATTTCTACCTCTGGGTGCACTGTCAAAATGGCCAGTGACAAAACGACCCATTCAAACTAGCCCATGAGATATTGGCACTAGACAAATGAATTGTATGACCACTATTGGCATAGACTTTACCATTTTGTCCAGCCCACCAACCACACACAGTTCCTCAGTGTTGATTGTACTTTTAACAATTTGGAACATATATAATTTTGTTTCAGAGGAGAAATACAAAGTTATCACTCAAGTTATTGCCGCAGACTTTACTCAAGGCAACATATATGAGGACATCAAATCTCAGTTGGCCAGTCTGGACATTGGTGTGTTGGTCAACAATGTGGGCATGTCATACGAGCACCCTGAGTACTTTGGAGATGTCAATTCACCTAATGTAAGCTTTCAATTTTTAAAACTGCAACGTTTTTTTGTTAATTAATTCCAAACTATTTGTAGTGGTTTTAATTTTCAGGTTAGTTAAAGAAAAAAAACTTAACAGACACTCAGTTTCTTTTAAATAAATTCAGACCATTTTAATTGCTAAACCATCTCAATACATAATTAATTAATTTTCTCAGTTTACAATACAAAATCTATTGGTTTCACTCAAAGTAAAATGGCACACACATTTTTTTCAATCAAACTAATTAGTAGCCTAATTATTCATAAATTGAACACATCAGCTTTTCAAAACAACATACCTAGCAGTTTAAAATTTTAATTTGCACTTCCAATGACAAAATGAGATTACTGTAGATCATGTTATAAGAGTAATTATTAAAATTTCAAAAAACACAAATTCAGTGAGCATTCAAAAAAATAATTTGTACTTAAAGCTTAAAACATGCTAAATATATAAATACAGGTATAGTATAAATGTGATTAGATTGTAAAGTATGGCCCTTAGGGTGACTAGGCAAAAAACAAATACAAGGAGAACTAGAAAAAACTAGTTTAGCTTTCATTAACTTGTAAAAAAGCAAGTACACAAAACTAATAAGCAATGTGACCTGAAAAAAACAAATAAGTTTTGTAAAAAATTTATTTTGGAAATTTGTAATCAGATCAGTAAGTTTAATATTAAACAGCCTAAATTGTTTTTATTTAAATATTATTTATGCTTTTCAGAGACCTTTAGTGTAACTATATTAAAGGGAAATGTCAGGAGCTACATTCACAATAAGTTGAATGTCATTTGTATTTCAGAAATAAAATAGGCTTACACATTATAAATTGCTGGTTACTATAAAAGTTTTCATCATCACCGGATAGCTTTTTTTCTGCACAAACATATTTGCTGTGATTTTAAGTAGGTTTGCTATTATATCCAGTTTTTGATTGTGAAAAAGTTAAGATAATATAGCAGAATGAGCACTTTCCGTTATAATATCTACTGTGCTGGATCTTTTTTTTTTACACCCTTCAATTATCACAAAGAAAAATTGAATAAACATCACACACAAAATCTACCTGCCAAATGTAAGCTTAGCAGCTATTAGATCAACATAAAAGAGACTAAGACACAGCTTCAAAAGCTTACCAATGGCACACAGCCAGACCTACATCTATATTATTCTATGTGAGATCATCATCCTCAAATGCAGATATTTACATTAGATAATGTGACAGTTTCATTTGATTAAGTTGAGGTGTAAGTGTAATTATTTTCTAAATGTTGGTGAAATGTTTAGTAAAGATGCTTTTAAGTGCTGTATATGATCATAGATATAGAAAGGGGTATTGAGAAAGTGAAGTAAAAGGTAAAAGAAAAGGAAATAACTAAAAACAAAATATAATTTAAAAAAAAAATCTTAACTTGCATTTCATGTTATTCATGTAGTTAATATTAAATAAAAATATTTGTATCTTCAAAATGTTATAATTAATAATGCTGATACAGGTTTTACTTTGCAATCAATGTAAATTAGTTTTAAAATGTTCTTTTGGTTTTGTTATTAATGCTTTGATTCTATTTTATAACACGTAACTCCAACAATAAAATAATACTGGTTATGGTAATACTCAGCTTGTTAAATTAATAGATATATAGACTTTAACACTGCAGGATTTTTCTTTTTGTTAATATCATCCAATAATTCAGATTCATAGTTTCAACTTCAAAGAATAACTGCTGTAAAAATAGACAGCTTTACATGCTCAATGATAATTAGATAATTACTGACGTAGGTTGTACATTTGGTACCCAGGTATAGTAGAGCATAGAACAGTTTTCATCACCTTGTATGACACATGATTTTTATGGCACAGACTTGGGGACTGACAGTAATCAGGGTCATATTCCGTTAGGGTAAGGGCCTCAAGTTTACCTGGGAGAGGGACAAGAAAATCCTCAAAAGGCCCATGACTTAGTGGGAAGACAAGTGTCTTCTTGTAGGTCAGGCTTTTATTGACGTAATGAGTTAAGGCCCAAACATAGTTAGCATCCTCTGTGAAGAAAAAGATATCTATGAAAGGAAAATGAGAATCTTTTTTGAAAAATTTCCAATGCATGTTGGGATTGATGGAAAGTTCATAACCCTCCACACATGAGAGTACATCACGCACATTCTCCCACTGAGTAGCATTGACCGTGATATCAATGTCATCATCCCAGGGAATGAAGCCATGGTGTCGGTACGCTCCTAGTAAAGAGCCATGGACCAGGAAAAAATTTATGTTTGCTTTTGATAACAAGGCTGCAAGCATCTTAAATAAGGATATAATTTCACATCTCTCTGATGAGGTCATTGTAGGGCGAAATAAGGCATCAATACTTTGAATGTCAATTTTGTCATACTTGAGATTTTGAGCTTGTACACATTGTTCGTTATTATGTACATCAGATAATGCTGGGCGAGATTTTTCATTTGAACATTCAATACTGGTTACATTCTTTGGTGGTTCTGTAAAAAACATTATTTTGAGCACTTGTAATGTGCTGACTGGCTGCCATGCCTTTGGCCAAATAGGTTTTAGTATTAAATTGCGAGATTCTTGTTTAAACAAGGACAAAATTATTATAAGAAAGAATATAACAATCCTAGACTTTTTGGGTCGAAATATTGTGCTCATCCCAGATTTTCTACCTTTTCTCAAGGGGTTTTGTGGCTTAAAAAAAAACATTCTTGGTCTTTTATTGTTTTACTTCAAAAACTTGTGCAGTTAAATATTTGCTTTCACTTCCAGGTAGATTTTGTCATGTTGTTTGCCTGGAACATAACAAAAATGTGTAAAACAATTATTACTCAAATTTATTTTAATTAGCAATAATCTTCAGTTAAAATAAGTTTTGATAGTGATAGTTTAATATTTTTGTTGAAGAAATATATAGAGAATAGACTTTATAAATTATATTGCCATTAGTCTCTGCCAATAGGCAGGGGTGTATTTGTCTCTGCCAATAGACAGGGATGTACTGGAGTGTCAATGCAGCTCTGGGGGAGGGGGGAGTAAAGTGGCCACCTGAATTTAAATTTCTAATATTACTGAACCTTCTTGGTTGTGTTAAGCGGTTACCTAGAATTTTTAAAAGTTTTTATTTTCCTTAGAAAATGTAAGCTTGTAGTCCTAGAAATAACTGAACTGTTGTTGTCTGTTTCAGTTTGTTCAGAATATGCTACACATGAACTGCACCTCAGTAGCTAAGGTAAATAGTAAAATATTTATACATTTTAACAATGTAAGATTTTTTTTGCTTCCTAATATTTTGGACTTAATAATTCTAAAGTATTCTTATAGCCATAAAATCTGTGACTTCTGTTTATATCTTTAGATGACTGAAATTGTCTTACCATGTATGTTGAAAAAGAAATGTGGCTACATTATTAACTTAGGTTCCAGTGCTGGAAATAGTCCAACCCCTCTACTCGCACTTTACTCAGCCACCAAGGTAAATGTTAGAATTTATTCTTTAATACTTATTACCTGGGTTTTATATTTTAATAATCAGTTTGTGCATCTATTTAGATTAGTCTTTAAAATTATTCACTGCCTAGATGTTTGTATAGTTCACTTTCTTGATGAAGAGGAGTCGCGAGATGGGGGCGGGGATGCAGACCGCACCGGGTATTTTAAGTACACCATAACACAAACTTGTTAATTATATAGAAAATAATGTTACATCTAGCTGTATTAATAACCGAATATAGATAAACCTCTTAACTGTTAACCCTTTAAAGTTATCACTCGGGTGGGTGGGGGTGGGGGGGGTCCATACTAACTGCAAAATTTACAGGGTAAAAAAAGTTGATTAGAATATTTTCTATCAAAGACCAGGGTGAGGGGATACCACATCTAATAATTTACTATGAAAGCTTTGCTTTTTTTCCCACTTGAATTAATAGGTGGATTAAAATAATGTGTGCCCAAATTCACGCCAATGGCAATATAGGGGGGGAGGGGGCGGACACACCAATTACAACTATATATTTATGTATAGGTCTGTATGCATATACATATATACATATGCCACTGCTTTGATGTGATATAATATATCAGTTTTTCAGTGTCCTAACCTTTAAAACATTTCTATCAATGTACCTTTAAATATATTTCTTCATTGACACATTAGAGCTTGCTCCTATTATGTAAAACTGTAAGAATCCATTGTAACAAATGTTGTTGTCCAGGTGCATATATTCAATAACAAGTTTCTTCCCTACCTTATTTGTTTTACACAACTCTGTCTACCAATGATTCCTGTGTTAAGCTTGATAGAATGTATAAAATAGGTGTGACTAATTTAATTGAATTCAAGGGTAACAGGGATTATGTGGTCACCTGATCTTTATACAGGATGGTTTGGCATGTGTTTGCTTATGTAGACCTTGAGAATAATTCTTACATTTTTTTTCTATGTATCTTAACTTTTTTCCACTGAAATAATTTCACCAATACTTTTAAGTGAATTTTTGTTTTAGAAGTTTATAGGAAGCTTTTAGTTTTTAAGGTTCTCTGCCTAACCATTAATATAAATAAACTGAATGTTATTTTTATTTTCACTTTTAGGCTTTTGTAGCTACATTTAGCAGTGCTCTACAGTTAGAGTACAGTGATAAAGGCATCACTATACAGGTATGAGATCATTGACATTTGCAGGAAATAGATCACAGGATTGTAAAAACATTATTGTTTCCTCTAAACTTAAAGAAAGAGTTGGATAATATTTACAATGTAGTTAAAACGCTTACTATTATTAAGATTTTATCAATAGGATTTGTCTACATTCTTGTCAACACAGTCAAACATTATTTCAATTTTAACAGTAATAGTTTTTCTTAGCTCCATTTTAATTTAATGTTTAAGAAAACAAAACATACTGGTAACAAGTTGAAAAAAATAATAAAAATGGCATAGTGTGTACTATTTGTATCAATAACTAACTGAACTGACACTGATATAATACAAAGAAAACACCAAATCATTTTATTAGTCTTCTACAGAACAGACCTTTAGAATACTGCTAATAAGTTGTTATTTGATTTTTAAAATGCATGCCTTTTTTGGCCCTCCTTTTAAATTTTATTTGTCCATACATTGTCCAGATCTTTTCTTTGTCTGGTAACGGCTGGGTAAACGGGAGGGTGGGAGGGGGTAGTGTTGAATTCACAAATTATGAATTGCTGATAAGCAGAAAATAAAACAACTAGATGGCAGCGTATACTACATCGCGGGTCAGTTCGTATTGATTAAATTTAATAGGCCTACTACTTCAACATTTTATTAATTGAAAAACAGTAGTAAAATACTAACTAATTTTACCAGGAATAATTTTATTCATTGAAAAACAGCCCAGAATACTAACTAGGCATAATTTTAATAATGTTTGTTTTGTGTTACTTGACCAAGTAGTTAACTAGTAGTATGTTTAGAGGGGGTGGTCAGAAGTTCATGCATAAAGAAGAGGTGGGAAAATTGGAGAAGTAGACCTACTACCAGCAGTAGACGTGTTTTATGACTTTCTCCTAGATCTTGCTAATAAATCAACAAAAGTCTAAATTTTCTAAATCAGGACCTCGTACTACTTAGTAACTTAAGTAATAGATCTTCTAGTAACTATGTAATGAAATATTTAGACAAGGAATTACAAAAAAGTTGAAAGGACATAGAATTTGAATCTAAATTACACTAGATCTAGGTGTACATGTCAGTACATGACACAAGGGCCTACATACATACATAGATCTAGGCCTATTTATTATCTTTATATATAATTATCTTCATGGGGACCATACGAGACACCACCCTTATCCCCACCTGTCAGGTGAGCTATGGTTCACCCCGAATGTTTACAATAGTAGAGCCGGTTCGAATAAGATTCTACACTACACTTATCTAGAATTACTTAAATTTTTCTTTTCTTTTTTAGATAGCCTAACTTGTTCAACTTCTTAGTCTTAAATACTAAATAGTTAGATTCACATCAAGGCCCTAAGTAGTAGTAAGTTCATCTAAGACTAAGAACTAGATCTATAGTCTGGGCAGGTAAAACTCCATTTTAGCGTATTTTATTCGCTGCTTCACGTTCACCTCCCGTTGAGCTTATTTTATTATAAACACAACCAAAACACACAAACGTTAGGAAAACAGTAGGATTGGTAGGCAATAGATATGGATCTACTTATTTTTTATGAATGTGTGTTTTAATTAGAAAAGGTAAAAAAAACATTTATAATTAATAATTCAGCATTACAGTTTCAATTAAATAGCGCGCGATCGTTGGGGAAAAAAATCCCTACATGGTGAACGGTTCACCATGAGTTCACATTGACTTTATCAGCATACGTCATTGCTTAGGGTCATTGTGAGTTCATATGTTTTTTTATCTAGTATCATGAGTGCGAGATATTTTTAACAATACAAACTTAATGGACTTTTAGAGGAAATCTAAGTTTCTCCTTAAATGTTGGATTTTTCTCAAGTTTTGACAAAAAATATTAACAAAAATCAAAACAAAAGTTCATAAAGAAATAGGCCTAGTGTTTTCCTAACGTTTTTGTGGGGTTTTTTTTTTTTTTGGTTGTGTTGTTAATATACATTTCATTATACTATACGCTCAACTGGAGGTGAACATGAAGCATGGAATAAAATAGTAGGCCCTACTAAAAAATTCGCTAAAATGGAGTTTTACTGCCTAGGCAAATACTGCCATATAGCCTATTTCTATAATCATAACTGTAGGCCTACTTCTTTCTCAAGTAACTAGGCCTACTTAGTACTAACTAGATCTAGATTCTAGGTTCTACATAGTACATAGATCTAGAACTAACTCCTCCCTCCTACTCACTCAGACTAGAGATCAGCAGATGAATTAGATCTAGATCTATCTATAATCTAAATGTGAATTACTTAGTTTTAGTACCCAGACTAAACGTATAGATCTAGATCTATAATATTAATATTGTACAATTAAAATTTTTTACTATCCAGTCTCTAGCTTACTCCTGTGCCATCATTTCGATAATTCGATGCAGTGCGAGTTCCCTCTGGTGTTGTTACACTAATTGTGGGTGATTCCCCTTATTTCTCTCGCTCTTTTGCCAATGAAGATCTAGATTTAGATCTAGATTCTAGATGTAGAATAGAAATAGGCTTCAGTAGATTTCGACTTAGAGCAAAATCTAAATTAGTATTAGGACTAGAATAGAATTAGAATCTAGATCTACCTGCTTAGGCCTTAAAAAAGAAAACTTTTTTTTAAAAGTGTATGCCATTTTCACTCTTCACGATTAAATAGCCAATCTGGATGAGGTTACATTAAAATCTCACCATTTTGATTAGAAAACCATTTTTTCTAAAATACACGGAAAAATATAGGCCTACTTAGTACTTACTTTTAAAGATTTTATTTAGATCTAGATCTATTTATTGCTAACAATTTTTCAAAAGCAGTTCTTTCCTAAATAAATATTGCGGTATTTTAGACCTCACATTCGACGAAATTGACATTTTGGGGTCATCCATAAATTATGGGGGGGGGGGGGGGGGGAATTTTGACGGATTTGTGTGATGAGGGGAAGATACCGTGAAGTCGTAGTTTTTAAATAATTAACCTAATTTTTAACCCACGTTACTAAAAAAATCTTCAGTATTAAATAATGATTTGTTATTAGATCAACATAGATCTAGTAAAAAAAATTCGTCTATAACAGTAGTTTTATTTTGTCATTTATTTGAGATTTACCACTTTGAAGGGAAACAACTCAACAAATATTTATATAATTTCATCATTTTCAAAACTGCATTTTAGGTATGAGGGGGAGCAAAGTATTGTCAGTATAGATTAATATACGAATAGACCTATATTTTTCATTAGTAAAAAAAAAAGGACAAACCTATATTGGGAGAACAATCAGTACGAGCCGGCCCGCGGCATAACATACGCCGCTATTTAGTTGTTTCTAATTTTCAATAATTCATAATTTGTGAATTCGACAGTACCAACGCTGACACTGAAAATATTTCTTTAAAACACTATAAGTAGCTCGTTAAGGACCATAACCCCCCCCCCCCTTCCTTCCCTCCCCCCCCCCCCCCCCCCTACGTTTAAAATCGTTGGCTCTGCTTGTAAACATTTAGAGTGAACACAGCTCACTAAAACCATGTAGGGGTGGGGAGGTAGGGAGAGCGTTTGCAGCTTGTTTTCTAACGGCTCGAAGAAGAGAATTATATATATAGATTCTTATATTGTCATGGTCCATAAGCTACTACCAACCAATAACCATGTTAAACATTTTTTAGACTACCCAGATTCTTAGGGTTTATAAAATATAAATGAAAATTTCAAATTCTGTCAAACTTGTTTATTTTCAGTGCATAGTTCCATTTTTTGTGGTTAGCAAGCTAAGCAAAGTGCGTAACCCCTCACTGTTTGTACCCACACCAAGCACTTTTGTCAGGAGTGCCCTCAGAACAGTGGGTCTTCAGGCTCACACCTCAGGCTATTGGCCACATGAGATCCAGGTACATTTTTTAGCTTTCTAAAAACTCGCTGGTATTTTATCTGTTTTCTAGCTTGGTTTTCACTGTTTTTCACACTGTCATCAAATCCATAACTTTCAGGACATTGTTGTGTCCAAGTTGCCCACCTACTTTGTCAAGTCAAGCTTACTCACCACAAGAGCCAAAGCTTTAAAGAAAAAAGCAACTACCAGCAAAACAGAATAGCTTTGAAATCTAACATATCATTTTAACTTTACAGTGATTGTTAATGTTTTTGTATTTTAAGTATTTCCTGCTTTGAAAATTCAAAATGTTGTGCTTTGAAGTTTATTAAACTTGAAAGCACATTATGTCTTTTTATATAGAAAAGTGTGCATTTGGACATCCTTTTTCTATTTCATCTTGATGGTTGCTCTTGTATGATAGTAATTTTAGTGAAAAGTTTTGTTTGTTTTAAACTAGTATTTTTTCTTCTTAGGTTGTATGCTTGATCATATAAAAGTTTCATTGTTCCTTTATAGTTCTTTATTATTTTTGGAAGCAAAATCATTTTTAAAAATTTCATTTACTGGCACTGTTTAGAGTTTTATTTCAGACCAGTTAGATAAAATTACATGCCTTTTAAAAACAGTCCTAGGCATACAATGTTTGAAGACACAAAATTAGAATCACCTAGAAAGGAAAGAATTAGGGCATACAAAATGAAAATTGTTAAAGTAATTGAAAGATCATATTTGTAATTGACTTGTACCCCAACACCTATACGTAATAGGGGATAGAATGTTCATGTCGTACAGATCACTGCCAAAGTCTGTTAACTTGCTAATGTTTATATTAAAAATGTGTAGAAGGATACAGTATTTTTTTCTCCAAAATCTTAAGATAATAAAGTTTCAGTTTTTAAAACAATGGAAGGCTCTATTTGTTTTAATTAATTAGTATTAGTAGTGCTTTTGATCAAGTTTGTCTTCAATTTTTGGAGATAGTTGATGGCTGTTTGAAATCTATATCATATTTTATACCTAATTTTCGTATTTAATTTAGTGCTATACATGTACTGTTATAAAGTTTGTTTATACATTAATTTTAACATACAGCATATTATTATGCTACTTTCTTTTTTTTTAAAGTTTTACTTTTGAATTATGGGACAGCATCATGGATGTATGGTTGAGTGCACGGCTGCTAACATGAAAGTCTCAAGTTTTGAATACTTGACTTGAGTATGTAGGACGTTTCTGAGTTTACCCATCTCTGCCTCAGGGGTGAATTCAAACATGAAAAGTTATCACAGAAAAAGCTTTTACATAAAAAAACAACAACATTAAATAGAATCAATAATCATTAAAATGTAATGGCCTAAATCAGGGGTCTCCAAACTTTTCAGACCAAGGGCCACATTAACTATCAAATTTCAGTTTGGGGGCCAGTTTCTTCCAGGCATGTCTTTGATTTCTCTGGGCAAAGTTCCTCAACCATCACCAACAAACGATTTTTCCTTAGACAAAAAGATCTCCGCGGGCCGGATGAGAGGACTTCGCGGGCCGTAGTTTGGAGACCCCTGGCCTAAATAATCAGTTTTCGCTTTGAACATCCCATATTTAATAAGCGTAAAAAACTCATGTCTTACAATGTGGTTTATTTTTATTGAAATGTAAATGTGTTCATGTACAAAAACTATTAACAGAAAATATTTATTTTATAATACATTCATGCTGCATGCTTAATAATAGTTAACAGTTACCTCCATCAACAGTATTATAAAACGAAAAATTATCAATTCCAAATATACATTGATAAATTGTTAAGGCGCTTTTTTTTTTACATTTTTAGAAGGGATTGGGGAGGGGGAGGAGTCATCAAACCTTATCTTAGCTGCTACTTGTTGCATTCATATCTAAAAAGTCATAATAGAAATTATAGGACTTTTTAAAATAATCTGACAAACACTTGTAATACTCAACCATCTGCAGTGACACATGATTGTAAGTCTTTGTCAGTATAGCAGTCCCATACTCATGGGCCTTTCTCAAATGCCTGTAGGCAGCCATCAGTTTTGTCCTGCACTCATCCATGCCTTTGATAGAGTTGAGGTAGACAACATTGGCTGTCCCATAGACGGCATGTTTCCACAAATTGGCCAGCTCTTCAACAGTTTTACGCAGCAGTGCCCTGGCTTTCTTGTAAGCTTCTAGAATCATTTCATCACTGACTTGCATCACATCCCTCACCAACTTGTAGACTGTGAGCTGGCCACCCACTATTGTAACACCATTTTCAGGTGCAGCACCAATCACATCATCTGGGTCGTAATTTTTCCATTGCTCGTCAATGAGTTCTTTATTTATTCTGAATAATGGAACTCCTCCATCTGGCAATGGACTGCCAGTAACATAATAATAAGAATCTTCCTCCTCCCCATGGCTATCTCGCTGTTCCTCTGGTGGAGGAATGTTTGGCATAACAATGGCAGGGACCTGGATGATAACTCCACGAGGACCTTGGAGGGACAACTGGACAATCTGACCAGAAAAATTTCTATGCACTTGTTGAACTCTGTTTGGTTCTAAAATTAGAAACCTTGAAGGGCCTCTGTATACTGGTGGTTTTTTGGTAGAACTAGGCAGGTGCCATTTAGTGATTTTGTCCAAGGATACAGCTGGCCCACGGCCACTTGATGAAGATGGGGCAGGTTGGCTAGTAGTAAACAAGGTGTCTGATTTAGGGCTATACTGATTAACTTTGTTGATAAGAACATCTTTATCCTGTCTAGAAGTTGTTTTACGTGATAAAGAAATGATGTCAGAATCTTTTGTAATGGCCACAATGTTTTCATCATCTGCCGTACTTCTTGTCCTAGTGTCTTCTCTATCTTCTTCAAAAATAGTTGATACAGTTGTATAAACAATAGAGGAAATTGTGGACAAAATATTTCTCTCACTTGTTTTTGGTTGGAAGGCTGGACTCTCAGTTGTTGATTTTTCCTTCTCTGGAACAGTTGGTGGTGACAGAGTGGAGTACAGCCATGAGACGGCAGAGTGGAGAGTGGAACTTAGGTCATTGGTGTCTGTGTGGCTTACAGCTGGGGCAACTGTTAGCTCTTCATGTTTCTGTGTCTCGGCTTTGATAACCTCTTCTTCTGTCACATCCAAGTTAATAGTTTTAGGTGCAGTACTGACTACTGGTCTATAAGGCTTGACAGTAACTTGTTCTACAGGTAAGGTTTCAGCATGAATGTGACCATTGCTATCAATTGTTACAGTTACAGGTATAGAACTGACCACTGGTCTATAAGGTTTGACCGTAACTTGCTCTACAGGTAAGGTTTCAGCATGAATGTGACCATTGCTATCAATTGTTACAGTTTCAGGTGTATAACTGACCACTGGTTTATAAGGTTTGACCGTAACTTGTTCTACAGGTAAGGTTTCAGCATGAATGTGACCATTGCTATCAATTGTAACAGTTTCAGGTGTAGAACTGACCACTGGTCTATAAGGCTTGACCGTAACTTGTTCTACAGGTAAGGTTTCAGCATGAATGTGACCATTGCTATCAATAGTAACAGTTTCAGGTGTAGAACTGACCACTGGTCTATAAGGCTTGACCGTAACTTGTTCTACAGGTAAGGTTTCAGCATGAATGTGACCATTGCTATCAATTGTAACAGTTTCAGGTGTAGAACTGACCACTGGTCTATAAGGTTTGACCGTAACTTGTTCTACAGGTAAGGTTTCAGCATGAATGTGACCATTGCTATCAATTGTAACAGTTTCAGGTGTAGAACTGACCACTGGTCTATAAGGCTTGACCGTAACTTGTTCTACAGGTAAGGTTTCAGCATGAATGTGACCATTGCTATCAATTGTTACAGTTTCAGGTGTAGAACTGACCACTGGTCTATAAGGCTTGACTGTAACTTGTTCTACAGGTAAGGTTTCAGCATGAATGTGACCATTGCTATCAATTGTAACAGTTTCAGGTGTAGAACTGACCACTGGTTTAACAGTAACTTGTTCTACAGGTAAGGTTTCAGCATGAATGTGACCATTGCTATCAATTGTAACAGTTTCAGGTGTAGAACTGACCACTGGTCTATAAGGTTTAACAGTAACTTGTTCTACAGGTAAGGTTTCAGCATGAATGTGACCATTGCTATCAATTGTAACAGTTTCCCCTGTCAGCCTGGTTGTTATTTCTGTTGTTGTGTCTGCTGTCTTAGTTGTATGAACGGTAATGTTGTCCACTCTGTTGGTTTCCACATGTATAAATTCATCTTTTGTAGCATCTGGGCTTGTACTTGGCACCATGGAAGTCTGCTTGTGAGTCCTGCCAGTAGCATCAGTTGTTTTACTGCCTGTTGTTGTTGTTACAACTGTACCAAGTGACACTATACCAACTTTGCCAGTTTCAACAACCAGTTCAGATTCTGTGGTAGCGGTGAGATCAACAGCTGATGTAGAGGAGTACTCTGGCTTAGCTGGTGATGTTTTCTCAAGTATGATGATGTCCACTTTTTGAGTCTGGAATTGAATGACATCAGTGTCTTCAGTTGATGCTGCAGAAGTGGATGATGGTGGTTTAATAGTTAGCTCATACACAGGTTTGGTTTCAAACATCAACGTCTTATCTTCAGTTGTCTCCTTACTTGGTTGAGTTGTGCTTGTGTACCAAGATTCAACATCAACACCACTGGAGTGTGATGTGTTGTCTGCTGGGAGAAGAATGCCACTTCCTGTTGGTATCAACACATCATGACTTGTACTGGTAGATGGTGTAAAGATGTGGTCTGTTTTATTTGAAACAGCTGAAGTGTCATTTAAACTAACCCCATTGGTGGTTGTATCCAAAGGTATTACAGTAAAAGTTGAAGGTAAAGGACTTGTGACCCGAGTGGCTGAATGTCTTGTAGTTTCTTTACTTACAGGTGTTATACATTTCTTATTTATAACACTAAGAATTTTTGATAAGCCTGCAAAAAGTGTTCCACTATCTGCATCTTCTTCTGTCTGAGAGGCTATCTGTGAGTCATTACACAGAGGCAATTCAGCAGTTGTTTTTTGTAGTTCAAAAGTTGTAGTAGCTGTTTCAGTTACTAAATCCATTTTAACAGTTGGGGAAGTAGTAACAGTTCCTTCAGCTGTTGGTGAAATAGTAACATTTACATCAGCTGTTGAAGTAGTAACATTTACATCAGCTGTTGGTGAAATAGTAACATTTACATCAGCTGTTGGTGAAATAGTAACATTTACATCAGCTGGTGGTGAAATAGTAACATTTACACCAGCTGTTGGTGAAGTAGTGACATTTACATCAGCTGTTGGTGAAGTAGTAGCATTTACTTCAGCTGTTGATGAAGTTGTAACATTTACTTCAACTGTTGAAGTAGTAACATTTACATCAGCTGTTGGTGAAGTAGTAACATTTAGCTCAGCTGTTGATGAAGAAGTAACATTTACATCAGCTGTTGAAGTAGCAACATTTACATCAGCTGTTGGTGAAGTAGTAACATTTACATCAGCTGTTGATAAAGTAGTAACATTTAAATCAGCTGTTGATGAAGAAGTGACATTTACTTCAACTGTTGAAGTAGTAACATTTACATCAGCTGTTGGTGAAGTAGTAACATTTAGCTCAGCTGTTGGTGAAATAGTAACATTTACATCAGCTGTTGATGAAGAAGTGACATTTACTTCAACTGTTGAAGTAGTAACATTTACATCAGCTGTTGGTGAAGTAGTAACATTTAGCTCAGCTGTTGGTGAAATAGTAACATTTACATCAGCTGTTGATGAAGAAGTGACATTTACTTCAACTGTTGAAGTAGTAACATTTACATCAGCTGTTGGTGAAGTAGTAACATTTGTTTCAGCTGTTGATGAAGAAGTAACATTTACTTCAATTCTTGAAGTAGTAACGTTTGCTTCAGCTGTTGGTGAAATAGTAAAATTAGCTTCCATTGTTAAAAATGAAGTAGATTTTATTTCTGTAGTTAAGGTAGTTTCTTGATCAATAGATGATACTGGTGTAAATTTTGTTTCTTCATCTCCTGATGATACTGTTGTTAAGGTAGTTTCTTGATCTCCTGATACTGTTGTTAAGGTAGTCTCTTGATCACCTGATGATACTGTTGTTAAAATAGTTGCTTGATCACCTGATGATGCTGTTGTTAAGGTAGTCTCTTGTTCTTCTGATGATACTGTTGTTAAGGTAGTTTCTTGATCACCTGATGATACTGTTGTTAAGGTAGTTTCTTGATCTCCTGATGATACTGTTGTTAAGGTAGTTTCTTGATCACCTGATGATACTGTTGTTAAGGTAGTCTCTTGATCTCCTGATGATAATGTTGTTAAGGTACTTTCTTGATCTCCTGATGATAATGTTGTTAAGGTAGTCTCTTGATCTCCTGATGATAATGTTGTTAAGGTAGTTTCTTGATCACCTGATGATACTGTTGTTAAGGTAGTTTCTTGATCTCCTGATGATACTGTTGTTAAGGTAGTTTCTTGATCACCTGATGATACTGTTGTTAAGGTAGTTTCTTGATCACCTGATGATACTGTTGTTAAGGTAGTCTCTTGATCTCCTGATGATAATGTTGTTAAGGTAGTTTCTTGATCACCTGATGATACTGTTGTTAAGGTAGTTTCTTGATCACCTGATGATACTGTTGTTAAGGTAGTCTCTTGATCTCCTGATGATACTGTTGTTAAGGTAGTTTCTTGATCACCTGATGATAGTGTTGTTAAGGTAGTTTCTTGATCACCTGATGATACTGGTGTTAAGGTAGTTTCTTGATCACCTGAAGATACTGTTGTTAAGGTAGTTTCTTGATCACTAGATGATACTGTTGTTAAAGTAGTTTCTTGATCTCCTGATGTTACTGTAGTTAAGGTAGTTTCTTGATCACCTGATGATACTGTTGTTAAGGTAGTTTCTTGATCACCTGATGATACTGGTGTTAAGGTAGTTTCTTGATCACTAGATGATACTGTTGTTAAAGTAGTTTCTTGATCTCCTGATGTTACTGTAGTTAAGGTAGTTTCTTGATCACCTGATGATACTGTTGTTAAGGTAGTCTCTTGATCACCTGATGATAGTGTTGTTAAGGTAGTTTCTTGATCACCTGATGATACTGTTGTTAAGGTAATTTCTTGATCTCCTGGTGTTACTGTTGTTAAGGTAGTCTCTTGATCTCCTGATGATACTGTTGTTAAGGTAGTTTCTTGATCACCTGATGATAGTGTTGTTAAGGTAGTTTCTTGATCACCTGATGATAGTTTTGTTAAGGTAGTTTCTTGATCACCTGATGATACTGTTGTTAAGGTAGTTTCTTGATCACCTGATGATACTGGTGTTAAGGTAGTTTCTTGATCACCTGATGATATTGTTGTTAAGGTAGTTTCTTGTTCACCTGAAGATACTGTTGTTAAAGTAGTTTCTTGATCTCCTGATGTTATTGTAGTTAAGATAGTTTCTTGATCACCTGATGATGCTGGTGTTAAGGTAGTTTCTTGATCACTTGATGATACTGTTGTTAAGGTAGTTTCTTGATCACCAGATGATACTGTTGTTAAGGTAGTTTCTTGATCACCTGATGATGCTGTTGTTAAGGTAGTTTCTTGATCACCCGATGATATTGTTGTTAAGGTAGTCTCTTGATCACCTGATGATACTGTTAAGGTAGTTTCTTGATCACTAGATGATACTGTTGTTAAGGTAGTCTCTTGATCACCTGATGATACTGTTGTTAAGGTAGTTTCTTGATCACCTGATGATACTGTTGTTAAGGTAGTTTCTTGATCTCCTGATGATACTGTTGTTAAGGTAGTTTCTTGATCACCTGATGATACTGTTGTTAAGGTAGTCTCTTGATCTCCTGATGATACTGTTGTTAATGTAGTTTCTTGATCACCTGATGATACTGTTGTTAAGGTAGTCTCTTGATCACCTGATGATACTGTTAAGGTAGTTTCTTGATCACTAGATGATACTGTTGTTAAGGTAGTCTCTTGATCACCTGATGATACTGTTGTTAAGGTAGTTTCTTGATCACCTGATGATACTGTTGTTAAGGTAGTCTCTTGATCTCCTGATGATACTGTTGTTAAGGTAGTTTCTTGATCACCTGATGATACTGTTGTTAAGGTAGTTTCTTGATCACCTGATGATACTGTTGTTAAGGTAGTCTCTTGATCTCCTGATGATACTGTTGTTAAGGTAGTCTCTTGATCTCCTGATGATACTGTTGTTAAGGTAGTCTCTTGATCTCCTGATGATAATGTTGTTAAGGTAGTCTCTTGATCACCTGATGTTACTGTAGTTAAGGTAGTTTCTTGATCACCTGATGATACTGTTGTTAAGGTAGTCTCTTGATCTCCTGATGTTGTTAAGGTAGTTTCTTGAACACTAGATAATACTGTTGTTAAGGTAGTTTCTTGATCTCCTGATGATACTGATGTTAAGGTAGTCTCTTGATCACCTGATGATACTGTTGTTAAGGTAGTTTCTTGATCACCTGATGATACTGTTGTTAAGGTAGTTTCTTGATCACCTGATGATACTGTTGTTAAGGTAGTCTCTTGATCACCTGATGATACTGTTGTTAAGGTAGTTTCTTGATCACCTGATGATACTGTTGTTGAGGTAGTCTCTTGATCACCTGATGATACTGTTGTTAAGGTAGTTTCTTGATCACCTGATGATATTGTTGTTAAGGTAGTTTCTTGTTCACCTGAAGATACTGTTGTTAAAGTAGTTTCTTTAACTCCTGATGTTATTGTAGTTAAGGTAGTTTCTTGATCACCTGATGATGCTGGTGTTGAGGTAGTTACTTGATCACCAGATGTTACTGTTGTTAAGGTAGTTTCTTGATCACCTGATGATACTGTTGTTAAGGTAGTTTCTTGATCACCAGATGTTACTGTTGTTAAGGTAGTTTCTTGATCACCTGATAAAACTGTTGTTAAGGTAGTTTCTTGATCACCTGATGATATTGTTGTTAAGGTAGTTTCTTGTTCACCTGAAGATACTGTTGTTAAAGTAGTTTCTTGATCTCCTGATGTTATTGTAGTTAAGGTAGTTTCTCGATCACCTGATGATGCTGGTGTTAAGGTAGTTTCTTGATCACCAGATGTTACTGTTGTTAAGGTAGTTTCTTGATCACCAGATGATACTGTTGTTAAGGTAGTTTCTTGATCACCAGATGATACTGTTGCTAAGGTAGTTTCTTGATCACCAGGTGATACTGTTGATAATGTAGTTTCTTGATCACCAGATGATACTGTTGTTAAGGTAGTTTCTTGATCTCCTGATAATACTGTTGTTAAGGTAGTTTCTTGATCACCTGATGATACTGTTGTTAAAGTAGTTTCTTGATCTCCTGATGTTACTGTTGTTAAGGTAGTTTCTTTATCACCTGATGTTACTGTTGTTAAGGTAGTTTCTTCATCTCCTGATGTTACTTTTGTTAAGGTAGTTTCCTGCTCTCCTGATGATACTGTTGTTAAGGTAGTTTCTTTATCACCTGATGTTACTGTTGTTAAGGTAGTTTCTTCATCTCCTGATGTTACTGTTGTTAAGGTAGTTTCCTGCTCTCCTGATGATACTGTTGTTAAGGTAGTTTCTTGATCTCCTGATGTTACTGTTGTTAAAGTAGTTTCTTGAACACTAGATGATACTGTTGTTAAGGTAGTTTCTTGATCTCCTGATGATACTGGTGTCAATTTTATTTCTTGATCACCAGCTGTTGTTGTAGTTGTTTCATTATCACCAGTTGATACAGCTGTTGTTGTTGTTTCATTATCACCAGTTGATAAAACTGTTGTTGTAGTTGTTTCATTTACACCTGTTGATACCATTGTTGCTATAGTTGTTTCATTAACACCAGTTGATATAGCTGTTGTTGTTTGTGTTTCATTATCACCAGTTGATACCATTGTTGCTATAGTTGTTTCATTAACACCAGTTGATACAGCTAGTGTTGTATTTGTTTCATTATCACCAGTTGATAAAGCTGTTGTTGTAGTTGTTTCATTTACACCTGTTGATACCATTGTTGCTATAGTTGTTTCATTAACACCAGTTGATACAGCTAGTGTTGTATTTGTTTCATTATCACCAGTTGATACAGCTGTTGTTGTTGTTTCATTATCACCAGGTGATACAGCTATTGTTGTTGTTGTTTCATTATCACCAGTTGATAAAGCTGTTGTTGTAGTTGTTTCATTTACACCTGTTGATACCATTGTTGCTATAGTTGTTTCATTAACACCAGTTGATACAGCTGTTGTTGTTGTTTCATTATCACCAGGTGATACAGCTATTGTTGTAATTGTTTCATTATCACCAGTTGATAAAGCTGTTGTTGTAGTTGTTTCATTTACACCTGTTGATACCATTGTTGTTTCATTAACACCAGTTGATACAGCTGTTGTTGTTGTTTCATTATCACCAGTTGATAAAGCTGTTGTTGTAGTTGTTTCATTTACACCTGTTGATACAATTGTTGCTATGGTTGTTTCATTAACACCAGTTGATACAGCTAGTGTTGTATTTGTTTCATTATCACTAGTTGATACAGCTGTTGTTGTTGTTTCATTATCACCAGGTGATACAGCTATTGTTGTAGTTGTTTCATTTACACCTGTTGATACCATTGTTGTTTCATTAACACCAGTTGATACAGCTATTGTTGTTGTTTCATTATCACCAGTTGATAAAGCTGTTGTTGTAGTTGTTTCATTTACACCTGTTGATACCATTGTTGCTATAGTTGTTTCATTAACACCAGTTGATACAGCTGTTGTTGTTGTTTCATTATCACCAGGTGATACAGCTATTGTTGTAATTGTTTCATTATCACCAGTTGATAAAGCTGTTGTTGTAGTTGTTTCATTTACACCTGTTGATACCATTGTTGTTTCATTAACACCAGTTGATACAGCTGTTGTTGTTGTTTCATTATCACCAGTTGATAAAGCTGTTGTTGTAGTTGTTTCATTTACACCTGTTGATACCATTGTTGCTATGGTTGTTTCATTAACACCAGTTGATACAGCTAGTGTTGTATTTGTTTCATTATCACTAGTTGATACAGCTGTTGTTGTTGTTTCATTATCACCAGGTGATACAGCTATTGTTGTAGTTGTTTCATTTACACCTGTTGATACCATTGTTGTTTCATTAACACCAGTTGATACAGCTGTTGTTGTTGTTTCATTATCACCAGTTGATAAAGCTGTTGTTGTAGTTGTTTCATTTACACCTGTTGATACCATTGTTGCTATAGTTGTTTCATTAACACCAGTTGATACAGCTGTTGTTGTTTGTGTTTCATTATCACCAGTTGATACAGCTGTTGTTGTTTGTGTTTCATTATCACCAGTTGATACAGCTGTTGTTGTTTGTGTTTCATTATCACCAGTTGATACAGCTAGTGTTGTATTTGTTTCATTAACACCAGTTGATACAGCTGTTGTTGTTGTTTCATTATCACCAGTTGATAAAGCTGTTGTTGTAGTTGTTTCATTTACACCTGTTGATACCATTGTTGCTATAGTTGTTTCATTAACACCAGTTGATAAAGCTGTTGTTGTTTGTGTTTCATTATCACCAGTTGATACAGCTGTTGTTGTTTGTGTTTCATTATCACCAGTTGATACAGCTAGTGTTGTATTTGTTTCATTATCACCAGTTGATACAGCTGTTGTTGTTGTTTCATTATCACCAGGTGATACAGCTATTGTTGTAGTTGTTTCATTTACACCTGTTGATACCATTGTTGTTTCATTAACACCAGTTGATACAGCTGTTGTTGTTGTTTCATTATCACCAGTTGATAAAACTGTTGTTGTAGTTGTTTCATTTACACCTGTTGATACCATTGTTGCTATAGTTGTTTCATTAACACCAGTTGATATAGCTGTTGTTGTTTGTGTTTCATTATCACCAGTTGATACCATTGTTGCTATAGTTGTTTCATTAACACCAGTTGATACAGCTAGTGTTGTATTTGTTTCATTATCACCAGTTGATAAAGCTGTTGTTGTAGTTGTTTCATTTACACCTGTTGATACCATTGTTGCTATAGTTGTTTCATTAACACCAGTTGATACAGCTAGTGTTGTATTTGTTTCATTATCACCAGTTGATACAGCTGTTGTTGTTGTTTCATTATCACCAGGTGATACAGCTATTGTTGTTGTTGTTTCATTATCACCAGTTGATAAAGCTGTTGTTGTAGTTGTTTCATTTACACCTGTTGATACCATTGTTGCTATAGTTGTTTCATTAACACCAGTTGATACAGCTGTTGTTGTTGTTTCATTATCACCAGGTGATACAGCTATTGTTGTAATTGTTTCATTATCACCAGTTGATAAAGCTGTTGTTGTAGTTGTTTCATTTACACCTGTTGATACCATTGTTGTTTCATTAACACCAGTTGATACAGCTGTTGTTGTTGTTTCATTATCACCAGTTGATAAAGCTGTTGTTGTAGTTGTTTCATTTACACCTGTTGATACCATTGTTGCTATGGTTGTTTCATTAACACCAGTTGATACAGCTAGTGTTGTATTTGTTTCATTATCACTAGTTGATACAGCTGTTGTTGTTGTTTCATTATCACCAGGTGATACAGCTATTGTTGTAGTTGTTTCATTTACACCTGTTGATACCATTGTTGTTTCATTAACACCAGTTGATACAGCTATTGTTGTTGTTTCATTATCACCAGTTGATAAAGCTGTTGTTGTAGTTGTTTCATTTACACCTGTTGATACCATTGTTGCTATAGTTGTTTCATTAACACCAGTTGATACAGCTGTTGTTGTTTGTGTTTCATTATCACCAGTTGATGCAGCTAGTGTTGTATTTGTTTCATTATCACTAGTTGATACAGCTGTTGTTGTTTCATTATCACCAGGTGATACAGCTATTGTTGTAGTTGTTTCATTTACACCTGTTGATACCATTGTTGTTTCATTAACACCGGTTGATACAGCTGTTGTTGTTGTTTCATTAACACCAGTTGATACAGCTATTGTTGTTGTTGTTTCATTATCACCAGGTGATACAGCTATTGTTGTAGTTGTTTCAATTACACCAGTTGATACAGCTAGTGTTGTATTTGTTTCATTATCACCACTTGATACAGCTATTGTTGTAGTTGTTTCATTTATACCTATTGATATCATTGTTGCCATAGTTGTTTCATTAACACCAGTTGATACAGCTGTTGTTGTTTGTGTTTCATTATCACCAGTTGATACCATTGTTGCTATAGTTGTTTCATTATCACCAGTTAATAAAGCTGTTGTTGTTGTTGTTTCAATTACACCAGTTGATACCATTGTTGTTTCATTAACACCGGTTGATACAGCTGTTGTTGTTGTTTCATTATCACCAGGCGATACAGCTATTGTTGTAGTTGTTTCATTATCATCAGTTGATAAAGCTGTTGTTGTAGTTGTTTCATTTACACCTGTTGATACCATTGTTGTTTCATTAACACCAGTTGATACAGCTATTGTTGTTGTTGTTTCATTATCACCAGTTGATAAAGCTGTTGTTGTAGTTGTTTCATTTACACCTGTTGATACCATTGTTGTTTCATTAACACCAGTTGATACAGCTGTTGTTGTTGTTTCATTATCACCACTTGATACAGCTATTGTTGTAGTTGTTTCATTTATACCTGTTGATACCATTGTTGCCATAGTTGTTTCATTAACACCAGTTGATACAGCTGTTGTTGTTGTTGTTGTTTCATTATCACCAGGCGATACAGCTATTGTTGTAGTTGTTTCATTATCATCAGTTGATAAAGCTGTTGTTGTAGTTGTTTCATTTACACCTGTTGATACCATTGTTGTTTCATTTACACCTGTTGATACAGCTGTTGTTGTTGTTTCATTATCACCAGTTGATAAAGCTGTTGTTGTAGTTGTTTCATTTACACCTGTTGATACCATTGTTGCTATAGTTGTTTCATTAACACCAGTTGATATAGCTGTTGTTGTTGTTTCATTATCACCAGGTGATACAGCTATTGTTGTAGTTGTTTCATTTACACCTGTTGATACAGCTGTTGTTGTAGTTGTTTCATTATCATCAGTTAATACAATTGTTGTTGTAGTTGTTTCATTTACACCTGTTGATACCATTGTTGCTGTTGATGTATCTGGTTTAGTGTATTCTATACCTCCATCTTTGGTTGTTGTACTTGGAGCAGTAGGTGACTTTGTGCGTATTTCAAATGTTAGGTATGTTGGATAAATAGTTTCAATAGCTTCTGTAGTTATAGAGTCAGCTGTTGGTGATGTGTCAGCTGTTGTTGATGTGTCAGCTGTTGGTGATGTGTCAGCTGTCGTTGATGTGTCAGCTGTTGATGATGTGTCAGTTATTGGTGATTTGACTGCTGTTGTTGATTTATCAATCTTTAGAAAAATAATCTGCTTGTTAATGTAAGTTATTAATGAAATCAGATAGTAACATCACATCAAATTTTAGTTAACGAGTTGTATAAATATGGCAGCATCCACTCAAAAGTCGCTATAAAATTAGGTCGGGATCATATATAAACTAACCATTGCTACCTGTTACAAGTGAATTATGGGCGTAAATATTTTAAATGTTATACTAGTTTGAGAAAAATAATTTATAAAATAATTATTGGTCAAATTGCAATGTGCTTTACTACATGTTGAACAATATTAGTGACAATTCAAAGAAAGAAATAAATAGCTAAAAATCCGACACATTTTAAATAACATAGGCTACTAATACGTTTTAAAAAATTAAAACCAAAAGTATATGGACCCACTGATTAAGAGACTTTAATGATTTCCTTAAAAACCCGGCTGTTCAGTGGCATTTATGTTGTTTTTTAAAGTAATTTTTATTAATTTTGGCCGTGAATATTGTATAAATTTCATAGCATACATCTTGATAAGAGGATCAATAGATCTAAAACAAATTTGAATGAAATTGTTCATTTCTTCATATTTTAAAATTGGAAGATGATGCCATTAGTGTTGTGTACTTTCCATAGTTTAAACAAGTGATAAGTGATGTTATTGTTTTTTTGTGTTCTTGTCACAACCATAAACAACCATAAACACTTTCCGGTTACATAATTTCTTGTTTCTACATACGAATGTTCCTTTATTTTTATTCTTTAATTTAGTTTATACAGTTAATAATTCCAATATATTATTTTCAACAAAAGTCCATATCATTAAGTTCTCTATTTAAAGCTAAAGATACTGATCTCACAGCCTTGGAAAATATTTTGTGTACAGAAAGAGAGAGAGAGAGAGGGAAGTGCACACATAGGATTTTATATATTAGGATAATTTTTTTAAAATTTGAAAAAAAAAATTATGTGTATATATATATATACACACACACACACACACACACACACACACTAAAGTGGACAGGCGCCGATTAGTAAGCCAAGAAGTACACTGTACATGTGATGAGTTATTAAAATGTGGCATTTAGGGTACATAACATGACAGTTTTTAAATTCGTAGTTTCAGTAATGTGTTTACTGTTGTTGTTATGTTTCTTTGTGTGAATGTGTGTTGTAGAACTTGTTTTAAATATTATTTAATTATTCTCCAAAAAAGGCACCACTATCCTTAAAATGGTCGTAAAGGGACCGGCCCCCCCCTCCCCCCGCATATGCTACTGTGTTGTAGCTTTGCATGCATCACCTACTTTAATGTTGATAACAAACAACTAGCTCTTATTTAAATTTAATTACTTAAGAAAATAATTGCCCATTACAGGTGTGAATGTCTGGTAAGGATAACAATGGAATAGTTGAGAACAGGAAGACATGGTGTCTCACTTGCTGTGAATCAAAACATGCCAATTTGGATTGATTTGTTTAGTATAAAATTATTATTTACTTTTAATTTTTAAATGTACTACAACTTTTGAAGATAAGCTTATTCCTTGATTGATTTTTTTAATCTATTGATTTTATTATATCTATCAACTCACTTCTTTAGCTGTAGTGCTGGTTTGTAAGGGTTCGTCACAGTTTTTACCTGCAGTAAAATAGAAAATCCAATACCTAAGAAAATGTCATCATTTTAGCCAATGATATGAAAAAAATTATTCTTACATATCACATCGTACCAGGAAAGTACCAGATTTTAAAACTTGCTAAATTGACAGATGCCAGCAATTAATTAGTATCTGGCCTACTTAACAGTAAAATATTTTAATAAAAAATTAATGCATGCTGGATTATTTTAAACTGCTGATATGTCGGCCTTTAACTACAATTTCTTTTGTAACTAACTAAAATTTAAAATAATAAAATATTCTGAAAAAAAACATTTATCAATTCACATATGGCAGACTTTTAACTTAAATGTTACATACCTTAAACTGTAAAAGTCACACCTTGGTTTCAAGCTTATATTTTAATTCATCATATTAGAGAATCGTGAACTAGTACAGCCATACTTTTTAATCATTTTGTACTTAAATCACCACATCCATGTATAATGTTTATGACTATCATACACTTATATCACTGCATCTAGTTATATATTTACTACCATTATACACTTGTATCACTACATCAATATATCATATTGTAATCATCATACACTTACATCACCAGATTAATGTATCATGTTTACAACTGTCATACACTTTATACACTTACGTCAGTAGATCACTAAACAGTGCTCACCTGTGTAACCACCCAGACAGTGGCAGGTAAAGCCATCAATAAAATCTTGACAAGTTCCTCCATTTTGACATGGCTTAGTTGCACAATCATCTACATCAATTTCGCAAATATTTCCAGAAAATCCAGGAGGACAGATGCATTCATAGGAATTATTTATATTCAGACACGTTCCTAGTACCAGAAAATAAAGTTAGATTGTAAAGACTTTTTAAAAATCAAAACATATTTATTTTGTTGAAATGTAATGATGTGGCTCGATTTTTAACTGTTCCATCATATAATAAGTACAAATCCACATCATAAAAATAAATATTTCAGACAACTTTTGTGCAGTTCAAACCTCTATTTTTGCAAGGCAACTTTTGACAGAAATCTATTTTACTGTCACACTTTTCCCCAGTGTATCCTTTTTGACATTGACAAGTGAAAGCTTCTCCATCTCCTGGCACACATGTTGCATTGTTGTTACATGGAGCGCTTAGGCATGGGTCCAAATACAGCTTTATCTCACAGTTCGGACCTGTAGGTTGTTTGTAATAAATCTTTTTTTATTTTTAATTAAATGCTACATCACAAATGTTAAGAGTAAAATAAATATGTTAACTAAAAAATATGTGGACTAAAAAAAGAATCAAGAATGGTAACTAATTATAAAAGATGAAAAGATGATAGTTAATTATTAATTTATAGATACAGCTTAGAAAAATCTATTAAATTTAATTAAATAAAAATAATTTCTAAAAATAAGTTTATTTTTAACTGATCCTAATGGATGAAATTTAAATTAAGATAGTAATATATAAAACAAAAGGCTTCCTCCTACTGTCTGTATTTGGTGGGCAAATGCACTTATATCCATCTTTCTCTGATATACATGTTCCTCCATTTTCACAAGGTCGGCTAACACAGTGGTCAGTGATGATCTCACAGTTACGGCCTGAGATTTACATGTTATAAAGTATTACCAAGTTATTTTTCAAAATCATCACTTTCCAAAAAAAAAAGTTTTTCCATAATTTTACACTGCAAGTCAATATCATACTTAATGTTTCTAACAATCTGGAAATGATAAATATCACAAAGTTCATTAAAACTTAATCAAAAAAGATAAAACACTACAAAGTTTCTTTGTAAAACATTACAGCTAATCTGACTCAACAAAAATATTTATTAATTTTTTTTTTAATGTCATCTACAACTATGATAATAGCCAAAAAAAAAACTGCATAGAAACTTACCAGAATAACCATCAAGACAGAAACAATAATAATCATCATCAAAATCAGCACAAAACCCATTGTTCAAGCAGGGATTACTGTCACAGTCAATTCTGTTTGTTTCACAGTCCTTGCCTATTTATGACCAGATGATAAAGTAATATCACAAAAATGTATTAGTTGTTGAAGTGTAGAGATATATTTCTAGCTAACCCACCCTTTTGACAATCAACCCCTTCTGCAATGAGCACCTGGAGGTTGGGCCTGGACAGTCTCGGACATTAGCCACTGGTCAAAATCTCCCTACCCCCATTCCCTTGTCAATTACCTCCCATAGTTATAACTAGGATTGAGCTATATTAGCGGGAGGACCTGAGTATGATTAATTTGATTAACTTATATTTCAATGTTCAATTAAAATAAAATATTGGGTCTATAACACATCAACTGGGTAGAGTATGTAATATTAGTTAGTCTTGTTGAGGTTGTCAAAAGGTGAAATGGCATCTAGAATTTATTTTAAGGTGTTTGTGGATGATTTGATATGTCAGTTTTCATAGCATACTTGTTGCTAGTCCATTAACCCTAGAAACATATAATAGCTTTATGTACAGAATCAAATGTGACATAGTAAACACCAACTCATTCCTTGACATAACTATAACCTAGTCACCCATTATAACCAGTTTTGTAACCAAGGGTTCCTGACTTTAACAAGGCCAATGAAACTCATCTTGCATATCCTTTTCAACAGAAAATTACATACACAAAAATTCTATTGTGATAAACTTCAAATATTAAAAATAGTTACTAGAGGGAAATCACTCACCAATAAACTTGACAGGACAATGACATTTATAATCCCCTAATGTTTCCTCACAAGTGCCATTGTTTTTGCAAGGTTTTTTTTTACATAACCTATCAGGTGTATTGCATGAATCTCCTGTCCAACCATCCTCGCATATACAAGTATCCAGGCCATTCAGCTTTATACAGTTTCCCTAAATCATATCATTAAAAGTTGATAATGTTGTTATGTCTAAAAATAAATCATGATTACTATGGAAATAGATTTTTAAAAATCATTCATTAAATAAGATTTAGAAATTTAGTTAAAAATGTAACTGCGAAAATATACAAATGAAAATTTTTTAAAGAAAAAAAACAGAAAATAATAGACAAACAAGATTTTGAAAGTATCTTTTATAAAGATATGTCAAATTAATTTTTTTAAAACATATACTTATAAAAGTTATTGCTTAACATGAAGTGTGTGGTAAACAGTATAGTGATAATCTTACGTGAACACATATTTTTGTATCACTACACTCCAAAAATGGAGTTTCACACAATGTGCCGGTCCACTCAGATGGACATATGCATGTAAAACCTTCCTCTTTATCCTTGCAGGTACCGCCATTGTTACAAGGTGAACTGTCACATTCGTTGATATTTTCTTCACAATACAAGCCTTAAAGAGTAACTGTTTTTGTTACAACATGCAAACTACAAAGAAGTTTTCTGAACATTTCATTTTACATGATACTATTTGGAAATTAAGTTTATGAAGCTGAATGTATTAATGATGTTGACTGTATTTGTGCTATCTAAAGCACTATGTCCTGATGGGCATTCATATAATTGTTATGCAACCAATCCCACAAATGTTGTGTTGATGCTTTGCCACTTATTTTTGCAACAACACTGTGTCTATTACTCCAGCTACAAAACAAACAAGCTTTTCTAAGATTATTCATATATAGACAATTAACTTCACTCACTACCATGTGGTTTTATATAATCTTATAAAGTCTGTCTCAAGAAACTTCAGATATTGAAAGTTATCATATATAAATAGCCAAAGGTTTATCTAAAAATAAGTTGAGATCATATGGCCTACAGATAAGAGCTCATGCAGGAAATGGTGAATATAATGTAAAATTTTTTTTTAAAACTGGTTTTAAATTGAAAAAAATTCAGCTTTACCTTTCCTCCCTTTTGGACATGTGCAATTGTAACTTCCAATTTTGTCAACACATGTCGAGCCAGTCTGGCATTTGTTATTGACACAGTCATCAATATTTATCAAACAGTCTGAGCCGGTCCAACCTATTTTAAAATTATAGATAGATCTATAGAGCATGGCTTGGTTTTCATATCTTAATCTCTACATTGTGAAGCTCAATCATAAAAGTTGAGCAATGAATTCTCACAATAGAAAATCTTACCAGGTAAACACATTTTCTCGCCAGAAGTTGGATGACATGTATAATGCCCTGTTGCATCATCTACACCCTTACAATATTGAGAGCAATCAGACCCAAAGTATGAATTATCACAATAAACTCGTATCTCAATGTTCATTCTGTTAAAAAATTATAGAAGTAAGATTTTTAAAACTTAAGCTTTAAACACTGAACAATGTATATTCTAATCATGATCCACTTGGCATCCTAAAGAAAATAATTCACTTCCTAAAATGATTTAACTTAGCAAGTAGGTATAATTTTTGAAAATTAACCATTTGAATACTGCTGAACATCATTCTGTGTGTGGGATGGACCAATGAAACGTAGCATTATAATTAAAAATTAAAAGATGTTAATTATTTCTATTGTATAAATCAGACATAGATCTAGTATTATTTCTAAATTGTGCATCACTTACTGAATAACTAGTCCTACCAATGGAATCTTTCTAAACTGCTGTCCAAGAAGCCACCTAGATTTTATTGTGTAGTTAAAGATGTCAATGAGCTCAAAACTGTAACCAGCATAGACAGAATCCTCAACTTTTAGACCTATTGTGGCCTCTTCCTTTATTGAAATTTTTAAAATTACTGAATAATAGTTAACTTAAATTTTGTTCATGCATGAACAAGATTTTAAAAGATTTTAAACAATACTATTATCATTAGAAAAGAAAATGGACTCACTGGCAAGATATCAAAAGGAAAAGTCACTGGATTTTCTAGTCCACCCACATCGTTTCCAAAGATGATGTGGTTATTTTCTATCTTCTCTGATTGTTTTTTACCAAGTTCACAATTTGTCATACCCTGTGAGCTAGAGGTTTAAATGAAAGAAATTGAAAATTAATATTACAATTTTGTTCTTTACCTATAAATTAACAAAACTTTGGTAATCAGTAGACCTAAATTTGATTGAACATAAAGAATTGAAGTATTGAACTGTTCTATATATTACATAATCATTAAATATATGATAAGGCCGGCCTTTATATATATATATATATACATAGGCCTACATACATACATACATATTACTTTTATATATATATATATATATATATATATATATATATATATATATATATATATTGGCCTATATATATATAGGCCTATGAAATAACAATTAGACATAAGCCCTCTCTCCTCTTCCAGTCGTAGTGAAGAGATCACAGTCTGTTATATCCATCTTACACAACCTGTAGGCTTTTGTTGTTGCGTCACCAAAAACGATGTATTGGAGGGTCAAAACGATAGATTACCCTGAGTTGGTGAAACACCCTCACATACAATACATGATGATGAACGTATGAGGGCATGAATTGAATTCAAGATGCTGTCTGTGGTGCATAGATTTTTCCGACTGCAAACCAAGTGACTGACAAAAGTATCCTGAGCGTGGCGTTTTTGTGCGTTCTGAGCCAAGACTAAGGCAAGACGCAACAGGGTGGGTACTGGTAGGGAGGTACTTGCACAAGGCCCACAAATCCTAGATCTAGTTCTACTATTAAAATCATCTTATGGTATCGCGACAAGAATCAACAACTCGACCGGCAATGTAGGAGGAAGTTACACATTTGCTTCAGTAGAATAAAGTATCAATAAAAATTAGACGTGAGTTAGTTCCCTTACATTAAAAAAAAAATGTAATCTAAATATTAATAATCATCAGTATTCATCAGCAATTAATAATCATCAGCAGTTGATTTCAAGTTGGGTTGATTTTATTATAATCTTAGATACATTAGTTAAAACCTTACGTAACACAAACATAACACTTCCAAAAACGAATCATAATCATAACTTCAATTAAGTTCCGCAGCAACCAGTGTTTCTTCCAGACTTTTTTCTCCGGGGGGGGGGGGGGGGGGGGGGGGCGGGCGGGGGCGGCACTTGAAATTTCCGGGGGGGGGGGGTAGACTTTCTTCGGGGGGGGGGGGGGCGGACACTGTTAAAAGTATATATTTTCTATATAAATTATATAAATTTAATTTCGTTCGGGAGGGGGGGGGGGGGCGGTAGAATTTTTTCGATGAGATGCCTGGAAGAAACTCTGGCCGCAACTTTATCGGTTTAGTCTATGACAGGCACATTATATATGAAGCGATGGGTGACGCAAGTGTTTCTTTTAAGATGGTACACCCCTTGGTGGCCAGATTACGGGTTCATGCGCGGCCTGTTACTTGGGAATCGTTTTTAAAATGTCCAGGATAATTTTTGTCTACTTTCGGAGAATGCATGGACGATAGAGGGAGTGGTTGCGGAGGGGCTTTTGCGTTGAATAGGGTCCAAGATCTGCCGCGAAATCAGCCACGGCATGAAACGTGTCAGCCTACAGATGTTTCTGTTTTTATCCAATAATCTCAACCGAAAGTCACTCGAAAACATGCTGCTAAGTTAAGAATAGTGGATTCGACAATACATTTATATTCCAAGGAGGACGCAGTATTCGTTGAAACGTATTTCCTGGGGAGATGAAAAAAAAATCACATTTTTTTGCACAGCGGAACAAGCCATACTTGAATATCTGGGCTGAATGACAGCTCATTAGGAAATATTTTTTCGTTTGTGCTAACAAAATATAGTACCTGGAAAAAATGAACCACAATTCTTCTCCTCATCAATGCCACCAAAGTCTGATCTCAAAACTCTTTATATCACATAGTGTGCTTCACCAAAGAAGACGCGCAGTAGTGCCGTAATCCAACGAGGGCGGGTCGCGTGGCGATACAGACGGTCGTACGCCATAGGTTACAGAGCATGGATAAGAGAATCCTTGCAGCACGCATTCAGTTGTGTAGAATCATGTAGTAATCTACAGTGTTGTTCACACATTCGGTTATGTAGAGATTACGGAGGAATCAATAGAGATGTTTAAGCATTTGTTTATGCATAGATCACGAAGGAATTCATAGTGTTATTCACACATTCGGTTATGCAGAGATCACGAAGGAATTCATAAGTGTTGCTCAAGCATTCGGTTATGTAGAGATCACGGAGGAACCCATAGAGATGTTTAAGCATTCGGCCATGCAGACATCATAAAGGGACCCTCACATATTCCTTTAGTTTTCAACATCCTCAAAGGCATAAGGATATACAATTTTAAGCGTACAATGTCTGTTTCCTTGACATCGGCAAAAGAAGAAATAGAGTGTTTTTTTACATGCTCTAACTTTACTTTCTCGTTTAATGCTGTAATAACGCGAGACAACTGTCATTTTGGGGGTCGATGTGGGTTATAACCTCCCACCTAACATCTTTCTCGTCAACGCCTCTGAGTGCAAGTATCACTACCGATTAGTGAAACATTTCGATAGATCTCTATATTGTTACCGATATTTTTTAAACTATGCAAAACAGCATGGGTTAAAGAATATGTTTAAGAGAAATTCTATTTCTACATATTACTACCAATGTAGTAAACACACTTGACACTGAAAGGATATCTAAACTCACAAATTGAACTGAAATATACAGAGTTGTTTATCATAACAATGTAGGAGTGGACACATCAGATTCAGTAGTTAAATTGTAAAAACTGCCAAGATAAGTCAGAGCGTTTAAAGAAATCATAAGCAAATCTAGAGATTTTATTTTACTTGTTCTGAACTGAAAGCTTTGATTTGACCAAGTGTTACAGATTTAGTTCTAACATCGCACTGCCATCCAGTTATCGGGAATTTCGTTTTAGTTTTGTCATTTTTCAATTTACTAGAACCTTTGTTGGTGCCCCCCCCCCCCCCCCCCCACAACCCTGTCCTCCGCCACCAACACACACGAGCATTAACAGATTTACTTTCATGCATAATTTATTAAAGGCCAAGCCCCTACAAGGTAGAAAATAATCGACACTTACCCATTATACTTTGACAAACAGAATTCAAATACATGGTTGCAAGTGCCATCGCATGTAGAATCTTGACCAAAGAAAAAGTCGAATTCCTGTTCGCAGCACGTCCCGTCATACCTCCTTCCTTCATTGTTGTTTAAATCAATAAGTTTTATTTCAATTTTGCCAGACCCCTGGCACACGTTTGCTATCTAAGAAAGAGGCCATTAAAATGAGTAAGGAGTCTTAAAATAGTTAATCTTTTTAAAAATTCATCATAGTAAATACAATACAACCGTTATGAATTTTAAGCCCATGTATTTACGCATATATAAGGAAAAGCTATTTCCTTCTTCACTTTTTTGTCTCCCCTTCTTCCTCTTTCCCCATGGACACCATCACAACAGCACCTGCTTAAGTTAATGATGTTATTTTACTGTCTTTCTGATATTGTGCCCTAAACACCACCTTTTCGTTGCTCTTGACTCTTATTTCATTCTCCGCTGTCTGTATCCATCTAACTCCGAGCCATACAGTGAAAGAGACTTTACATTCAGCTACAGATCCTAACTGAATTTTCTTTTGACATTGTTGACAATGACAATGCATATGAATTCCATATAGGTTTAGAAACTTAAAATGCATTTCATCGCTGCTGATTCTAATCTGAGGACCCCCCCCCCCCCCCACCGAAGAGATGCCTGGAAGAAACTCTGGCTGTTGTGTCTGTTGGACTCCACTTTGTATCCTCTCGCTTGTTTCATAATAGAAACAACCAGTCAACGAAATACCTGTGTCGTATTCCAATTTGCACAATAAATTTTTCTGGTAATTTGCTATTGTGTATCACGTATGTGACTTTATTCTAACATACTTATAATCCAACTATGTAACATATCATAACAGATTTTTTACCAAAGATAGGACATAAAAGACTGACCTAAACACAGTAGCACCTGCTAGAAACGTCCCTCTAAACTCAGATCAGAATTATATTTTTCTGACATTGTTAATCTTTTTTTAAAAGGATAACGCATCTCAAGGGGGAACACACACACACTCACATATATATATATATATATATATATATATATATATATATATATATATATATATATATGAGGGGGGAGCGCTAAATTGAAAATTCGCTCCGGGCGCCAATTGTTATATTAAAAGTTTAAGAAAAGTTCTTAGATTTCAACAGAGGTCTGTAAATATACATTGTAACTAAAAGAAACCATGTTTTTCGTTAAAAATTTTGGAGCTCTCTGCCCACACTCTAAACTATGGGACCGTTTATAAAATATGCGCCTTATGGGCGTTTACAAAAAAATTTTTATTTAGCTTTCAAAAGGCTTCTCGTTTAACGTTTAGAGTCACTATCCCTTTTTTTTAAAAAACCTGCCTTATAATGTAATGCACACACAATTACACTTATACATAATACAAAGCCTATACATACATTAGACTAGTTGATACAAGTCGTTTACATGATCCGCCCATACCACAGAGCAATACGACTGGCATCAAGTTAAAGTAGGCAAGTATGTCACTTCATTACTCCAAGCGTAATTTGGCCAGTAGTTGTCAACTGTACTAATTAGGCCAATTTATTCGTATCGGCGGTTTGAAGAGCGTCAATACTGTTAAGATAAGAAGTGGTTCTTGTTTGCCTTAGTGAATGGTGAGCGCCACACACCGACAGAAGTGACTTATTTACATTTGACAGTATAACTATGATTGCTATTATTATCATCATGAATAGTTTTTTGTTTAATATCAAAAGACCCTCCCTCGTCAATATATCGTTTACATTTTAGTAGATGTATCATTCCCTTACTCTAAGATAACGCATTTTAAAAGAAATAAGCTGAATAGCTGGTTTCTTATATGATTGATAGACTTACTTAGGGTAGTTATTTTTTTTTACAAGTGCTATGCATATATAGTTGATACCTTTTGACAAGGGAAAGTTTTCGATTAATCGTCTTAAACACCTTTTTAAGATATTTCTATACTCTAGTTAGTAAATAGGCATAAAACAATGTAATGTATGTTTAGCTGTGATCTGCAGCCAAAGTTAATTTTAAATTTTAAGACACTTTGGGCAGCCGAGCACTTTATTAAAAAGACAAGCACATGTAGCAGTTTTCCACCGGCCCTACCTGTGTTAGAATTGCGATGGTGATGAGAAATTTCATTTTTTTTTCCTCACAATATTTCAAGTAAACAAAAATGAAATAATGTTATAGAAAAAAAACTTTGTTTTTGAACCAAGCATTTTTCGACACGTAATTAGCTTTCAACTTGTTTTGTTAGTTAACTTCCAAATGAAAATATCCTTAAAGTAACCAGCCGAGGTACGAGACAATGTAACTACAACACAGCACTTCCTGAGTCCAACATATCTAGGTCTACATCAACAGGACTCTCCCGTCTTATGCCACCTAGTAACCTCTCTTGAAGAAATGTCGTGCAGCCAATTAAATGAGCTCAGTGGTTCTCAAAATAATATTGTCGTTTTGTTGCTTTATATCACAACAAAAAACTGTTACCCCCCCCCCCCCCCTTTCTCTCTTCGCATGTGTGCCTAGGCAGCGGTTTAATGGAATTAATTTCAGGCATATCGGGGGGGGGGGGGGGGGGGGCGGAACGGAACGGAACGGAACACATCCACCCTACCCAACAGACGAAATAGACGGCGTCGACGTGGTCGGATTAGTAAAGCTCAAGGTTGCTAATCCGAAACACCCCAAGTTCAAACCCCGGGTATATATAAGGCTAGGGACAGCGAATCATCTAGGAGAGGAAACTTCTAAATCATAAACTGCTGTGTTGGAGCTTGTTCTTGGATGGACAAGCTATGGGAGCAAATCAAGAGAGAGAAAAGAAGGCTGCAATAGGGGTCAACGGGCCATAAGGCGCATAACATGTTGACGCGTAATGCTTATGTTGGAGGGAATCCCGTCCAATATTACAATTTAAGAACGAGGAAGAAGAAGTTGATGAAATTGTAAAATATCACATTTGACAAAAAAAATGTATACACTTTAACTCCATTCTTATAATCCCCCCTCCCTCTAGTGGCAATGTCTGTAAGAAACCGTCGTTTCAAAACAGCGGCTTCCAACAAATTTGTCAATAGGCTCTGGTTGAGTGGAGCTGTCAAGTAAAAAATAGTCCTACTTAAACGAATTGTGCATTTTAAATGTTAAAAATATTTTTTTTTTAAATTTAGGTCCTACTTTAATGTCAAAACATTTATAAAAATATATCTGTGTTGGTCTATTTGAACACAAATGAAATGTTTTCAGAAATTAATTTGAAATGTCTAACATAACAGCTATTTTAATTATATAAACTTTGTAAGACAAGCCTGCTGTAAGACTTGTCTACTAAATATGCTACGAATTATTGAGGTCTAGTCTTGACACTATAAAGTAAGCCTACACCTAATGTATTAAATTAAGCTGAGCAGCAAGGAAAACCCTTTCAACTTGCAGCAACCAACTTTAAGTATTACAGCGTGAAGGTATCGCAAATGGGGCTTAACACTACTACGATATCTCTGAGTTCTCTCCCCTCATTCAGATTTTTTTTCATGATTACACCGGAAATCTATAAATATTAAAATAAGTAAGGCAGTTAAATAGGCGGGCTTGCATTAAACTATACTTCATGCTTTAAGAAGGAAGAAAAAGATTTTGGTCTATATATTGAGACCTACTTGTCAATGAAGTTAAATGTGAATTAACCCTTACGGGCGTCGGTAATTGACACCACCCTCGTTCAGAGTTTACTCTAGGCATCTCTTGCCCCCCCCCCCCTCCCTTCTATTTTTTCCGAACGTAATAGAATTTATATTAAAAATGTATGTGTCCAACCCCCCCCCCCCCCCAATATATATATTAAGTACCCCCACTCCGCTGAAAAAAAAGGGAGATGCGTCTTTTGTGACGAGAGGGAGGTGATTTTTAAAAAAACATTACTGAAATTCAGCAGTTATTTTGCATTTAAATATTTTAAAGGCTTCTTAAATTGTGATAAAAAGTAATTGGTGATACCGAATCCAAAAAAAAAACGTAAAATTCACTGTCAAAACAACGTTTTATCCCGTTAAAATAAGATATTTTGGGGGGGGGGGGGTGTCAACAAACCAAAAAATGCTAAATTCTTGAATGAGGGTGGAGTGACACCCGACCAACTGGTAAAGCTAGCAAACATATTTATAAAATATATATTTTATATAGGCCTACTAGACATGATACATAATAATAATATCATAGATCATCGCCGCCTATAAACTACTAGCTTCACAGCTGTGTGTCGTCGCCCCCCCCCCCCCCCCGAAATAAAATTTATATAGAAAATATATACTTTTACCAGTGATCCAGGGTTTGGGTAAGTCCACCCAGTTCTGATGGGTTGCCTGACTCACGTTATGGAAAGTAAAGGGGGCTGGGCATGGTGCTAACCACATTGTCCCTTCATATGCCAAGGTTCCTGAAACAGGTGAACCATACTAGATCAGAGGCATAGCTATCGCATTGCAAGCATAAGCAATGCATAAAAGTTATTAAAAAGTATTTAAAGTTAAAGAGCCCTAGGAACCCAGGGACCATTTTCCCCTCTTTGACAAGTGTAAAATTTTGCATTGGAAATGTCATTTCTTTTTTTATACAAATAATTTTAAAAAGAAAAATACTCAACCTCTTGTCAGATTAAGCATCATAACCAGTTTATTATGTGAGGAAGCATTTAGTTTAATGCAGAACAATTATTGAGTACCTGTATGGGAGTACTTAAGTGAAAAGCCTAGCTGTCTGGAAGTAGGCCTACCTATGTGAAGATCACATTAAACATCCACTGTTTAAGGACCCAATTATTAATATTAGTCAATAACATTACTAATAAACTAATACAAATAATGTGAATCATATTTTAAAAAAACCCAATATCAATGATATTTTTATTATCATGAATATTTTAATTTTTAATAATTTTAAATGATAACTGTTAATACTCAATTTAGGAGGTAGAATTCAGATATGTTTTAATATGAACAGTTTTATTGATGTTTCTACTCATTTCCAGAGGTAGGATATTAAGCTGTAAGAATGAATTCATCCAGGTATTTGTAGCTATGTTGACAACAACCACACATAAGATGTTGAGCACAAATCCAGCTTTCGCCTAGTTAAAAATTAAACAATTTTAAAATGAATTTGTATTATTATAGATTTAACTTTTTAAAAACAAGAAAATACAATAAACCCAAATGTAAATGGGCTTATATATTTAATTAAACATACCATAATTGTTATAGCTAATGCCATTTCAACCATATGAGAACAATAGTTAGAAATTTAGGACTAACCATGTCTTTAACTTTTATGTGACCAGTGGCAAAAACAATAGCATTTGGAGGAGTAGCTACAGGTAGCATGAATGCCAAGGAGCATGCAAGAGTTGCAGGGTAGAGAAAATATAGAGGATTCATCTGCATTGATATAGCCTGTAAAAGACGTAGTTAAACAATAGAGATTCTAAATAATTTGATTATGATTTTAGATAAATAGTCTGTTATTAATGCGCAAGTGTTAGCTTCAAGAAACTATAAACATTACCAATTCTGACAAAATTGGACAAAGTATGCTGGCTGTTGCTGCATTACTGGTGATCTCAGTCAGAAAAGATATGGTCAAAGAAAGTGTAAGTATCATTAGCCAAGGCTCCATGCTGGCGAAAACAGACAGTTGTAATCCAATCCATAATGATAATCCTGATTCCTAATATAAACATAAAAATACATAGTTTTTATTTAAATTAACATGCAACTAGAAATGAAATAAATAATCACTGTTTAAGATTTTTAATGCATATAATTTCTAAACAACTATTTTATAGTAGATAAAAGAAGAATATCAAATTATAACTTTAGACATACTTTAAAATAGCATTTTTCTCTACTGTATGACTGTATGCCCTACCTGACAAATATGAGCTAATGTATATCCACCTCCAAGTAACAACCATGTACCCCATGGAAAATTTTCATGAATAGTTTTCCAGTCCATCAAAGCAGGAACAGACACTGGTATTTTGTAGGCATGTGATAACAAAAATTTATCTCACAATGATTTTTTTCAGCACTAGTGAAAATCTAATATGGTAGCTATTATTTTGCAATGTTGCTTTGGAAAAAATTCTAATTGTAAAATTTAAAATAAGCTTACTTTCTTACCATTTTTTTCAGTTCCTCTACAGAAACATTGTGGTTGTTGACTTGGAAAAATGAAAAGTAGTAGAGTAATGAAAATTCCAATTGTGGAGTTGTTGACATATCTAAAAAAAAATATTAATTAAATTTAAAAGATTGTATTTGAGATATTCAACTTTTTTTTTAAAATTAGTATTACTGATTACAATTACAGAAAAGTCTTTGATTAAATAAAATTGATAGAATCATGTTCTATGACAAGAACAATATATTTAAATTATATAATATAGTTAAATTACTCAGGTTTAAAGAAGTAGCTCCATCCTATTTCGCCTGGGAGTTTCATAGTTAGCCAAAAAATCAACAGCACAAAAAAATGCCCCATTATTGCTTTTTCAGCAAATCTATAATTAAACATTTTCAATAAGACAAGCTTTATAAAATACAAATGCTAGTTTAAAACTATATAAATGTTTAGAAAGTGGTTAAACTTAACTGTTGCAGCTTTAACTCTAAAATATACTCTATATCATTTTTAAAAAATAAAACAAAAAATTAGGGCCTACATCTTTGTGAAAATAAAATCTTAAAATGTTTTTTTTTTTACGAAAGTGGGCCTAAATCCATGAGGTGACTTTTAATTACAGCTCTCATTGCTTTAGTTTCTTCTTTGTCTCCACATCCAAACTTGAAAACTTCTCTGAAAATAATTCGTTTAAATGTTTTAAAGTTAAAGAGGTAAAATAATATATCTAAAACTATATATATATATATATATATATATATATATATATATATATATATATATATATATATATATATATATATATATATATATATATATAAATGGTTAATATTACTAATCAAACATAAACATTTCTGTATTAATTGGAAGATACATGCATTAAATATTTTCAAGCTCAGTGATCTACAAACATATTTTGATTTTTCAGTGTTAAATAACTGTGAGTCTTACTTGATTCCAAAGAAATAAAATACAAGCCACAGCCATGCTATTATTAAACTTATGACAGCAATAGGGAAGCAAGAAATAAACCAGTTAAGAAAATTTACTCCTGACTGCAGACCATACGATTCAAAGATTCTGGAAAGAAAAAATTTTATGTGGATTTGTGCATTCCTTTTTTAAATTGAATAAATTCATATTAAAAACAAAATATCATTCTGTGGTGTAAATGGTTTAACATACTCATCAGCTTGTCCTTGCATGATCAGGTTTGTTGATGAACCTGTAATAGATCCTATTCCTCCTAATGTTGCAGCATAGCATACACAAAGACTTAGTGCCTTGCTTAAGTGCTTGAATTTTTTATTTGAATAGTTATATTCAGCTTTATTAGTTCTAAAACAGAAAGGTTACATCAATTATAAAAATTATATTGAATTTTTTTTAACATATATGCTTATAAAGTATAAATACTTTTTAATAATTGATGCCATACTTTTTAAGTCTCTTTTTATTGTTGGTAAGTGTTTGCATCAAGACAGTTTCTTCATGCTGCTTGGGAAACACATCATTTTCTAAAAAGTAATTTGAACTATTTATTACATTTACAAAGAATAAATAGAATGAAGGATAAATATCTTTGAAAAGCTAACTGCAATATTTGAGTTAAAATAGAGTTATAGAAAATTATATTAAATACTACCTGAGGTTAGCAAAATATTTATGGAATCTACTGTTGATTCCATTTCACCAAGCTGGTTTAGTACAGCTGTGACTACAGGTAACATCATAGCTGTTGCAGATGTATTGTTTACCCACATGGAAAGAAACCATGTTGGTATCATAAACCCTATGGTAAGCCTACAAAAAAGGTTTAAATAATTTTTAATGTAAATATTCTGCAGGCCTGCAACCAGTATATACATTAGTGTTGTTATACATTCATACTAAGTCTTTATTCAAAAAGCATGTACATTTTTAGCAAAAATGTATTTAATAAATAATAAATATTTATTATGAATATAATTTAAGACTTTTTAAAATTAAAATAGATTATTTACTTGGTATAAATTTTAAATTAAAGAAGTATTAAATTTTAGGTACCATTTAGGACTTGATCCTATTGCTAGTAAAGTACCATATGCTATTCTTTTATGAAATTGCCATTTTTCTACACACAGAGCAAAAGTAAGACAGCTGAAACTAAACATGGACGCATCCTGAAAGTCCAAAAAAAGTATTAAATTTTAAACAAGTTAAACACTATTTTATTTGTAAATATTAAAGATTTTATTAATACCTACTTTAATATAGTTAACAGCAACTTCACTAGCAGGAAGGACTCCAAGCACAGGAAACAAAACAATAGGTAAAAGGGATGTTATTGAAAGGGGTAAAGCCTCAGTTATCCAAAATGTGGCTATAATGATGACCCCATACAAGCATGCCATCTCCTAGTAAATTAACATTATAAAAATACAGAATTTTTTAACAAAGAATATGTTTACAAAAATTACCAGTTTTAAAGAAATACACATAATTATGAAACTTAAGTTGTGAAATACAAAAGAATTTCTGTTCATTTTTAATAAAAATTACCTTTTAGCCATACAATTCTCTTAGCAACTTAGTTATTACTCTGTTTGCTTACCTTTGATCCATCAATATAAAGTATTGGAAGAGTTATTACAGGTGCTAGAATTAATACTATCGTTCTCCAAACAAGGCCAATCTCATGAAATATCTGCATTTTTCAATACCTTGAAGTAGGCTTACTACTTATTAAAACAGACTGTGATAAAAAGTGTCTTTATTTCTTGGCAATCAAATTTTCTAATAAAAAAAACAGAAACCTATTTTATGCAGCAATTAAACAACTGCAAGTAATTTAATATTACAGAGTTCCTTGATGACAATCTAATTGATAACATAATGAGATCATGTTCTTCTAGGTTAATATGGTGTGACTGGAATAGCAAATCCTGTTTGACCTAAAAGAATAGTGCATGCCTGGCTTAGAACTTTCTTAATTACATTTCACTATCTATGGTTCAACAATTATTCATGGTAGAGAAAAAAAATTGCATTGGTGTCTGGAAGAAATAAAATTAGTGGACTTAAATAAAAAATTATATTAGTCAGGAATCTAATGCAGATGATGTACACAATTTTGTTTAAAGCAGCTGATTTAAAGGAAATTGATAATAAATTTTTCTTTTGTAGTTAATTGCTTAAAATCATTATTCCTTTAGGTAAATGTGATTTTGTAAATGTGTGATAGGCAACAACCTAAATAATATGAACAAACTGCTAAATTGTTAGACTTTTTAAATTTATTTTTTTTATAATAAATCTTACAGTAGCTATAAACAATATTTTTATTGACAAGATTTCAACTGGATACTGGATTTGAAATACTCAATAATTTACAATAAAACAAAAAGTACAAAAAAAAAATTTAAAACAGTATTTTCATTGTATCATTCATTCAATTGAATGGAAAAATGTTTAACTTAATTTTAAAGACTGCAACACTAAGTAGTAAAACAAATTCATTTTCAAAACTGATTTAAAAAATTAAACTTAAAAGTCTATAACTGGTGTCACACAGCAATATCCTTTGTTACAACACTGGCTTTTTTCTTTGTACTTGAGCTTTGGGTTTCCTGGCTATTAGCAACTTCAAATTCACTCTGTTAATTTAAAGTTTTAACATGCATTTTGCAACCTGATCATCATAATTCTTTGTATAGAAATTAAGTTATTGATAAGTAAAAAATAAATTAACCCTATGTTAATGTTGGAATTCCAACTAATTACAAAACTAACTTACATTATCCGTTTTTGAATAAGCTCTTTTTCTTCCTCTTTTTCCTCGTGTGTCTTTGGTCATCAATGAAGCAGGTGTTTCTTCCTATTATAATTGCATGATAAAAATATTTTAAAACTTGGAAGCAAGAAAAAGAAAAAAATATTTTATTAATCATGAGTTATCTACCTCAGCAGGGGAACTTCTTGTCACTCGCTTGCTTCCACTAAGATTAATTTTATTAGCTTTATCAACAAGCATCGACACTGTCTAAAATTGAAACAGTATCAATTAAATTTTAAAAATACACTGTTTTTGAAAATAAAAACTAATTTTAAAAATCTTAACTATTAAGCATAAAGGAAAAGAAAGATAACTATGTAATTACTGCTTTTTTTAACTTAAAAGATAAAAATTCCTAAATAAATTATTATATAGTTTTCTTTCAAATAACTCATTTTGTGCTAAAACAGAATTTTAAAATCGAGTACAAAATCTAATGTGATATTTATTATTTATAGCCTTTAGTTATTGTAAATTAGCTGAGTAACTGATTACAGAATGAGTAGGCCTTCTTGCCTTATCTTCTTCCATATTTGTTCTGTGTGTATCATCTACCTGAAAGTGCAAACATAGAAAAGCAGTTTTTAAAGCATTATTTAAAGAATGCTAACACTTACAATGAACAATCAATTTAAAAATTGGACAAAAGTTGCTGAAATGAGATTTGACAACATAAACAGGATTTTATAAATTTATTTCACTTTTCATATATCTAAGTATTAATGTATGTACCAAACTATTTTGTATTGTAGAATGTCCAGACTTGATAATTAAATTTTCAATAAAAATTCAAAAATGTAATTTTTAATATGTTATAAATGACTGATAATAAAGCACTATGAAAACTCCAAATCCTATGGTGTTATCGTCAACAAAGCCAGTGTATTTTAGTATGTAGTTAAAAACTTACTTTCAGACCGGTATCATTAGAGACTAGTGCTTTCCCAGGAGGTTTAGAAATTTTAAGATATCGATCAAAAGCATCAGTTTTGATTTTTTCTGTTAAAACAATTTTTCCTAATCTGAAAATAATTTCATTTAATCCTTCGAAATTAATAAAAACTACTAATAAATAAATAACAATAAAAGTTTGATATAATAAAGTTCATCTGTAAAAATAGCCAGCATACAAACATTAGAAGAGTTATTTATTATTTGTGAAAAAAACAATGATTCTAAATATGATTGAAATTTCTTATAAGAGTATTTATTCACTATGTACAAATGTCTATAACGCTTTCTGTCGCACACCATCTAAGTAATTAAAGCGGGAGTGATCTCCCTAAGCTTTCTCGAATATTCTTATATAACACTATGGGGAATTGTAATTCGGGATATAGACAGAAAATATGTGTGTATAATAGTGCGGAGTATTATTACTTTTTAAATTCATTTGCTTTTTTGAGAAATCGGAAATAGTATAAACTACTACTTCCGGTAAACGGAAATTACTCAAACTTTTACAGAAGACAGAGAATAAGATCTTTTTCTAAAATCAGAAATTTTTGTGAACGTCATAAATGGATGACCCCTAAATACATTAATTAACTAGCATATATATGTATATATTTTATCCAGAAAATTAAAGTAAGTCTCTAAATGTAGATCTATTAGAAGTTAAGGCAGTTTAGTTACAAAAAGTAAATTTATGGAGTTTGAGAAATATAGCCTGACTTCTGAACTAACAAGTGTGATATTACTGGACGCATATACTTATTAAAATATACTAAGCTGATTTAAAGTGACCAAAGTGACTTTTCAACTTTTTAGTGAAAACAGTTAGGGATATCAGTTTTTTGTGTATTCTGTAAATTTATCAATAAGGTTATAACCGGTTTGTGACAGAAAAAATTGATATGAAGAAAAGAGGATATTAAAACTTCACAAGATATAGATAAAGGTTATAGACTAAAATCATGAAAAATTAATTATCTACATGTACTTCAATAAAAATGGATCATTAATACATTTATGAAAATAAACATTTTATACCTTTTCCCTCGATTAGAGCTTGAAAGGAATCCTTCTTTTTCAAGTCTATTAATCAGACCTTGAGCAACAGTATTCTCTATGCTGAGTCGGCGTGCAAGTTGTGGAGCAACTAATGTTTTAAACTCTAAACTTGTTAAGAGAGCTCGTCTCCACAAACAGGTTGCCTTAATTTTTAAAATATTGCAAATTTAATACATATTGAGTCAGCATAAACTGTTATAAACATTTAAAAGAATACTATTCTTTACAATGATACAATGATATTAATGACACCACTTGTCAATTAGTATGAGATAAAACAATAAAAATTCCCCCAATACTTTAATAATACATACTAAAATTGTAAGAATCATTATAGTTCAACTAACAATCTTAACAAACAAACAAAAGTTAATTTTTACCTGTACTGCAAAAGATGACAAACCACAGAGATGAGGATCAGTGGGTTCAAGCTTAGAATTTCCAGGCTGTTTGAATAAAAATAATGGTCAATACAGATTGCACTTCAAACATGAAAAGAGTAAAATGAAAAAACATAATGAAACTGTCAAATTAAACTGTAAAACAGATAATATTAAATAATGATATAGTAAAATTTGTGTGTATACATAAGTAATTTAAAATAGGAATTTTTATATTGATAATGTAACAAAATATTTATTGAAATAAATGTAAGTACAGGAAAATATAATATTATAACCTTCGCACAAAGATCACATATGTGATCAGTTGGAGCATTTTCTTCTGAAATGATTTGAAAGCAAACAGCATGTTGCCAAAAATTGCAGTTTGCACACATAACCATCAAGCCATCATCCTAAGATAAAAAATGTTTTAATATTAACACTTCTATTTTAAGAAATCACAGATGCAACAGTAAGTTGTAAGTTGTTTCAGAGGCAAAAAATATTCATTGATACTTAACATAAACCAAAAATAAGATCAATAATTATACATTCACACTACTATAGCTTATTGTTTTTCATCAAATATTATACCTCATTGCAGCCACAAGGACATCTAACACTGAATTCTTCCTCAATAGTTTCAGGCCTAACAGGACTTTTATCTGTATGAGAAAAAAAAAGAATGTATATGATGTAAGTAATATCACAATGCCTACAATGGCTGTATCAAACTTTATCAACTAATTACCTGGTTTCAATGGGCTTGAATGATTAGCTGGATTGGGTTCTGAAATAGGTTCTTTTTTATTTGATACAATTTTCTCTTTTTCTACTGCTTCATTTTGATTGTTTGCCTTAAAAAATGATAAATAAAAATAATAGCTTTAAAAAAAAATAGTTTAGATAATAAAGAATTAAGTAATTAATTATAATATAATTTGACTTTCATCCATACAAGAAAATGTAATCAAAAACAAAATTTAACAGGTAATACAATTTTAAATGTATCTTTATAAACATTCTTTTTAATACCTCATTATCCAGACCACTGTTGCAAATGGAAACTTCAGCCATTTCTTGATCCATTTCTTCAATGGGATTTTCATGCACTTCAAACTGTTTACTGCCAGTTTTGACACGCATTTTTACTCTATTAATAAAGAAGTGTATATAATTGTTTTAAAGATTTTAATTTTGATATAATTATGTTATTATCAGAAGTTAAAATTTAATTTTTAAAAAATTTAATTTGCACCTTAAGAAGCATATCTATCCAGCTTTAATGGGCCATAGAGATGAAAAAATTTAACTAGGCCCTTATTTATAGTACACAACTTTGCAAATTAAAATACTAAATAAAATTAACACAATCTGTAAAAAATGTCAAACAAATAACAAGGAAAAACTAAATCAATCTCAATTTTTAAAAATGGAAATTTTAAAAAGTTTTTCTAATGAGATGCAAACTTACGTATGAAAAGGCTATAAAAATGAAAATTAGACAATTATGTTACAAACCATGCACTAGTCAAAGGTGATTTTTATTTAAAATTTGTGTACTTAAAAAAAATAATATAGGGGTCATCCATAAACAATATCATGCTTTGTCAAAACAATGTAACCTCCCCCCTGCACATAATGACTTTACCTTTCAGCCTACCACTCCCCTCAAGATTGCAATTTTTTTTTTTAAACAGCTATGTCTTTATAGAAAATTAACTGAGCTCAATCAATAATGAGTATATTGATCAACTTTTTTGTTTTATCACAATTAACAAAATTTTTTTTTTTAAATGTCCTTTTGAAATGTAAAAAAAAAAAGTATTCATTATGATTCCAGTGTATTGCCATTTCTATGCTGTTACAAAAAAATAATAATGAAATTTTAAATATAGCACCATTTCTACAATCACCAATTATCTCCCCTCGTTTAGTTATGGCTCTGCATTTTTAGCGCAATTTCCATTCTGGAGAATTGCGTTTATTAACTCGTCATTTCTGGGAATGGATGGATGGATGAATGAATGTATGGATGAATGTGTGTCCGGGCTTTAAGTCGTATCTCCTCCTCAACGAAGCAATATCGATGACTAGTTCCAAAAGCAATTATGTTAAGCAAGTTACGAGAATGAGCATAGGCCATAAAAATTCCGGGTTTCTTTCATGTATTTCCCGGAAAAGCCAAAAAACCTCGAAAAAATTCAGTTTTTGGCCCATATCTCGGCAACCAGACCACTTAGCGACTTGAAACATGTACCAATCGATTCCTGCCATAATTTAAAACAATATTGCCGAAGAAAGTTTTCAAAAATATCCTCTCGTTCGGTCACAAATTTTAAAATTACATAAACACCTACAAACCGATCGTTCTTCTAGCTTGAACGCACCCCAGCAATATACGTCAGAGCTATTTTTAGATAACATAAGGAAATTGCGCATAAATGTCACTAGACTTTTTTATTAACTTGTTTAATGTTATCTAGTCAATCTTTAGCTTTTTATTTTTTCCCCCTTTTACTCTAGTGGGTGGAATTTTACAATTTTCAATTGCTAATCTAATTTTAAAATAGACTAAAGTTAAAGGCAGGCTTTTTATCAACCCTTACATAAAATTTGAAATGAGTGGGTGAAAAACTGTTTGCAAGATTCTCTAGAGACTGATTAATAATGCATTCCTCTATAATTATTCCTGATTAGTTTAACTCAAAAGAATGTTTTTTGGTAATAAAATTTGCAATCACTAATCATAGGTAGAAATATTCTTCTCATTTTGTTTAATTACATTGGAATATTTATTATTTATTGTAATTTTCATATACATTTCTATTTTTTTTGTGCATACTTACAGTGGCAACCTCACCAATAGCAATGTTGGTTGTTTCCTCTATAAAATGAAGTGCATGATCATTTGAAGCTTTAAATCCAGGAGGTTCATAATCCAATGGTGTTACTAAAAATATATATGAATATTTAATGATGTGGAAAATACATATTTTCAAAAAATGTATTTAAACTAGATTGTGGATAACTGGGTGTGGAGTAAAGAAGCTTTTGTTTCAAAATGTGTGAATTGTCTGCATGTATGCAGGCTAGAATTATTTCCCAGTTAAAATGAAACTATGCATTAGTACCCTGGATGCTAAAATTTTAAAATGTTAATTATTTGTGTTTCCCTGGGTGTCTGTACTAAGTATCCTCTCATAATGACACACTTCTAAGCTAGTCATTTTATAGCTTTTATACTGTTCCACACTATAATTACCTCCTTTTTAGGTCCACAAGCTTCTTTACATAGGTTTTTTAATCTTTTCAAGTGATTTTATATATAAATAAGCTCTTTAGGAGAAGATTCCATGCAATAAATTATTCATCGCCTATCAGTATTCTATTGGTGCCAAAATGAATGAACAATAAGGACAAACACATATTATTCCCCCACTGCTAATATCTTTATATCAACCAAAAATGTCAAACAAATTTTAAAATATAATATTGCCCCTAGAGGAAAAAAAGCAGAACAAATAATCAACCTTGTCATTAATTCCAAAAACTTGACACCTTTCAACTTACCATCATAGTAGAACAACTTCATTGTCATCATGACATTATCAGGAAGTGAAGTAAGAGTATTAGTAAGAATAATAAGTGTCCTCAAAAGTCGAATAGTTGCTTTCTTTGTTTCTTCTGCTGAGTAAGCACTTGAAATTTTTTTATCATTTCTGAAATTTGTTTATAATGTAAAAGTAACTATGTTTTTAACACAAAAAACTAGACTGCACTGTAAGTCAAATGGTATTCTCTTTTGTAATGTTCCCTGTTCTGTTACAAATAATTAAAAAACACTATTTTTAAAAATATAACTGTTTTATCTTTAATTTTAAATACATTTATTTAATTTGTGGATTTAAAAAATAACTATATTACAGAGAAATAATATTATCTCATTCTCATAGAATAAATATGATTATTAAGAATCAAAATGTATAAAGAAAACATAGATGTGCAATTAAATAATTACAATTAAGAGATGAACTTTAGCAGGCAAAAAAATAAGATAGAATACCTGTATATGTCTACTTCTCCATCATTGTTATATGCAAACTTAAAAGTGTATGACTCAATAACAGTCTGAATTAAGAAAAACAATATATGTATAATTATGCAATTACAAACACAAAAACACACATACTGAATACACAATATTCATAATTTATTATAAAATAATTACACCGATATGCTTACAGTTGTAACGAAAAACTATATTTACCTCAGGATTATTAGGATCAACATAGATCTGTAAAAATAAAAATATAATCTTGATTGTTACAGAAAACCCATCACGTTTTTACGTAGACTATTCTCAGGGAAAGAATTAAAGCAAAGATAAAATGACAATTAACGTAATAAAACTATTCAATGTCACAGTGTTTACTTATGTACATACATTAAAAGAAGTACCTGATGGAATCAAGAGACTGTTAATGTATGGCAGTTACATTATTGCGGTCTACTTACCCCAATTATTAGAGTCTTCAACTGGAAAAGCAAATAATAGAATATATATATATTTAAATCAGTATTTCATTTACCTGCACTTGCGTTTAGTTGAAAAATGTAAATGGATTTACTAATTGGTTTATTGAAAATTACTTAAATAAAATCCAAATCTTACATATTTTTTGTCCAGTGCATCAAAACAGCCTTTAACCCACTTTATGACTTGGCATGCCCCAGGGCATGAACTTTCATCTCTTAGTATTTTTAAATTTAAATCTAAGATGAAACAAAACAGATTTTTCCTTTAATGTATACACAAATAAAATTGACAGAAATATATTACAATTGTCTAATGAGCTGTTGTAATGTAATTTACCTTCTAGACATTTGTCACCAAATGCATGTTCTGGGAATATTGCTCTCAAGTAGGTGATGTTGGAAATTGCAACCGCCAAAAGCTTTTTCACAAAAAGAGCAGATTTCTGCTCTGTGACTTGTTCATTAGGAAAGATAGACTCCCACTGAAATAATGATATTAATATTATTAAAATTGTGTGAAGCAACTTCTTGTACCTTAGTTTACCCTTGGCGTTGAAATATGACTTTCTGTTTATATTGCTATTTCAGTTACAACGCCTGCTTCCACCCCCTCTACATTCTTCAAAAAGAACAGGTTGTGACTTGTGCACACGTATGCAATAAACATCTTTTCCTTTACTCTTCATATGCAGCATCAGTGTTTCTGCTAGACTTTTTCTCCGGGGGGGGGGGGGGGGGCGGGGCGAAAACTCTGTGCAGCATCAATAACCAGAATCAAATAAAATTACCAATCCATAAACAATAAACTTAACTCTAACAAAAAAGGATGAGTCAGGCACGTCCTGAGAACTCAGAGGTCAACATTATGTGGCAAGTGTTGAGGTAGAACCCCAAAAATAAAAGCTGGAGTGCCTAAGCAATCCTGGAGAAGGATAGTGGAAGGAAAAGCAAGAGCTGCTGAACAACTAAAGTCTAAAACTAAAGAGTTGCCCAAAATAAAGTTTGGTAAAGAGGTGTAGATCTAGCTGCAGCCCATTGCTCCTCAGGTGCTTCAAAGGAATAAGTAGATTTCTAAGTAAAGTTCCCTTATAAATCAGACAAATGAGATACCATGTAGACTAGTAGGCTGTAGGAGATTAAACTCTCTCTATAGGCCTACTATACTTAATTAATACTTACTATAACAACTAGAATAGTTAGGCCTAATACTTAGTAAATTAAATACTTTGCATATAGATCTAGATCTAATTCTAATCTAGTCTAGTCTAGAGATCTAGAAATTTAGAAATGACTAAATAGATCTATATTATATAGTATATAGGCTATTAAAAATTTAAAATGTTCTTGCTTGTGCTTGGGTGACTGTATTTTAAAATTTTTAATCATATCAAGTTATTAATTAATTATAAATAAATACAATAGTGTGAATATGTTACTGAGAAAAGACACTTACGTTTTTACCCTGTGTTCTTTGAAGCTGAGCTGTTGCCATTAGAAGATGATTAGGCTAGTGTGTATTGTATTATTTCTACAAAACGACGGTAAAATATTTCTTGGGAGAGAAATATTAAATAGGCTAGCAGACGATATACTCCGTCAAGTTTAGAATAACCAGATTTTAGATATTGATCATCTAGATCTGGATCTAGATCTATTTCCTACTAAATAGTTTCACATAATTTCTTTAAAAGGAACATAATTGTATATTGTATATTGTTGTTTCTCACTATAATTGAACAAAATATTTTATTTTAAAATCTTAATGATGTGCATATATTTTCCTTTCTCTCTAACAATATTTCCATACATTGTGCCTAACACAAGTAAAAATAAATGTCATAAAATTTTTGTTTTACAAGCTGGCATTAATTTTGGGGAGGTATAATTGTGCTAGGAAAGAGCTGCTATAAATATTGAAACAATTTTTTAAAATTTTTAATTTTGTAAGTATTTCCTGTTTTAGATGTCATACATGTAATTGTTAAATGTATCACGTATATTTTTATGTAGAAAATCTATAATGTCTACACATTTCAATTAAAACATAGCACTTCACTATAGATAAAGTGAAGTGATCGTTATCGCAACATAACCGGAAGTTATAACTGACAGTCGCTTTTGAGACTACTGGTTGCCAACAACAAACAGGCAGACTTCAACAAACTTTTTTAAAATTTAAAGTTAACGTCACAATATTTGTACGTTCAATCTTTATTCAATACTTATCTTTAGAATCTAGATCTAAACGTATTTAAATCAATTACAACTATTCGTAAAAAAGAAACAGCGGCCGAGTGATTTAGGCCTAATTAATTAATTATTAGTTTATTAGCCTAATAATATTAGGCCTATTTTTAAATATTTTTTTATTTAGGCCTAGGGCCAGATTTATATATAATATTTAGTTTAGTATTTAATATTGGATAGGCCTATTATTTTTAATTAATTTGGCTGGAAGCCTGATGATGGTATTATGTATAGTGTTGGACTTTAGTGATTGTGTCAATGTGTACTAACTATGTATGAATCATGATGGCAGTGATGAATCATGATAGCGGAGATGAATCATTCACTTCATCCACTATGATTGATTTGATATTTATTTGGGTAATCTATCATTGTAGGTACGTAAAATCGCCCGCGGCTAGTAATGTTCAAAAAAGTTACTTCATTGTCAAGACTTTAATAGAAGTATATAGTGATATATTTGTGTCAAATAAATGAATAATAAACCTAAATCAATGGCTAAATATATCACTATGGGCCAGAAATTAACTTTAAACAGCAGTGTTTGCGAGCAAGATTTGCTATATAAACAGCAGATATTTGTAAAATAGAGTGGCTTCCCCTGAATCTTGCGCTATAAGTTTACAAAAAAAACTTAAACAAGATGGCTGCTATAGTAAATGAGCATGGTTGCATCTGTTGGAAACATCGCTAGTCTTCATTTATTACTGAAAAGTTTTAATTCAATTGTTTAAAAACAGGTACATAAATGAAAACAAGAAAACATTTTTGTATTTTTCAAAACATAAATCCTCCTCAAAATGTGAAATAATTATTAAAATTTAAGGAGTCACCTGTTTTTCACATTACTAGTTACGGGCAATTTTACGTACTTAAAACGATAGAATACCGATATTTGATATCATTTGCTCATTCAGAATTCAGATGCATCGTTTTCCTTATCAAAATTTCTCATTTCATTATGGCATTTTTTTAACTGCATCATTAATTTTATGATTCAGATTTCTAATTAAAGCAGATTTTTTCATTAAGTAGTAGAGTCAGAGGGATAAAACTAGTGATTTTGAAGTTGTTTTTGTAATCTGAACTGTCGATTTTTACTTAAGTCTTTAGATTAAGATTTGTTGAATATTCTTTTGACCTCGTATCTTGTTTTGTCTTGCATATATTTCTAAGAGCCTTATGTGTGGTGAACCATCCAAAAATATTACCCCTCAATTAGTCAATAATGTCACTTCATTATAATCTAATTGCTGAAAATGAAGCACAGGAAAATTAGTGCCACCCCGAAATTCAATCATTTTTTACGATTTTTATGTCTTGTCGCATCACACCTAAAAATAGGAGAATGCATTACGCTGTCCTCATTGATGATCATTTTTATTTTCTTAAAACTGTAAGCATGAATTGTTAGTTAGATTGCAGTTTTTGTAACTTGGTATACTTATCCTCTGTCGATTTAAAAAACATAGCAGTAATTGTGTACAAATATTGTTGTAAAACACAAAATATAAAGTTCAAATTGCAATGAGCCACACCCCTCAAGAAAGCATGGTTATCACACTTTGCAACTCTAATTTAAATAAATTTTAAAATTTTTATTACTTATTTGTGTGATAAAGCACATTTTTATTAAAATTAAAAGCAAACAAGAGTAACCCAAGTTTTATGGAGGTCACTTGCAATGATGACTCAGGACAAAAAGCTAATATATGCTAAACTGAGTCTGTTTACAATTGTGATAGTTATTATTGATACATTTTTCATAGATAAATAATATTGAGATTTTCATCAAAATGCCTAACAGTGACTGACTTTAGTAGTATGTCTCCTAGCCACACAGTAGAAATAACCTCTCACCTTATCAATGTCTAAGGACATTATGTTTTAGGTTTGGTCCATAAGACCAACATGAGAGAATAAATGAAAACACTACTAATCTAGCTAAATCCCAAGTATTATTTAAATGCTAGATTGCAGAGAAATATGCCCTCTTCCATTCTATTCAAGTGTCTCTGAAGTGTGATTAGACAAATATAGCAAACCATGGCAAAAATCAGGCTTTTGTAAGTCATGTACAATGTTGGGATAGAACTACACATTAGTTCTAGAGTATGCAGGATGGATATACATAATTGCAAGTAAACTAAAGACAAAAAATAGCTAATACAAATCGTTAGGTTAAATTAAGTCTAGTGAAATATGGTTTTAAGAAATAATATATTAGTCAAAGAATAGTAATTAATTTATATTAGTTTTAGCTGAGAAAATTGTATACATTTCATAGCATACGTCTTGATAAATAGATCTACATATTTAAATCAAATTTGAATGAAATAGTTCATTTCTTCATATTCTTAAATTGCAAGAGGTGGGAAGTGTATCTTATTGAAGTAGTCATTAGTATTGTGTATCATTTTTTACGTTCTATTTTTAATTATATTTTCATCATAAAACCAATGACGCCATCAGTGTTGTGTACTTTTCGTAGTTTAAACATGTGACTTCATTTTTGTGTATTTATATCTTCTCTAGAGCATTCTTGACACAACCATAAATACTTTTCCGGTTGCATAATTAAAGTTGCATAATTAAAAATGTGTTTCTACATTCAAAAATGCGTTTATTTGTATTTTCCTTCTTTAAATAAGATTTAGTTTATACATTTAATACATCCAACATATTATTTTCAACAAAAGCCATATCATTAAGTTCTTCATATATCGCTGAAGATAACTGATCTCATAGCCCCGGAAAATATTTTGCAGACAGAGAGAAAAGTGCGCACATTGGCTTTTAGGATATGTAATATCAACAAAGAAGTAAAATTTTGTTGCAATCTTTATTATTATTGGTATTAATCTTTTGGTAATGCCAACTGATTATTTGTGAAATGTAAATATTGATCTACTATTTCATTTTTAAAATTCCTACTTGCTAAAAAGTAGAAAATAAACAAGTATAAACATCTTTATAGTAACACACTTCTAAATGTGCCAAAACAAAAGCTCTGAAATAATCTTATACAGTTTAGCTACATACATTTTTACTATTATTTTCTTATTTTTTTTTTTTAAATATTAGGAATATTTTGTTGAGCCACTCGCAATTGGCAGGATGCTTCAGCTCGTTAAATTTATATGCATACTTTTTGAAATGCTTAAGTTTCTTCTTAAGAAAAAAATTGAGAATTAATTGAACTCAAACATTTATGTCAAAATATAATAAAAATATGTCCTTTAAGTTGGATAAAATAAAGCATTAAAATTGTGTACATTTGTTGGCAAATGAAGTTTGGTTAAGCAAATTGATGGTAGTTGCATTGGTAGCTACTTTTACATTAAAACACCTTTGGTTAATAATGACAAACTTTTTTAAAAACTCCCTTAAGACAATACATTTATTTAGGTTTTGAACAGTAAATTGTTTAGCACTAATTAATAAAGTTGAATATTACTGCAACATTTTAAACAACTATAATTTTTTAGTCAGGTCCTCATCATGCCTACATCAGCAGCAAAGATGGATGAGCCATACTACTGCTCCCAGCAGATTAACATTCCGCCAGAGTTGCCAGATATTCTTAAACAGTTTACTAAAGCAGCTATAAGAACACAACCCAAGGATGTGTTAGCCTGGTCTGCTGCGTAAGTACATAGGCAGGCAGAGTTTGAAGATGACAAGGCCGTTTAATTGCCTTACTTAAATATATGTTAAGCAAATTGTTTGTAAATTACTGAAAGTAAGTAAAATTCCCTTACAAACCTGACGGTCTACGGGGGAAGTGAAATAGAGTTCACCTGTTTCTGTGACCTCGGCATATGAAGGGATAGTGTGGTCAGCACTATGCCTTTACTTACCCTAATGTGAGTTAGGCACCCATCAGATTTGGGTGGAATCAGGGACTGTCTACTGACTTGAACCCGGATTCAAACTCGAGACTTAGGGGTTAGCAGTCCAGCTCTCTACCACTAGGCCACTCCATCCCATACAAATTACTGTAGGGCCTACTAATAAATATGCCTGTAATACAATATATATTTACGTTTTATTTTAAGCCAACCCAGCATTTATAATTTTTTAAAATTCTAATTTATTTTAGATGTATTCTATTTGTCTTACTAAATAAAAATATATTTAAAGTGCTGCTAGTTTTTAAGGTACACCAAGAAAAGGAGAAATTAAGTGAGGGTTTTATGGATATTAGAAATTTTGTTACATCAATTACATGTGTCTAATTATTCTTAGATACTTTCGGGCCATGTCTAAAGGTGAAATTCCACCAGTGAAAGAGCGACTTGAAATGCCAGTTGCCACTCAAAAGATTGACAGTGGACTTACTCAGGGTCTTCTTAGAGTTCTTAACAAGCAGGTATAAAACATGAGTTACATATAATTTACTTTTCTAACCACGGTTTAACCGAGGTACGAATGAGCTCAGCTTTTTTTTTTAACTTCACTTTATATTTAGTCTTTTTAGCCCTGGCTTTTTACTTTTTAGAAATTTAAAATTCATGTACTAAAATTAATGTTCAAGGTTTCTTTTGATTTTAAAGCTTGGTCCTAAACTGACAGTAACAACTCAGCAAGTAGAAGAAAAATGGTTGGATCTAGCTCTTCCAATTGAGCAGTGTCATGATATTTTCAGAGTTGGAAACTTCCATCAAAAATTTGAATGGATCAAATTTTTTGCTCTTGCTGCATCAACCCTTGGAGATGTAAGTTTTGTCTGGTTTCTTTATATTTGTAATAAAAATGTGCTTGTTTCTTTGTTTCATTTTTTTTTTTCTGTACAGTTTTCTGTTAATAAATACTAAAAACATTTTTTTATCAGTAAATGTACTCTAGTGCATGCACATGTTTTCTTGATTTAAAAAATGTTTTTACACAGAACATCACAGATGCAATGAAAACTGTTTGTGAAATACTGACCACTGATCCTGAAGGAGGACCAGCGAGAATTCCTTTCAAACTGTTCCAAGAGATTTATCTCTTCCTAGCTGATATAGATGGAGAAATTTCCCAGCAACAGATGACAGATGTCATTAGTCATCTACAATATGATGTGTAAGACCTTCTCTAACACAATATTTTACTTTGTTATATGATAACTGTGCCTCATTCTCAGAACTGATTATTTTCTTCATATCTAGCATGTCAATCAAAATTTTGTTGCTTGAACTTACCTGGCTCTGAGTTTTGATTTCCTAATAAACTTAAAACGATGGAATATATACTAGATTGACTAGATACTTCGGTTTGTATTCTTAAGTATAAATATAAGATTTTGGGGGTCTTAAGCATACTTTGTTTTTTTTTTTGGCTTGAGGCTTAAGGTAAATAATTTTAATATGATGATAAAATTCAACTTTATTTCCAGAAAAGTAGGTTAGTTTTTTTATGAATTACATTAAAACATTCTGGTCAGTTAATTAAGCAAAATTACAATTTCCTGATATCATATTTTCCATGCTACATTGATTAAAATAGATATTTTCATAGAATTATGTTCTGCTCTCCCCTGGATTTCAAATTTAGCAAATTTGAATCTTGTATTAAACAATTCTCTGTCAAAAATTCTGTCTCCTCCAACCAACATCAGTGTGAAAAGATAAACTCAATTGTCAACTTATTTGCAGTTGTAAAATTTCAACTTCTTCACTAATAAGTTGAGCTTGATAATATGTTTATGTCAGCTGTTTGAACTGAGGCTTAATGTATGAAGGTTGTTAACTTTAATTTCCCATTGAGATATCTTTCCAACCTATATTTTCCTTTAAAATTTTATAACCATTTAACATAACAAGGGTGCCTGATGAATCAAGCAAACTTCTGGATTAAGTGCATCAATTTCATCCACTTGGATGGGGTGTTTTTTTATAATCTTTAACTTGCAGACATCTGCTTTCGGGCCATTAAAAAGTTATTCGTGAATATGTGTTTTTATTTGCATACTTTTTACAAGTATGGTCAGGAATAAAAAAGTTATTATTTTCTCAGATGTTTCTTTTTCTTTTTATCAGTGATAAACAAGATGGCTATGTGATGCCTCGCAACTTTCTGAGTGTGGACTGTCCTCAACTGTCATGATCTGCCACATCTTTACCAGTGAAAACATTTTCATTTCAAACCATCCAAACTGGAAAATGTCATCCTGAAGGGGTAGAGAGCTGGTTCTATCACATTGTTTTGAAAAATGGATAGTGATTTTTATACATTTTTATAACCTAGGGTTTATTTGAACAAGTATTTCAAGTTAGTTCTTATGAAATGGTTGGTTTTTAGTTATTTTAGTTAAGTAATAAAAAATGTAATAACAACATTTCTAGTTATGAAATCAACATATAAAGCCAACCCTAAACATTTATTGATATAAATTATATTTAATTGACTAATTTTTTTTTTACTTTCAAAAGAAAGAAACAATGTGTCAACTCTAACTGTGATATTATCACCTTTAGGAATGATTGATCATGTGACTGTTTTATTTATGCCACACCCAGTCAAGTCTTATGTTGTCATAATCATACTCATGCATAAATTGTATATACAAATTTCTTCAAAAATCTAACTTAGAATGTTTTATCCACATTTGGTCCTGCTATCCGTCCATATTGTCATGATACTGTTAAAGTAATGAAATTGCTTTAGCCAATAAACTGAATGTTGTTTTTTTTTTAAATTAAAGTATACTAAACAAAGTTCAATACTATTACATTCTTCAAGATTTTTGTTTGTTTGTTCTATATTGTAAAAACTGTATGTTTAAAAAAAATCCTTTTTAAGTAGAATGTAATTCAGCAATGGGGCCCTTGTATTTGTTGTAGGACGGACTACAAGTAGCATTGAAAAAATAAATTACATAGAACCTCTGTTTCATTGAAAAAATAAATTACATAGAACCTCGTTAATTTTAATCACTGACATTACTGATTTATTGTCAGCTTAGAACCAATGACATCTCTTATATTCAGCATACAAATACAACCAATGACATCACACACTTAATGTCAGCAATCAACTATTGGCATAGCATACTTAATGTCAACATTGAACCAATGACATCATACTCTTAATGTCAACATTGAACCAATGACATCACACTGTTAATGTCAGCATAGAACCAATGATATCATAATCTTAATGTCAGCATAGAACCAATGACATCACACACTTAATGTCAGCATAGAACCAATGACATCACACTGTTAATGTCAGCATAGAACCAATGACATCACACTCTTAATGTCAGCATAGAACCAATGACATCACACTGCTAACGTCAGCATAGAACCAATGACATCACACTCTTAATGTCAACATAGAACCAATGACATCACACTGTTAATGTCAGCATAGAACCAATGACATCTTACACTTAATGTCAGCATAGAACCAATGACATCACACTCTTAATGTCAACATAGAGCCAATGACATCACACTGCTAATGTCAGCATAGAACCAATGACATCACACTGCTAATGTCAGCATAGAACCAATGACATCTTACACTTATTGACTGTCTTGTGCTACTGAAATCCAGGGGCGGCATCTAGGTGTTAGTGAAGACAAAAAATGGGGCTACTCAAATTGATTTCTGTCCAAACCAGGGATCGTAAGCAGAACTAGTGAATCAATACTCACAATTGCCCCAGTACTTAGACTGCCCTGCTTCATACAGCCATAAGCACCCAGAGGTTTTTTTTATCCACACCCAAGCAGACCGGCCGTTTGATATGACGTCACGTCTTTAATGAAAGAGGGGGTGGGGGTGATAAGGTGGCTCGTCTGAAATAATGAGATTTACTCGGCCAAAGTAGAGTACTGTGCGTCATTAAGCTAATTCCAGCTCCAGTTTCAATGAAAGCACATTGAAAGCTCATATAATCGTTGGCTAATATTTAAAACTGTGTATGAACTAGTATGTTAGATTAGTCTGCACCAGCTTGAGGGTCGTTCTTATTAGACGTCATGCTTTTTTGGGCGATTTTTATATCCTCCACACCCCCCCCCCCCCTCCCCCTCCTTCCCATCGTTACACATTGTCACAAACTGCCAGATCCTTCTCCCTAAATGAGGTCACACCGCAGCATACTGTAAAAAAAATTCAGCTTTTGGTTTTTAAATCATCGAATTAAAAAATAATATTTATTGAGCTCAATTTCTCATTACAGTTTACAAATAGTATTAAAAAAAAACGCGCAATAATGCAAATGCTATAACCCCCCCCCCCCCCCCGGTTCCGCTGCCCCCCCCCCCCCCCCCCCCCCCCCCCCGGAAGAGATGTCTGGAAGAATTGGAAGAAACTCTGTAACTGTGTTTTCAGAATCTTCTTTGTTGGTAATAGTCTAGCTCGAATGCTCCAAATACGTGTAAGAGCTAACTCTTTCATAGCGAGACGTTGAGACGTTTCTTGGTTAGGCCACGCATGAGATTTTAAACTTCATTGTTTTAAAAACGTATATAATTAATATTACATTTGTTTCCTTTTAATTTGATACCATTTAATTTAACACCAAAAATTTGTAGTCTCAGAGGCGTAGCGAGGTCGGGTGCCCCCCCCCCCCCCTAGAGGCGTAGCGACTGTTCCCGGGGATAAACTTTAAATTTTCGATTTGCACCCCCCTCAAACTTTCGATTTGCACCCCCTCGAACTTTCGATTTGCACCCCCCCCCCCTCGAACTTTCAATTTGCACCCCCCCACCACTCGAACTTTCAATTTACACCCCCCTCAAATTTTTCTCTATATATTTTACTATTTTTTGCCTTGGTGTCACCCCCCCCCCCCTAAATGGTGTCACCTGGTGCGGTATTTTATTTTACAAGTTGAATTTTCTTTTTTTTTTTACAAGAAGCACTGTCTAGAATTTTTTTCTTAGGTTATAATTTAGTAGAAGCAATAGAATTCTTGTATTAGCCTATCTTGTAGGGCCGTAGTCTTTAGTAGAATTTCCTCTAATAGTAATATCTACGGTTTTGTCAGCTGATTTTTAAAAGTCCATATTTATTTAAAATATAGGCTATTTAGTCTATAACAGCAGATCAAAGATATAAGCGACCTCCAACTCAAGGCATTTTTAAAGTAAAATCAATAAAAGATAACATGTTTTATTGAAAAGGCTTAGCAAAAAACACTTTAGCGAAAAGGTGGCCCAGGTTTATTACCAAGTAGAGAAGAGGAATGATGGCAGTAGCAACAAGAAAGCATGCATTGTGTGTTTATTCTTTCAAATAATTGTCACAAAGAATTCCTTGAAACATTTACTCACCGTCTGCTCCTGCTTAATCCCGCCTGGCTTGTTTTCTCCAGACGATAAATAATGTATGACGTCATGCTATTAGTTGAGCAATTTCGGCTACTCACACCATCGGAGAACAGGCGAGGGTATTTCACATCCCCCACCCCAACCTCATCCTCCATTAAAAAAATAACTTGAGTAGCTAGAAGTTGAGTGATGGAACCAGCAGCTGGTACTTTGATGAGATACAGCTGGTAGATGGTATTTTAGTAGCTGGTAGTTTAGTGGTAGCACCAGTAGCTGGTAGTTTGATGAGATACAGCTGGTAGATGGTATTTCAGTAGCTGGTAGTTTAGTGGTAGCACCAGTAGCTGGTAGTTTAGTGGTAGCACCAGTAGCTGGTAGTTTAGTGGTAGCACCAGTAGCTGGTAGTTTAGTGGTAGCACCAGTAGCTGGTAGTTTAGTGGTAGCACCAGTAGCTGGCAATTTAGTACCAGTAGCTGGTAGTTTAGTGGTAGCACCAGTAGCTGGTAGTTTAGTGGTAGCACCAGTAGCTGGTAGTTTAGTGGTAGCACCAGTAGCTGGTAGTTTACTGGTAGCACCAGTAGCTGGTAGTTTAGTGGTAGCAACAGTGGCTGGTAGTTTAGTGGTAGCACCAGTAGCTGGTATTTTAGTGGTAGCACCAGTAGCTGGTAGTTTGATGAGATACAGCTGGTAGATGGTATTTTAGTAGCTGGTAGTTTACTGGTAGCGCCAGTAGCTGGTAGATGGTATTTTAGTAGCTGGTAGTTTAGTGGTAGCACCAGTAGCTGGTAGTTTAGTGGTAGCACCAGTAGCTGGTAATTTAGCACCAGTAGCTGGTAGTTTAGTGGTAGCACCAGTAGATGGTAATTTAGCACCAGTAGCTGGTAGTTTAGTGGTAGCACCAGTAGATGGTAATTTAGCACCAGTAGCTGGTAGTTTAGTGGTAGCACCAGTAGCTGGTAGTTTAGCACCAGTAGCTGGTAGTTTAGTGGTAGCACCAGTAGATGGCAATTTAGCACCAGTAGCTGGTAGTTTAGTGGTAGCACCAGTAGATGGTAATTTAGCACCAGTAGCTGGTAGTTTAGTGGTAGCACCAGTAGATGGTAATTTAGCACCAGTAGCTGGTAGTTTAGTGGTAGCACCAGTAGATGGCAATTTAGCACCAGTAGCTGGTAGTTTAGTGGTAGCACCAGTAGATGGTAATTTAGCACCAGTAGCTGGTAGTTTAGTTGTAGCACCAGTACAAGCTAGTTTAGTGGTAGCACCAGTAGCTGGTAGTTTAGTGGTAGCACCAGTAGATGGTAGTTTAGTGGTAGCACCAGTAGATGGTAATTTAGCACCAGTAGCTGGTAGTTTAGTGGTAGCACCAGTAGCTGGTAGTTTAGTGGTAGCACCAGTAGATGGTAATTTAGCACCAGTAGCTGGTAGTTTAGTGGTAGCACCAGTAGCTGGTAGTTTAGTGGTAGCACCAGTAGCTGGTAGTTTAGTGGTAGCACCAGTAGATGGTAGTTTAGTGGTAGCACCAGTAGCTGGTAGTTTAGTGGTAGCACCAGTAGATGGCAATTTAGCACCAGTAGCTGGTAGTTTAGTGGTAGCACCAGTAGCTGGTAGTTTAGTGGTAGCACCAGTAGATGGTAGCTTAGTGGTAGCACCAGTAGATGGTAATTTAGCACCAGTAGCTGGTAGTTTAGTGGTAGCACCAGTAGATGGTAATTTAGCACCAGTAGCTGGTAGTTTAGTGGTAGCACCAGTAGCTGGTAGTTTAGTGGTAGCACCAGTAGATGGTAATTTAGCACCAGTAGCTGGTAGTTTAGTGGTAGCACCAGTAGATGGTAATTTAGCACCAGTAGCTGGTAGTTTAGTGGTAGCACCAGTAGATGGTAATTTAGCACCAGTAGCTGGTAGTTTAGTGGTAGCACCAGTAGATGGCAATTTAGCACCAGTAGCTGGTAGTTTAGTGGTAGCACCAGTAGATGGTAATTTAGCACCAGTAGCTGGTAGTTTAGTTGTAGCACCAGTACAAGCTAGTTTAGTGGTAGCACCAGTAGCTGGTAGTTAAGTGGTAGCACCAGTAGCTGGTAGTTTAGTGGTAGCACCAGTAGATGGCAATTTAGCACCAGTAGCTGGTAGTTTAGTGGTAGCACCAGTAGATGGTAATTTAGTGGTAGCACCAGTAGATGGTAGTTTAGTGGTAGCACCAGTAGATGGCAATTTAGCACCAGTAGCTGGTAGTTTAGTGGTAGCACCAGTAGCTGGTAGTTTAGTGGTAGCACCAGTAGATGGTAGTTTAGTGGTAGCACCAGTAGCTGGTAGTTTAGTGGTAGCACCAGTAGATGGCAATTTAGCACCAGTAGCTGGTAGTTTAGTGGTAGCACCAGTAGATGGTAATTTAGTGGTAGCACCAGTAGATGGTAGTTTAGTGGTAGCACCAGTAGATGGCAATTTA